TATGAATAATAGTTGTGGGAATGCGAGTATCAGCTAATTAAGGATAACTGATGAGCAGATTGATGCTTTCCATTTAAATTTACAGCAAAGTCAATCAATAAGTACAGTAGTAGAGAAGATTCTATTACAAGATGCCTAAATGGCAAGCAGATAGTGACCCGATGAACTAATTAAGAGTAGGAATGAACTATCTAGTTACAGATGTGTACGTTAGTAGCCAATCACTCGGTTTATTTCATCTGCAATCCAAGTATAGAACAATCGGTAATAAAAATTACAATTTTCTATCATATTTCAGGATGACTCTGCTAGAATCCCATCCGTACTTTGCTTTACAATTTCATGATCACGACTTTCTAATAAATACTATCAATTTAATGGTATCATACTTTAATAGTTGGAAAAATTAAGATTCGTATTATTTCGAAGGTAGTAGAGATAGCAGATATAGTATTTGTTCGTTTTAAATAAATATAACATATACTAATTCCTATTTAACTTGATCAGCCTTACTAAAGATAGCTTTAGCTATAAATAAGCGTATTAAAAATTTTGTCTTCCATTTGATTAGTATAACTTACACACCTTCGCGAACTACGACAAAGAAGATAATATTATAATACTGCATTAATAATATAACATTACCTAAATTTCACTTATAATTCTTGATGATAGAAATTAGACTAAATATCAGAGGTGGGCTAACTATAAACATTAATGATAGTGCCTTCAAAATGGATGACTGTGTCAAAATCTATAGCTTGACGTGCACTATCGATATCTGGACTATAAATCTTAGTATGATGATCATCATTTTACATGTAGTAGAAATTGACTAACCGTTTGATTCGATCATTCCTGTCGATCTGGAAATGTTTCTTAGGGCTTAGCTTGTAGCTTTATGTTGAATCAAGATGATATTTGGCATCATCGAAGGATTAGACTGTTAATCGCTAGTATTATACCCAATTTTTTAACACTTATAGTGATATATCATTGAATGAAAATTATCTAATTCTATCAATGGCCTAGGATAAGCACGATCGAGATCTTCATGTGATGTTATCCTCCACTTGTAATGATATTTAGCATCGTCAATGGTTTGGACCGTTAACATTAACGTTATATATTATTTCTAATCTATATTCTATTTTCTAACTAAAACCATACTATAATTCTTGTTATATTGTTAAACAGCAATTCTATCGATGGTCTTATGTAAGTACAGTTGAGATCTTGATCTTGTCGTCTAATTATGATGATATTTGGCACCGTCAATAGATTGGACCGTTAACTACTAGTATTGTCTATTAATTCCAAATCAAATTCTATAACTAATTAATTCTTGTTGTCATCATATCATTGAATAAAAATTACTTTATATTGACGGTCTTCTAGGATTACGATTAAGGTCTTCGTACGGTAGTACTGGTCATGTTTAGGTACTTATGCTCTACTAGATACCCGTAAATAGTCGACATACAAGCTAAGCACTAGTTTTATTTCACATGGTTATTATCTAGTTATCGTAGATCATCTTTGAGTATCAGTGGTATCTAGTCATTGGTCTTGTTTTACTTTTGTATCAATGCCCTATCCGTTTGGGTAGAGTTTACAGTGTTGCAGCTTCAAACTTTTCTCATTTGATTTATAATACAGTTCTATAGATAAATTGATCCTGTTTGAGTATGTCTGCTATATTGGCCCTTTATCCACTTGGGTTGGCATAGAGTTGCAGATATTTTATTTTATATCTTCTAGTACTACTAGATAGAAGAATTAATTTATTCTGCCAATTTATCAACTACTGTCTATCATCATAGGATGGAATGTTGTGATTATTCCTTTAGAATCAGTAGCCAAGCATTGATGATATACACCTATCGTATGGAATACTTAATAGGGGTAGTTTTGAAGATCATAGCATAAGACCTAAACATAACCTTTGGGGTAGTATCTTAATGAAGTAGGATAGCAACCAGTGGTTTATAATTATAATATAATGAATTATCTAGGGTAAATCTTTATAAAAGATTGTGTACTCTAGCACATATTATTATTACTTGTAAAAAATGGAGTGTTATTATTAGCCTAGTTCCTCGTCCATTCCGTCATTGGCTTAAATCTACAGTCGATACCAATACTGTTTATTCAAGGAAATGTAGCCATATTCTGACTCATGTTGATGTATAATAATACATGATGAATTTTTTATACCTGATATAGACAGAAAATTTATTGACAGTTAGTTAGCAACGCAATCAGGATCTCTTACTGGATTTGAGCCAGCTGGTGCAACTAGTGTCTAGACGTCCCTGCGTCCCGTTAACTGCCATAACGTGCCGTACGGTTGTTCATCCATCAACAAAACACCACTCTAAATTAGATTAGTCCAATGGATGAATGAATTTATAGTTACTACTAGACATTGGAGGTTTAATATTCCTTAATTATACCTTCATTTTATTGAAAAAATTCACTTGGATTACTGGATCTTTTTTAATCCTGTTTTAATTGCAAGATGTTAATCGTTACCTTTGTTTTATGCCAAATATTACGTCGTCTAGTTCGTCCATTTTTAAAGGGTGATGGTCGGCTTATTTTTGGTGAATTTATGGCCATCTTTCAACTTAGTTGTTGTATACAGGAATTGAATTTTACCGATCATCAATTTTCCTTGCCTATTCGAATGTTAAGGTTGTTCTCAGTTATTTTAGCTACATGTTATTTCTTCGATGGATGTACTGGTCATGTAGGTTGGATATCTGAAATTGTTATTCTGGACGGGCGTTTCTTCTTCTATTTGCTTCTTTTGATTGCTCAGTTATGTGGTGGTTACGCTGCTTATCTCTTTACACCTTACTACTTTCCTCATCACTATTTTCAGCATTTCTATCAAGATCATCCTTGTCAAAGTCTTGATCCAATTCAACGCGCATGGATTGAATTTATAGGTACTTCACTTCTCTTTTTACTAGATTGGTGTACTCGTCGTTATGAAGATTTCAATCGAGTTTCACAAACACTTTACGTCGTTGCTATAACCTATCTCTATTACGGCCATATCGATGTTTTTATCAATCCAATTATGGCTAAAACCATGACTGCTCATTGTAATACTGAAGATTTAAACCTGCATTTACTCATATATTGGATAGGACCTATCATTTCCATCGTATTACCATTAATTGTAATAAGGTTTATGAGTAGGAGAACGGAGGTTAAAGTCAAAGAGGATTAAGAAAAATTAAAATTTTTCCTAACGATGGTCAATTTAAAGATACTGTAAAAGCAAACTAGTACTGACTGATGAATGTAGCACCATCACCTATGTTGGACGACTATATTAATTTACTATGATTACATCACAATTGCGATGATTATGATTTTTACTTTATGTGCATAGAAGATATCAATCATCTATCATATATATATATCCTACTTAAATTATGCAGAGTATAGACACAAATATAAAGTTATTAGTTGTAAGAAATTTTAAAATATTTTCAAGCACAAAATGGAATCACAATAATTGATCAGAAATAGAATGATTACTTGATTAATGAACTGAAATGTAAGGGTAAAATTAATAGCTTTTTCCATGATACATTTTAAATGACATCCATACCCAAAACACTGCCATTTTTGAATTATTTTGAAAAATTATTATTTACATCATATAGTCGTATCTATTTTAAAGTCTAACACCATATTATATCACAGTCTTACAAATTTTTTGAGTTCTATTTTAATATCACTGTATTTCTAAATTATTATGCAATCTGCAAACATTTCTTTGACCATATTGATTATAAGTTCCAGCTTTTTGTTAATTACAGAGACAGAAATAATTACGAAGATTAATACATTAATAAACAGCAATTAACCCATCATATGTATATCTGTAACGGAATATTTTTGACAAATAACGGTGGGCAGTGTTTTAATCTTTTAGTCCTAATATATGCGTGTATGCCTAGAAAGAAATGGAATAACTAACTTAATTATAGCTAAATTTACTTTGTACTTATCTGTGCACAAATCGTAGTCGCGAAACTTTAGGATAATTCTATAACTAAAAGAATGGATATCAATTTTATGCATTAGATTAAGCTATTCATTAATTCCTTGCTTTCCAATATGTGTAATATACGAACTGAGAATGATATCAAGATAAAATGATTAATCCCGTAAATAGATTTAATAGGTTGAGTTATACAAGTGTAATACACATAGACACCGATAGAAATGTGTTACCAGAATAGATAATCTATTCTTTTATCCCTTATTTTTCAATATATGTAGTATCCGAAATAAGTATAATGTCAAGATAATGCGACTAATTCTACGAATAGATTTAAGAAATTGAATTATAGGAGTAAAAATACATGTACGGATACAATGTAAAAATGGTACTTGCATCTCATTTAAAGTTGTCATTATTTTTAGTGTATAAATGTAAAGAAATATCTACTTTATGGTAGCATTATTGTCAATCTTCATTAGTACGTTAATATTTAGCACTGAAAAACTATCACTCGCTTTTGACTAAGTTGGGTTAATAAACAGCAGTTTTAGTATCGTTACACTATTTTACATAAATGCTAGTATATCATCTAGTAAATTTCTTGGTCTATGAATATTATAAGTAAGTCATCAGCATACTCAAAATAATAAATTGACAACAAATTGACTGTTAAGTGGTAACTAAATAGAAATTAGAGCATGCAATTCATCTGTGAAGAACTTGAATACATTAAGATGATTGGAAGGGTATTTAGATATATAATAAGTAATCAATAAGCAATAATTAATAGCTTATTCAATTTAAGAATAAGAATACAGAAAAACTAAAAATAGGTGATAAAATTAACATGTGTAAACTGATCAAATGTGATATTCATCGATTTATAAAACATTTGGAATGATACTATACCTTATGGATTGTATTTCTCTCGGATAATAACTATTAAGAGATTGTAGATTCTTGGCATGTTATTACCTCTCCAATGGATTGAATAATAGTTATTACTACGCAATAAACTATATTGATAGCTAATTATTTATATTGTTATTTTTATTTGCTAACAGTATTGAACTGAAATATTCATTAATAAACTTCATCCTGTTGACAACGATTGCATTCTATCAACTTTAATTACAGCTATCGATGGATATCCCGTTTTTTCTACACTAAATAATTTTTCAATTTATTTATGATCTCCATGGTTATAGAACAACTTGAACTTTGAGTACCATTGCAACTGTTACAGCTGTTTTAATGTCTCAGCGAGAATATATTTTAGTAATCCAGGTAAATAAAGCATCATTTCGTAATCCTAGTTGCAGGTGTTTTAGTGCCTTAGCGAGAATATATTTGGTAATCTAGGTAAGTATCATTTTCGTGATCTTGTATTGTTTTTTAGCATAAATTTATTGCTCAAATCATCCCAGGCTTTCTTAAAGTTAGTAATAATTTAGAGAAGTAAATCTTTCATATAAATTTCATTCTCTGCTTCTAATCTAAATGAACAGTTCATACGATGTACTTATAAGATGTATCAGTAGAACCTTAGTTTTTTTACTATCTTTATAAGCGTGAATGATATTATCATCAATTTGTACGTAGAAATTTTCGACCATCAAAGAGATCATATGAATGATAAAACAGCTTAATAACTATCGCATTTATAATAAACGGCCATTCTCGTTAAAAAACAAATATTCTAGAGGCTGTCTATTTTATAAATTCTGATACAGGTTCATAATCTGCTATTTTCAGGATGATATTAAACTAAACATCTCAACAGTTCTATTCGTAGCTGTATAACAAGCCCTAATTTCTTTGAACATTAAGCAAGAATGAGTATTTAATGAATAAGAAATAATCTTTTAACTTTTGATAAACTATAGCTACCATTACAATTATTGTAGAATGTCATTAGCGATAAAACTTATATTTATACCATAATTACTTTCTAGTCACGATAACTATCATCCCTAAATTTGTATTGGGAATAAAATGGAAGTTGCACGGAAAGGAATATGGTAATTAATTATGCCGTTTCTGAGAGGGTTGTAAACAGTTCTTATTTTGGTACAATATCATCAATGATATTTTTAAGTGGGAGGGTAAACAGATGGAAATACTTGAAGGATCTCAAGAGATTCGAAGATAAGTATCTATTTGAACTAGCGTAGTTCTTGACTATGTCTCATAATACAACTATTTGATTTGATACAACATAAGTTAACATTAATTATTATATCAATCAGTAAATAAGCTAGAATACTACTAATTTATTCTTACTGAAGTTTACAGCATTTATCCATAACCGAACAGTTCATTTGGAGAAAGTGCGATTTCATATTAAAAGCTTTATCAATTCTAGCTGTATCTGTTTAGTCGTTTTTAAAATACTGTAATATTAAGATGATTTTGTAGAAATGGATAACAGTTTTCACGATCGACATTATTCTACTCGTTCTAAAAGTTACAATTGATTTCCTATCCTTCTCTTTAACACTCTTTACTCAAAATTTCTCGTACAATAGAATGAAATTATTCGCTGATGAATTTTAATATTATAAATAAATGATGGATATTTTTATCAATTTTTGATTTCATGACATATCCGTACTACACCCTGTACCTATTGTTATAATATCAATCTATCATTTTAACAGCTACAGGAAATGAATAAAACTATGTGCATGCTAAATTAATTATTGATAAAGCTGAAAAAATCAATCCAACCAAATAAAATAACTCATTCCTAGGAAGAATCATAATAAATTAGACGATAAGCACTTTATCGTTTGTGTCCATTTCAGAGCCCATTCTGACCTTTATTATTGGTAATTACCGTACTTAATGTAGTATCATTTCTCTCATTTCTTATGGCTATTACGATGAATGAAGCTATTATAAATCAGTTATTGATTTCAATGTATAATTATCAATAGAATGATCTTAATAATGGTTTCATTTGTTCTTATTCGATGAGCAGCAGTCATAACATCAGGGAGTGAACTCGTTAGGCTGGTGGCAGCTAACTACTCGTATTAGGACTATTACTAAATTTCAGCATACAATCGCTTCTTAATAAAATACTCAACTTACAGTTAGTTTTACAAATCGAGTCAACAGTGATATTGTGTAGTCAGAAAAAAAAGTAAGAGAAAGACTAAAGAGAAGGAAAATAATTAATTATAGTTAGGCCATTAGTATAACCGATCAACCTTTTTCATCTCACTTTCATACATGAAATTTACTTTTACAGTTGATGGAAATCATTAATTTTTAGGTTCATTAAGGATTATCATCTAGCCTTTAATTGATCTCCGATTGCAATACATTGAAGAAAGAGTAAATCAAGGAATAGAAGTTGTCAGCATTTTCCATACAAATCGCTAAGCACGTTCGAATTTATGTCAAAAGAAATACTATCCTTTATAAATTTGATCAAACTTATCATTGATTTAATCAATCATTCGATATATCCTCTTAAAATAAGTAGAAAATGACAGAAATAAGGCTAAACGATGATTGCTATTCTTTATTCGTATAATTCTAGTATCTTATCCAAGAAAATTGTCAAGTACAGGTCGCTATAACAGTAAGGTTGCCAAATTGATACGATAACTAATAAGGGTATTTAACTAGCTAATAGACAATATCATCTGAAAGTGCCTTCTACGGTAAAATGATAAGCCAGCTGACCACTTTGTAGTCAAAATGACTATCAGATTATTTAAGTATCTATTTTAAACTATCACAACGAGGCAATCTTAGGCAGAATGGACATGACACAAATTAATTCGAAGTTGAATATTATTGCAAGATCGTCAATAGATTCTCATTTAAAGTCAATGGAACAACTGTATTGATATTAGTAAATCAACAACTTGCCTATTATTCGTATTACACCATTAATGGAACAATTTGATGAACAATTAGAATAAAAATAGGAAATTATCTTGGCTATGCTAGCGATCTATTTAGCCACCCGAACATCTTCGTCATTGTTATTGTCTTTCCGAGTTTGATCACATGAGGGACAGGGTATCTTAGCAACCAAAACAAATCCATCAGCAGGCACTCTTCCTGTAGAGCATAGTAGAAGAAGATTAATCTGTAATTGAATATTTATCTTGCAGTTTATGGATCGGATTGATGAAATTATCAACCATAACCAAGAATTAGCTTCAACCGCCGTTTAACTATAGCAAATCTCATGATCGACTTTGTTTTTCTTACGTTCAATGAATACTTGGGAAAATTTTATAGTTGGTTAGTTACCTAAGTTAGCCATTACAACTTACTATTTTGGTTTTACTTCTACGATTTAGATTATCATCTAATTGTCCACAGCTGGTTAGCAACTGCAACGTTTTCAATCTCTTTCCGTCGCTGATCTATAATATTTTCTTCTTTATTGCCATTCTATCGATCCGTTCGAAATTGCGTTATTTCCATCTATTCACCCCTTTTGGATTGGTTTATCAGTCATTTAAGTCTTTTGCCAGTAATAAACAATTTAGCTATATTGGGCTACGATTTACAGAAGGCTTTTCTCAACTTTTCCAAATATATGAAGCATTCCACTTTCGACGAGTGTTTCTTAAGCATTTGAACAATTTAACTTCATTAGCCGTTATATTGTATAAATGGTCAGCTGGGGTAATTAATACTAAATAGATACTATCTGCATTCGTTACACTAAAAGTATAAATTTAAACTACCAATTCTTACCCAACAACTTTACCGTCGTACACCGCTTTACTATTCTTGGATAATTACCATACTTTTCAGGTTAAGCAGATCAACCTAAGCTTGGAATATTTTAAAATTTTAGTCCTTTGAATAATTCTCAATGTGCAAGCTAACTTGATATCATCGGCAAGTAAATCATCATAAATTCATCTTAATCAAGTAAAATTACGTTCCGGTGATATCTCAGGTTTAATACTACAGGTATCGTTTGTGAATTTCGATTTTTTAAAATTATCAATTGTGAAGACTTTGTATTATGGCTAATCAAGCAAGGATTCATCTCATTAGCTTGTTTGATGAACTATCCGAAAAGTTAAATAATAATGATATTGAGAAACTGACTACCCTATGTAAAGCGTTTGTACCACACGATGAATTACGAAAAATTCGTAATCCAATGGGCTTCTTGAGCATCCTATGGAACAGTCGTTTAATCGATGTCCAACATGTATCATTCTTGAAAGGTTTAATAAGAAATTTGAATAATCCTGATTTAACCAAGGCTATCGAAAATTATGAGGCAAAACATATCAAAAAAAGAATTCGTAGTCTAGACACTAACAACCCTATTCTGGATGAAAATGAGGTTGATGTCCAACAAATTATTCAACAATTCAGAAATCATAAAACTGAAAGCAACAACGATATTTTACAAGCATTATCTACTAAGAATCAATCGCAAGAGCCATTACAACGAGAATTTAGCAGTATAGCACGATCGAATAACTACTATCGTGTTAGGAATACTCTTGAAGATAAGAGCCAACCTTTGCCTTGTCAACGTGCAGGATCGCCAATGAAGATCTACATTGGTACTAGAAATTACGCTAATAATAGTCAGCAGGCCTACCAGGAAGATTTTTGTAAGTTACAACGATGTAAAAATGTAGAAATGATAGCCTTATTTAGATAAAGGGACGCACTTTAATATAATAATTATACTAATGTGCATTTAGCTTCAATCGTATTATTAAAAATTTATGATGTTATTTTACAGATTCTACTGTTTCACCTGATATCATCAATAAAACCTTGCCACAGCGTCAGGATGAAATTGTAGCTGAAAAAAATGCTATCATTTCTGCAATGCAACAAGAATTAATACGAGCTGAAACTGCAAATATGGCACAAGAGAATACAATCACTACATTATGCGATCAAATTGATCGTTTACAGCGGCAATTAGAAGACTGTAAGGCTCATTTAGCTACGAAGGAAAGGATTGTAGCAACATTAGTTAGTGAAACTAAATTAAATGGTTATGGAGATGAACAACTTATGAATGGTAGAGCTAAATCTGGCTATAGCAACGGAGAAAATCGTTACATTATTGATACTCCAGCTACCTTATCATCGCTAAAAAGAAGCAAATTGATTAAACAAAGTAGTCTAGATTCGATGACAGTAAAAGACGAGATTATCTTAACGATTAGTCCCTGTGAAGAAGAAGGTGAAAATCAGGTAAACAAACTATATATGTCTGAGATGAAATTAAATACACGTTAAGATTAATGTTCAGTTATTTAGTATGGCTAGGCAGCATCACCTTAGTGAATTTGCATCATTCTCGTTTACCAATTTCCAAGCTTCTTCAGTGCAGTAGATCCTTTAGTATACTTTAATGTCGGTATCAGTCTTAGTTCATATTAGATTCTATAACTACAATCGATATTAGTTAGTCCATTGCTAAAATTTTACAATAAGTTCACAGATACTGAGCTATAGCATTTATGATTACTGCTTAAGTATGATAGTAACAAAGATAGTTCAGTAATACGCTGATAGAGCTAAATTATTATCCACGATTTGTACTTAATAATTTTATGTAGTGTAATTATTGTAATTTACATTGATATCTTTAATCTTAGTTAAATTATTCTTTTCAATTTTCACTAGCCAATTGTGGAATCTACTCAAGATGGACCTACACCAGTCTTTATAAAATATATCAGTGATAATGGTGATCCTACTGATCCGATGAAATTTCACAGTCCTACTGCCGTTGCTGCTAGTAGCGATTACATTTATGTAGTAGATTCTGGAAATACTTGTGTCCATATCATCAACAAAGATAAAGATGCCGGTAGTTCAATCAATCCTATCAGATTAAGAAATGCTGAACCTAAAGGTACAATCCAACTTTACTTTTCAATTAAGTAATCATAATTGCTAAAAATAACGTACAAGCCATCGTTTATACCATTTCAGGTAGCATACTGACTGACAGCTATAAAAAAATTTTAGATTTCTAAGCGTTGATATTCGTGCACTAATACTAGCAACTGATATTTATTTCAGACATTGTAACGCTTATAATCACTTTCTTTGAAAGCAGTTAAACTTAGAACTAACTACTACGATAAATTACTATAATTCTTAGTAGAAAAAATACAATTAAACTTTCCTCATTTATTTTTAGGTATCACTATAACCCAAGATGGTTTCGTTGTCGTTACGTATAATTATCATAATATTGACGATCATAAAGCAAGGAAATATACGCAAACTGGTACATTTATCAGTTTAATCGCGCTACATAGACGCGGCAGGAGTGAAAACAAGCCACAACCAGCAGCTATTTCTTCCTATTTACATAAAAGGCTGCTAGTGGTTGACGAAAGTAATAAAAGAGTTCAGGTAAAATTTATTTGATAAATATAGTTATTTTAATGGGATGATTTAAGCGATCTTAAAATATCCGAGCATCAGAAGCTTAATTATTGGTATCCTATTTTATATCAATAGATGTTGCAGTACAATGGAGACTTTATCCGTGATATCGGTTTCCATGATGGCCGGCTAGATCTACCAATTGGTGTTGTAGCTTCTGAGGAAGGATTTATCCATGTTACCGATACTGCCAATCATTGCATTAAGATATTTGATCCCCATGGTACAGTAAAAAAAGTACTCGGCAGCTACGGTAAAGAAGCAGGACAGTTCCATGAACCGCATGGTATTGCCATTGATCAAAGAGGTAATTTGGTCATTGCAGATTCGAATAATGATAGAATTCAAGTATTAACTCCAGAAGGACGCGTTTTATGTCATTTTGGTGGTTCTGGCTCAGCTGAAGGTTGTTTTAAACGACCATCTGGCATCTCATTTGATAGTCAGGGAGTTCTTTATGTCTCTGATCGAGACAATCAGAGAGTGCAACTTTTCCGTTTAGATTATCTGGATAAAATAAATCTCCAATAACAAAAAATAATTTTCTTAATCCTTCCTACCTCTAGTTGATTATATTTTTGTTTTAGTATTAATTGATAATTATAATTATTGCCTGTTATTAAACAAAAGATATGATATATGGCCATTTTACTGGCCATGTGTTTATAGGCGATGATTTAACACTTGTTATAAATAACATGAAAACCATCGATTATAATCTATAAATATATATATAATATTAAAATTTCTACTTGAAAGCTTGTTGAAATCTTTCCTGAAATGACTCTATTTTAATACTTAGAAATTTCTTGTATAAGCATCAATTTTGGCTGTAGCAGTCTTATGCAAACGCTTGCATTTGTAATAGATAATTGAGTGGTATCTAGATATTTTACTGTATTGGCTTTTAAGTAAAAAATTGATTATCAACTTAAATATAGAGTTTTTTTATTCTTGATGGCTTGCTTATTCAGCAATTGTAGGCTCTTAACTCTATCGCATATATACACTTCACATTTTTGATATTCTAGTATGAACAAATATTCCTTCTTTATGTAAATTATAGATATTAATTACAATCCTGAATATTTTTCGTCAATACTTGAATAGCTATTAATTATTCTGTCAATGTAGCTGAAATTTATAATGTTTTCCTATGAAAATAATTAAAAGTTGACCATTTATGTCGCTTCCTTTAATAATATAGAATGTGCATACTATACTATGCGTATAATATTTCTACTAATGTTATTGGGACAACTAGAGGACCTACAAGTTCTCCTATGATATACTCGTGCACAAGGATTTAATGGTTTACTCATAGTTCCTTTCATTTAATAATAACGTAGATATTTTGGTGGGTTACCTGGAATTAAGAGTTTAAAATCCAATTATAAAGTACAGTAGTACATTTGATTAGCATATGGTGGCATAGTGTGCATATTACTGTATTAAATAAATTGAGCATTTACCAAGGACGTTATGAAATTAAAATCATTTCGTCTACCTTAACTAATTTTTTAATATGAATGTAGCGATGTAAAGATATAAAGTAAAGTAAAACCAGTTGGCATTCTTTCTTAATGAAATGAGGATGCTTGCGAAAATGTACTCATACGGATACAAAGTTTGATACCTGTTAATAGTTTTACCGTCAATACGAGATAAATCGTTGATTAAGAAATACTACTATATTACTATACGATTGAGTCTTGTCTTTACCTATCTGCTAATAATTTAGATACACACTTATGAGGAGTTGCCACGGACAACATAGTAATCACACGTAGAGAAGATTTTAGCATTTATTTTAAATTTTGTTCCATTAAGTCAAATGATAGAAATCTCATCATAAAGTCATGATACATTAAGTTTAAGTAAACTTATCTTCAGTATTGGTATGGTTTACAGTACAATGTTAAAATAATTTTATAATGCATTAGTAGCTTAGGATTAATCTATATATATGTTAATTTAGAATTTTCACCTTCTGTACGTATTCTATTAATTGCAGTGTTTCTATAGAATCGTCAAGATGGAGGTGGGTGATTACATCCTTATCAACTTTGAATAAAGGTTGATTAAGAAGCATATTGTGTACAGATCAGAGCAGAATAAGGCTTGTCAACAAAGCTAAGGTATTATAATTAAAATATTGTTTAAATAGTGACAAAGAATAAAATTAAGCTTGTCAAATTGCCTACTAACATAATTTTATAAACATTACGGTAGTATTTCATTACAGTGTTCGTACTTGCTGCTCTAAGAATGCAATCCAGTCTGTTAATGTACCGCAAATCTACAAAGAAATTAATATATTAAGAAGCAAGCTTTCCGAAAGTAATAACGATAAAATTGCAACTAAAGTAACTAACATCGTTCGCCTGATAGAATATCTCCGGATTGGTGTGACCTTCCATTGTTGTCATTGAAATTCGACCAACTGCCGGATACGTACATGGTACAAGAAAATTACAAATCATGTTGCTAGAAGCACCAATGATCACCCGCAATAACTGCTTCGACGAGATATAGTCCACAGGAAATCTATACAAACATGATCATAATTAATTTATCTGATTTCATGTTTATACATAGGTAATCCGTTCATGCAGTATTGTTTTACATAGTTCTATGAGCAGCAATTTCAATACACAGTTTTAAAAAGCATGTATTTCCTTCATGAAGATAATAAAATTTATCAGTGTAAATTACAGCATCAAGTAATCATATTACCTGGATCGTAGATCTTTTAATTCTTTTAAGAAGGTTAATCGGGTACAGTATCGGCGCTTGACATCGCTGACCAACATAATCAAATCATTTCTTTCAACTGCTTCTTCAACCAGATCGTCAATCGGTAAGTCTTGAATGTCAACCTATCAAAGAATGATAGATAATATAAGTTAACTATATGCTGAATTACCAACAAATTTTAGTATCGTGTTGGTTTTATCACCTGAGCTCCAGTTATTTTCATTTTGGTGATTGTAGATTGTGTATCGTAATTGATATAACTTATCGCCAAAGTTAGGTTAAGGTTAGGTTGGTCTTGTGTTTCATCGTAGATGGTATAATAATAATGACTACCATCTTTCCACACTGAATCTACCCTATTGCAATCTGATGCTGATGTATAAATTTGATGCCTAGTTTTATTGAACAAGTAGTTAGGAGCAATAGGTCAGTTGTTGCAGATCTACGATCGAATGATTAATCATAGCATTAAGATCAGTATTTAAGATGCTTACAGCCATTGATCTGACTGAGATGCCATTCCAAGATTTTGTTCTGCGGAGACTGCTACCTTATCGAGTTGGTGAAGATTTCGGCTAGTTTGCTTCTCATCTTCAGTAAAGTCTTGTAGTTGTTTCTTTAGCTGAACTATTTCTTCCTCAGTGATCTTGTTCTTATTCTGAGTTTCGGCACATTGCTTATTTAATTCCATCAACTGAAGACGCAATTGTTCTTTTTCCTATTAATAACAATAAGACTAGCAGTGAATTTAAATAGAAGATTTACCAGTTATTAAGCGTATAAATCGATCACTAAGTACCTGTACGATACATGTCTGGGTAAAATCAAGTGATTCCTGATCCTCTTGTTCTTTAAGTTGTTGATACTACACATTAAGTATACATTAGACGTTATTGAACAATCACAAATCATAACTACGGTAATAGTAGTACAACTAAATCAAGAATTCCTTTGACTCACTGTTTCATGTGCTTCTTTAACAATAGTTTTCAATTGATTGTGTGATTCCACGAGTTGATCAAAGCCTATTCGTATTTTAAGGTATAGATTAAAGAACAGGTTGTTTTAGTACATAAATAATAATATATTTTTTAAAGAACAAGTTATTTTAATGCCTAGATAGTAATACATTTTTGATCAATTAGTCTTACATATATTAAATATGGTAATACGGATAAGATATTGTTTCTGGGTGTATGCTTTACCCTGCGCCTTACCTTCGATATAATTACAAATATCTTGGCTGGCTAGATTTTCCTTCTGTTCTACCTCTTCTTTAGACTTTTGTATGTAATCCTTACACTGATTTTGCTCTTGTACTATCACTGGAAATGGCATTTTCCCAGAGTTAAAAAAATTATTTGTATAATAATTATTTACACAACATGCCGAATAGTGAAATAGTCTTATCACGATATAGAGTATTTTAATTTAAGCCTATTATATATGATAAAATGTCATAATACGTTTCATCCACCATTACTTCCTTTCATAGTGGAGAAGATTATGTGAGAACCAGTTCGCCCGCTTTATAAGAAAATTTTTTCGGCTACTATGACCTTAAAAACTCTTTTACTACTTGGGCTGTATCTGCAAATCTATTCCATAGTAGTTATAGATAGTCTGGCGGTGCTTACTACAGTATATTCATTAAAATCTTTACCGTTTTCACTATCTTCAGATATATCATTCAGTAGCTGTAATGGATTGGGATTGGTTAGCAAAGCGTATAATTCTTTCTTGCTATGACTGGTTATATAGGCAGTCTTTAGCTTTTTTAAGTGATCCTATAAAGGTGAAAAAGAAAGATAGATTGCAGTTAGTACGTGTAGAATCGTTACAATTATTTAGTAGCTGGACTTTTACTCGTTTTTTTTAAACTGAGTGTTTCGCTATCTTGACGTTAAGTAATGTAATTTTTATGGAAGCTAAGCCATTACAAAATTTTAGTAGAACGAAACTGTTCGTTAATGGAATCCTTATTGTCAATCAAATGCAAAGTAGTCATATTCCTTACTGTTGAGATCGACATAGCCATTTGGGAATTGATTTAAACATTTTTCAAATCCATTATATATGTAACCGTTTACGCTTACCTCAGCCGATAGCAGTTCTTCCTGTGTACATGATTCTGCTTCAAGCGCATGAATTTTGTCTAATGTGTCTTTTATATTGGTAATATCGTTGAACAAGTCTCTGGAAAATCTATTATATACAGTACATACGTCAAATGGTTGAAAGTTCTTATAATAATTAATTCACGATTTGTAAAATTATTTTAGCCAAACTACTTTCATGTCTAGGTACAAATCATTATTTTATTTTGCGTCATCCTCGCTGCAATCTACAATTCGTATACTGTACTGTTGACGTGAAGGATTTTAAAAAAATTTTCTCATTTTATTCTTTAGGAGGTCGTAGAATACTTTCATATACATAAAATGTAGTTTCATAATTCATTATAATCTGTCATCGCTGTCAAGGACTGTAGGAATTGCTTGATTTTTCGTCATGTGCAGTACGAGTATTTCATTTTACTGTTTGCAGTAGAATAGCCTTACAGCTAGATCCGCGTATCATGCATGTGTCCAAAGGGTATTTCTTCGTTCATGATAGAATACTGTCTCACTATCAAAGCTAAATGACAATCTACTATAGCCTAGTGTACAGGATAAGGTGCATAAAATAGCTTAAGTCGTCGATGTTACGCTCATGTAAAAACACTAGCAGTACTATAATCTTTCAATCTTGACCGTGACTTGTAACAACGTAGAATGTAGGCGTCAATATCAGGGTTATTTAAATTAATTATACCCACTTTGGTAGTACTGTCTATTCTTTTCGAAATGTTCTATGCATTCCTTGCACGTTGACGCATAGAATAGCTAGAGCTACAAATATCAAGCTTGCAAAAGGTACTACAAAAGCTGGTTATTCTCCTTAATACCACAAAAGTGCTAGTATTTATTGAAATCATGTTGCATTGACTATTCTAATCCACGTTCATCCAATTTTCACACTGGCATGACAACCGATTCGAGAATAATTTACAAGTGGAAATATCACAAGCGTCTGTCAACAACTTAACTAAAAGAAGATTCTTACCTTTTCGCTTGGTCAGCTACTGCATGTATTCCGCTAGAACTGACTTCCATTCCTAGTTTTATCGTCCGATATTGGCTGGATAGTTCAAAAAAAATTCAAAGAAAGCAGTCGCAATTTCTGACAATTCACTGTACTCTTCAAAGACTAATGTCGATGGCTGACTGGCAAAGAAACACCAAGATGGGGCAAAATTGCTGTCTTAACAGACACTGTTATGCTACTGAAGTCTCAAAGCGTACAGTACTGAATACTATTAATACCGTGGTAGATGAGATGTACTATAGGAATAACTGTGAAAAACTGCCACTGACCGTTTTTGAATTTACCCGCTAAATGCTGAGCATGCGTACAGCAACGATCCTGGTTTACGATACTGTAGAGGTAAAAGAAGTAAAAGAAACCTCACCTCTGTGGTTAGCGACTACATTCACTATCAAAAAAGGATTTTAAAACCAAATTTATTGACACTTTGTAGACCAACTTAATAGCATACATGGGTTGTGAGGTATTTAATTAAGTTAAAAAGTCCAAAAGCTAGTGTTTTGATAACATCATTATATTCTGTATACGAGTGCGTCTGTTGATTGTGCTATTCGTCTGCATGGCAATAATAAAATAATTATAAAAATGGACTCGCATCTGAAAAGAATATGAGAGACTAACATCAATTACACAATGATCAATGCTTTCTTGGGTGCATTTTTCCACCAAGCAATGCGTCAATAAAATAGCAAAATAACCAAACAAATTACCAAGCGAATGCTGAGTAACTATTACAGTATACTGTATGCCAGTGCACGAATAGGATAATAATAGAAAATAGAAATCAGTCATATACAATGGAAAGGATCAGCTGGCGGTCAAAACGTAAAATGCCCATCACGACGATATTTTCTTTTCATAGATCATTGATGGTATTACCCATAATATCACAAAGATTGTACTTTTTTAGTTATATGGTCCCAATTGAGAGTAGAATACGCCGATATGGTATATCTTGGTATTTCTAATTATTTTCTCAGTTGCTAATGGCGACTACCGATCACTCTTCACATCATACTTATAGCACCGATTGTTCACCCCGATAAAGAACGATTTTCAAAACCGTTCGGAACGGTCTGTATATATTTCTTCTAAAATATTGTCGCAGACGTGGGGTCATATTTATAATAAATCAATAAACCTTTAAAATTTAACAATAAGACATTCAATAACGCATCTCGTTCTAAAAAATATCACGACAATAGCATTACATTTAAGTGGCAGAAATAGCTAATAAGAAAGATACAGGTCCTTTTATAATTAGAATTGGTGATAGTATCACCACTCAAATTAACTCTTGATTTTGACTAAATCCCATACACTGTATTAACAATATATAGCATTGCAGCATTTTTATAGTATCATCATTTTATAGTTAAATATCTTGTTTAAATTCATTGCATTTCTTTAGTGTTTGGAGATTATTGAAGACCACTAGTTCCTATAGCTTGACCGTATTTGATCTTTTGGCCCAAGTCCACAGTAAAATTAAAGTCTGTTGGAGCTTCAAAAAGTAAAACTATGGTAGATCCAAAGTTAAATTCTCCAATATTTTCACCTCTGCCAACTCCAACACTACTGACACTACTTTTAGCGTAGTGAAAATCCTTAAATACGCCTTCCGTAAAACTACCAGGCAAATTTGTTGCAAGATCCTAAAACATTCATGAATAAATAAATTGTTGTTAAGACTATAAATAAGATAGTATTATAGATTTGTGAATGCTTTATTTACCGAATCGAAATTTATCTTGATTGAGCCTACATTATAGGCACCAACAGCAGTCATCGAAAATAATCCATGCTTCCATTCACCTCTAAGATTGACTCTCTCGTTATATGCAAACAGTCCTCGTACAAATTTCAAAGCAAGAGGGGACACTGACATTAGCGTACCTGAAGAAAATTTTAATACATATTATTCCATCATCATTTCAATCTAATGACTTTTGTGTATTATCTCGCTGTAACTCAATGAACAATAGATGAAATCAAGGAAGTAACATTTTTGTAACGTTAACCTGGAAAATGACGTCTGTATTGGATCTTCCATTCAGTGGGAGAATGAAAGCGATGATAATCTCCCGGAGATAGATAAATGACACAATGATATAAACATTTATCTACACAGGCACCATTTTTAGTAGGACTATTTACATGTCCATTTGCGGAGCTGTTCCTACAGTACTTTACAATTTCTGAGTCTGGACCAAAAAAGGTTGACAAACTATAGTTGATCCCCTTAACTTGTTCAATTTTATCATCACATACTGCCCCAAAACATAGGATTTGACCATCGGCAGGACTTACCTATATCATATTGCAATAATAGGAACAAGTTAGACATGCTAACGTAATATGTACAGTTATAATAAAGTTATTTATGCTGAATCGGAGCGGAATCGCCAGAATAGGTAGAATGATTTCAATGAATGAATGAGTAGAAAAAAAGGATGTAATTTTGAAATAGCTTATACTAGTATCATAACTTTCTAGTACACTATTTTACTCACAAGATCATGGTCTTTGTCGATTACTCTTGCTCCGTCTTTCAAATGCCTTGTAAAGAATTTCCCAAAGCTTTCATAACAAGTAATATCCTCTACTTCTGCTTCTTCCATGTTACATTTGAAAGCCCATGCGTATGCACTAAAGGCTGCCCATCGCAACCAAATTGGTAGCGTGATATCAGTAAGCATTCCCGCAACTCGAGATAATGAACGGGTGGGTAACTGCTTTAACAAGGTAACCTAGTACAGAGTGAAGTATGCAATTAAATCACAACAGTTACAGTTCATTCCAATGGCTAATAATACTGTACAGTGTAATAGAATAGAAAAGGCCTATACGTTTATCTTGTGTTGATGACGATCGATATTATCTCATACTGGTAATTAGCGAACTCTTTGATAGTCGCTGGATTTCATTTTACAGATAATATAACACATAATCAATTTATAGGCTGTGGGCTCCACCAAGCAGCCTATTTATAACGGTGAATGTGGTGGTAACTTGTATATAATTTGGATATGTAATGTGAGTCATTACAAAAGGAAAGGTAAACAATCGCAAACACTGCAGACTGCCAAGTAAAAGAGCAACTAACAAACACTTTATTGCACAGTGCACACCCTTGATTCCTATTTATAATAATTGATACACTTAATTTTCTTGTCACTTGACGTGAGAAAATGCTACGTACCTGCCAGCTAGGAATTACTAATTCCTCTGGAGTTTGAGTTTGTAATTTTCGTCTCTCTCTATCTCTGATATGACGATATTGTTGATAGCCAACAAGGGCAAATCCTGCAGCTGCCGGAATGTGAAACCATCTCATCGATCCAAGATAACGACGGAATGATATTCTCATTTGCTGCCATCTTTCCCGTTTTCCGCTAGTACTATTTTTCATTTTGGAGTAATATTGTAATGCTAAGGCTGACTTTAAGCGGGAACCGTAAGATCGTAGTCTTTTAAAACCTGTTGATGCAAATTATGATCACTAAGCAACAGAAATTTTTTGCAAGTGTAAAATCATAGCTAAGCTTAGCACGAATTCAATGCTATGAAATCCTCGTGAAAATATCAATACTACGTTACATAAATTCTGTTACTTTGTATTAAATGGATTGGAATTTTGTAGTTAATTTGGTTACTACAGTAATCTTAAGCAAGACCTCCGAATTAGGGATCTTTCTAGGGTTTTGTATTGAAATAGTAGTTTACAATTTCCTAAAATTCGCTATCTCATTGTCTAGTCATACAATAATGCGTATAGTAATAAAGCACTGCTACAGTGCATGCATGTCAACAACTTATTTACGAACAACCAGATCATGAAATGGATTCGACGGGCATTATAAGCATTGATGGTACCAAAAATCCAGACAATTCTGAGTTGATGGTGAGGTTGCATAGACAATACTGTATTTCGTTCGCAGCAATGAGAGTACTTACTATCCAGCAAAAAAATGCATTTACATTACCATAAGTAAGTCGTAATAAAGCAGAAGGTCAGCAGTTTGCGATGCCGTTCACTACTGACTTAACTATGGACTTGATCATGGACTTGTTAACTGACAGACACAGACAGAGATTTTTCCTCTTCATGTCATTGACTTTTTACAATGTAGTACAGTAGAGTACAATACAAAGTACGGTGATGTACAGTGTACAGTACTGTAGATCCCTTCCATTTTCTCCATAGTAGAAGCTGTTAAAATTGCAATTTCTTACAATGGGAAGCCTCCTTTTCAACGATTGTGAGAAATTTCAATTTTAACAGCTTTTACTACAGAGAAAATGGAAGGGATCGAATTCGATGTATAGTACTGTGTAAATTTCAATTTTAACAGCTTTTACTATAGAGAAAATGGAAGTGATCGAATTCGATGTACTGTGTAAATTTCAATTTTAACAGCTTTTAATATAGAGAAAATGGAAGGGATCGAATTCGATGTACAGTACAGTACAGTACTGTGTAAATTTCAATTTTAACAGCTTTTACTATAGAGAAAATGGAAGGGATCCAATTCGTGTACAGTACAGTACTGTGTAAATTTCAATTTTAACAGCTTTTACTATAGAGAAAACGGAAGGGATCCAATTCGACGTACAGTACTGTGTAAATTTCAATTTTAATAGCTTTTAATATAGAGAAAATGGAAGGGATCCAATCCGATGTACTGTGTAAACTTCAATTTTAACAGCTTTTAATATAGAGAAAATGGAAGGGATCGAATTCGATGTACAGTACAGTACTGTGTAAATTTCAATTTTAACAGCTTTTATTATAGAGAAATGGAAGGGATCGAATTCGATGTACAGTACTCTGTACTGTACTGTACGTTACGCCCCTTCATAATAACCCCGATTACTCCGATACTGTACGTCACGTCACGTCATGGTTCTTCGCTTCTTTGCCACTAATTGACACTGTAATTAATTATTCATTTACTTTAATCATTGAAAGAAAACAAAAATGAATTAATTATAAATTAATAGTCAATAAAAAATCAAGTGTAGCGCTGTATTTTCATATTTTTAACACGTCATCAAAATGCATTAATTAATCATCTTTCAACGCAGAGACTACGCGCGTGAAACCAATCAAATCATGCACCCAATTTTATTCTAAATCATATTGTATGTTATTTAAGGTGTTGGGCTGTATAATGTACTTCACAGGAGTTGATTCATGTTTTCTGATCCTTTTTGACAATTTTTACTCATTTAGAAAATCATCTATGACTAAAAGTTGCAAGTCATATCGACTGCTGTATATTTGAAAGATAGGTATCCTTTCAGGCAGAAGAGTTACAGCATCATTGACTTGAAGGAAGAGCCCAGAATTACATCAATAAAACGAGCTACATAAGCAGTACTATGTGATTTGTAGATATCAGTTGATATTATTTGAATAGATGTAAATTGTATTACCAAATAGAATTAATAAAAATCGTTAAAAATGGACGATATAACGTACAGATTATGAATAACCATATAAACTCCACTTATACTGTACATATAAAAGGTATCCAAATCTATAAAGTCATTATGACATACGAGGTTTTGCATTGATCCTCAACGTTGAATAGTATTGTAGTGATATGGAGTCACTGAATCTTCAATGCGTATATATATATATATACATATTTTTAATACTGTACATATATACAGCATGTCTACGAAATAAGGTATACATACGTACGCTCACTGAAACTGATTTGTTCCCTATACTGTACAGTACAACTTAAGATTACACCAATGCAATAACCATAATTAAGTCATCAATAATTTTTAGTAACGTATTATAATTATATATTCTAATACATAGATATTTGTAAATTAATCCATAAGTGGATTAGTTACTATTCCCTAATTATTTTATTTTTAAAAAGAAATTAATCACAATTTTAACCATTTTAGTTAGAAATGTGAAAGTGTTGCTCGTAGTAGTTTATTCTTTATTCTATCTATTTATTTATTTGTTGAGAACTTTTTTCAATTATACATAGTGCTTGTTAAGCAAGTGAGGAGTCAGCAGTGAGCCCATTAGAAGGGAAGTGTCTTTTGAAACTTTTTCAACACAGTTAATTTATTATATTCTTCCAACAGGCTATATATATGCGTACACTGCAATATAGAGCCAGTATGGTACTGTTCTTCAAATGGCAATTAATTGTATGCCATGTAGATAATATATATCCCAGTGTAAGATAGACTTAGATAGTTATAATGTCAAAGATTTCGTTACAATCTTTGTCATCGTTATGTTGTTAAAATTGCCACTGTACATTATGCACCTTGATCACTACTATCCATATCATGCCGTATCAGGTTGTGTACTTACGATTTAAGGACTTTAAACCTGGTTTTAGAATTCGTAGATATGAAGCTGTGCCACTTATAAGACGACTGGCCAAGTTCTTCTTTTTTCTGCGGCCATAATAATAAACCATGTTCAATTAATAAAAAGAATTGATAGATAACCCCGAGAGAATAAGGTATCGCCGGTTGCTGTAGTCCCCTAAAAATTGATCCCTGGTTTAGAGCAGATTACATAGATCATCATATAGCGTAGGATTTAACATGAACTCAATTTAGATTGGCATCTATTCAGATCTATATAGATATACATATCTGTGTTGTAACATCGAATAATCTCATTAACACTTTTACATTATGATTTCATGATCTTATTATACGCTTACGGCAAGCAAGTTAGTACAATACCTCGCGGTTAATATTAAAATTATATGGGTAACGGTTAAGGGGTAAAATGGCCACGTCGTGTAATCAAGGACTAAGAATTTGTGAGCAGTATTTTTTTTGTCAGGCGTAATTTTCGGCTTCTTCGCTATTACGCTATTATCGAATGAAATGATAACTGTGTAACTTGTATCAACTGAATATCTAGATGACTAGATGTTACTATACAGTATATGGATATTATACCCTGTTTTTACCTATAAACATCCGTATGCATATATACTGTACTGTACCGTGTACAGTAAGAGGTAAGCTGACAGTGTGGGTGTTATTATTTTTAGGTTTCTACGATTCATTCTTGAATGCGCTACTTTTACCAGCAGATACTCAATGAGCGTATAATCTACCATTTGATACCGAGAAGTACGGTATAAGCGTAAGCGCAGAAGCTTGTACGCTGCATGTTGACCTCCAGCTAATATTAAGTCAATATTTAACGTATATGCTGTACGGTACATAACGCCATTGCAAAGACTAAATCTGATCCAATTCTACTTGTTGAAGTGTTCACTCAACGCTGTCCAAGAGAAATCGATCGCATTTAGAGACTAAAAGTCAATGGTATGAACGTGAAATTCAAATGGTTGCATCAGATGTTTGCAAATCTCTTTGGATACAGAGCTTTATACTTGAATGATAATGATCGATATAATCGTAATGGTAATCAAATCTAATACTAGATGGTACAGTATATCCTATTTCCTCTCTTTAGCATACCGTTCTCTCCCAGTGTCACCGTTTGTATCTGGTTTGCAGTTAATTTTTAGCGGAGGATGTCGGTCTTTTACGATGAAATTCTTTCACTTGGTGTCCACATGGTCTGTCCGGTCTACTGGATAACTGCTCTACTCTATTTCTAGTTGAACAAGATGGATTGCCGAATGAAATGTGAATCCTGAAAGGGGTCAACCGCCGACCCCACCGTTTGACAGTACAACTAGTGATACAATAGGACACGTCACTTGCACAATGTACACGTTGTACACTACTGTTACTCCTGTATAACATAACCTACAGTATACAATACTACATACTGATACTGTACTGTACTAATTAACGTGGTCTTGCGAGAGATGACAAAAGGATACTGTAAACATGTGATCCTACTTCATTCATACTGTGGGCCAATCAACTGCGCGTTTCCCGATGGGACTATAATCACCAGTTTAGCACCTACTCGGTCCACCTGGCTATCTATGGTATTGACTATGGACTATATTCGAGGTCAGAACAAGTACAGTACTGTACTAACAATTAGCAAATTCGCCAAGCATTTCATACAATCAGCGTGGATTGATTTTGGGGGGGACGCTTGCTGAAACTGCAATGTTCGCAAAAGTCGACATGGAAAGAGAAGTGCCAATATCTGTTGCACTTATTATATAGAATCTACACCATCGGAGGTAACTCCATAACCGAGCAAGAATGTATCTGATATTCCTGATACTGCACTTGGAAAACTAGCGATGGCTCATTGATACGAGTACAGCTAGTTCCAACCTTCGCTCGTGATTAGAGTCGTGATACTTTGTGGTGTACTATGCATGCACTTCCATCTTTATTGTAGGACACAAGTATAGGCCCCAAACAAAGTTTGTGGTCGTAGTTGTATACAGATGTGTAATTTTACGATATGAGTATCTTACTCGTACGGCATAGATGCCCATTGAGTCTGATGAATGAATGATTTATTTTATTTTACTGGAACATATACCCATGCTTATTAAGACGTGGCACCAACGTCTTGATAAGTATGGGTGAAAGTTCTTGGAAACCGATGGATAGCGACAGCGGGGTATAGTACTTCCATGATGAGGAATCACAGGAACAAATACTGCGTCGAAACTCAAAAAGTTACAGGATGAGAATTGCTTCCTTCCATTTTACATACTGTACTTTAGTAAAATAGTACAGTATACCCACTTTTAATGACGTTGGTGCAACATCTTTGCAGTACTTCCGGATTCTGAAAGTTCATGGAAGCCGATGAATAGATGATAAGGAATGGCGGGAGCGAATACAGCACTGATAATGACAACATGAGATGGCTTCCATTTTAATTGACCCTTAGTAAACTAATACAGCCCATAGAAATCAAAGAAAAATTTGGATATGCCTACGCGCATGGTACTTGTGAGTACTCTAGCACACACGAAATGTCAACCAGATCAGTTCTTGCCTATGTCTTGTTGTGCAATGCAGGCTCGTATACTTTAAGATCTCAAGGAGTTTAATAGAGTTTTATTAATTAATCTATTTGGTTGGGATTTATCGTGGACTCCGGCGAATATTGACTTTGTAACATAATCAAAAAAAGCGTATGTTAAGAAACGTTTTAAAGCACTATAACAATGCACAGTATGTATATCTCAGTCCTAACTTATGAACAGCTCAGCACCACACCTCTTTCTTCAGATGAAATTACCTGAAAATCAGCCAGAAATCTTCACTATCTAGAAAGGGAATGGAAATTGGCGACCCTCTTGGAAAGCAGGTTCTGATATAGTTACCGCTGTAAAACCTATTCCATTTACGGTAGGTAGTCAGTGCTGGCATTACTAAAACAAAAAATTTTACTCAGAACTTACTCTTCTCGAAATTGAATCTCTATCCTTTTATGAATTCAAGGATTTTACGAGAGTTTATGAAAAGGTGACTAAACAGATTGAAAAATTACTCATATGATTCTCGGTTATATCCCGCGACAGTATATATTGATTTTTTTTATTATTTAACATTGATTGTATCCTTAAATGGTAAAACATACGGATTTGCCAATCTTCTCGTCAACATTTGCAGGCATCGATTTTCTCTGTATTATCAACATGTTTATTAATCGCCTGGGAAATATTGATGTTAGACGATAAATAGTAGTAATTCTTGCATCTTCTTATACTATGCTGTTCGGTGCATATAGTCAGCAACAGTGAACTAACAGCCAGCAAAGCTTCTTTTAAAAAAATCGCATGCAAGCACTGTTACATTAATTAATAATAGTATGTTTAGTTGGCTACGTTACGAAGGTTGAACATCCAAATATTATTAAATTATCAGTCACGGTATTTAAGTTAGAAATGGAAAATACTGAATATGATTATAAGAATTGAATTGTGGCGCACAATAAATAGAGTGAAAGCCAATTAATCTTAAAATAGGTAAAATCAAACAGCAATATTATAAAGCTGTAGAGTTCAACTGGCTTTTAAATACACGTAAGTAAATATACTTAGTTAGCATATCAGTAAGAATACATGCATAGATGTACAGAATCAATTGACTTTGAAATAGATTGCATCGAAGAGCAAGTTTGTAAGTAGTAGAGTTCCACTATGGCTTGGTTACTGCCTGTACTCATATACGAGTACAATTACCTTCTCATAATTATCCGTGTATATCGTATTAACATTTTCACCTAATTCTGCAAATTGAAACTAGCATAAAATTCATCTTACCAATCAATTAATTAGTAATAATGTCATAAATTCTACTGAATAGACAATACAAATATGATACCATAAGATATACAATTTACTCTGTTTGGGGTCTTTGTTAACACTTGATTAGGAAGTCGATTGCAGTCAATAACTATAGTGTTTAAGCTACACATTTCCTATATTATTTCAAAACAGTTGCCCAGTGATTAACATACAGTATTCAAATTGTCATTGATTAAGAGAATAAAACTGGGCTAGTGGCCTTTTGTTAAGTCTGTAACATCAATGCAATTCTTTAACAGTAAAAATGGCCTGATCGAAATGATTGGTAATTTATGATTACTAGCACTACTTAAAGTTATCTTTTCACTAGATAGCTATTAGTAATATGGGTATACATGCAAATTGAAATTATTCAACTACGTATTTTTAAAGGGTATTGGGACCACTGTTATCGAAATACGAGATTATCGTACCGTTTATTATGTAGATGACGATCATTTAAGATTCCATTATGAGATCTGATTATAGCGGTTAATTTTGCTCCTATTCCATACCAAACAGAAGTATTCATTTATATTTCTGAAAGACACGTCAATAGATAATATCGCCTAATACTGTATTATTTATGACCAAACAGCTGTAGTAAAAGAGCGCAGCATTGTCTATTACTAAATATCATAAACGGCTATTCCATCGCTCTTAACGACAGAAGGTAAACATCCCTGTTAATCAATATATTAGCGAAATGATCTATTTAATACGAAACAATATACTATTTTTCAATGTTGTTAATAACCTATTTTAGCAATATTTTAAATCGATCGTTTCTGATAAAACTGTATTAAAATTAAGGATCTAAATTGAAATTTATAAATTTCTCTAGTATTATGTGTAAAGGCAATGATCAACTCGCTATGATCATTGTTGTAATAATAAAATGGACCATTTTTTAATATTACTAAATCAAGTAAATAAATAACACGTGACTTGTTTCAAAGCTGATTAAAGAATATAACATAAAATTAAATCGCCGTAGTACTTCTTGACGATTCTGTAATGTGTTGTGCATGAGTTAAAATAGATTCTACATAAAGTGTACGATCTAATTTCGTGACTATTTGTAGAATATCGCTATATTAGAAGAGATGGATTAAGTTTATATTGAGTCAGTAACTATTTAAAATAGATCATATTAGTATGGAAAACCAAGAAGGTGGCAACTTATTGCGGTCTCATGATTCATCTAATGAAGAAAATCAACCTAAAGTTAAAGCAATAAGATCAGGTGGCATGAAAGTGAATGTATTTCTTACTCGAGAAATTCAATCGAAACGACAAATGGGCCGATATTATTTTCAACAAGGAGAGTACCAAAGTGCTCTAATCAACTACAAAGCAATATTGGATAAGATGGTTGATCCAGTAGATATTACTATTGAACAAGACTGCTATCAATGTGATATTCTTCTTGATATATCTGACACTTTAAGAGAACAATATCATTACGACGATGCTCAAGAATATTGTATTCAAGCAGAAAAGATAGCCAAAAAAGTAAAAGATAAACTTCGCTTAGCTAAATGTTACGATAACCACGGTAAATTAAACACGATCAGAAATCATTATCAACAAGCGTTAGAGGATTTTAATCAGGCGCTTGAATTCAAATTATCATTGTTAGATGATCGTAACCTCCATGTCTCCGACACCTATCATAGCATTGCTACTGTCCTCTACTTAGTAGACGAAAATAGCCAAGCCCTGGTAATGTATCAAAAATCATTGAATATAAGATTAAATCTGTTAGGAGATGAAAATCTATATGTTGCCTATTCATACCATGGAATCGCAAACATCTACCGAAAACAACATCAATACGATGACGCTTTGACAATGTATCAAAAATCTTTACTTATCCAATTGGCAATTTTAGGATATAATCATGTCAGTCTTGTCGGCATATACAATGCTATTGCTACTCTCCATTGTTCGCCATCTAAATGCAATAATGCAGTTAAAATCTATCAGAAATCATTAGATATGAAACTAGAAATTTTTAATAAGTATCATTTAGACATAGCTGATACTTATCATGGTATTGGTAACGTTAACTATCTACAAAGCAGATACGATGATGCATTGAAACTGTATCAGATGGCCTTGGATATACGATTAAAATTAGTAGGAAATTGTAATTTATACATTGCTCAATCCTATTATGCGATGGGTAATATTTATTATTATCAGGATAAGATAGAGGAAGCACAAGAAATGCATGAAAAATCGTTCAATATTCGATTAGCTCTATTGTCCGACAATCATTTATTAGTTGCTCAATCCTATTACATGCTAGGGCAAATCTATTTATCTCTTGCTAACTATTCTGATGCTCTATCATATCATCAAAAGTGCCTCAATATTCGGTTAAAAGTATTAGATGATGAAAATTTACTTGTTGCCCATTCATATCATGCAATTGCAAGTATTTATCATAAGCAATCTGATTATGATACTGCCTTAACTATGTATAAAAAATCAGTCCAAATTAAGTTACAATTATTCGGTAATAATTACGATGTGGCCTATACTTATGATAGCATTAGTAGTCTATACCTTGACCTAGGCCAACATTATGATGCTTTATCATGGTGCCAGAAATCTCTTACCATTGGATTGACATTATTTGGTGAAAATAATCCATTTATTGCAAATTTATACGATAAAATTGCGACTATTTGTGAAAGACAAGAGAAATTTTCTGAAGCAGCAACTGCACATCAGATATCTTCTAGTATTCAAACTAAAATAAACTTATAAAAATAACCTTACTTCATCAAGTTATATTTGGAAGCCAACACTGGAGACACAAGGTAAAATTATTGAAAACTCCTGTAGTCTTATTGATGCAAGTTAATAAGATCACTTCTAATCATACGCAGGCAAATTTCTAGCGAATTCAATTTTTTCTTTCTTTTTCAAACTATAATATGAACATATTTAATAAATTAGATGACAATAATGATATTCCCCTTGAGAAATTTAACCGAATATTAAATGAAGATCAAGCCGGTAACAAAATTATGCCACAGCAATAAATAAACTATCAAAAATCACTCTTTTAATTGATATACCGTGTGTACTCTACTAGATGGTAACATTGACAGCAGCGATTTAGAGTATTCTTGGGCTATTCCAAGTACTCCGAAAACACCAATTAAGGAAATTTCTATAGATGAATTTATAGGTAAAATTGTCAAAATGGATTGCTGTCAATAATTCCGTCCAAATTTAAATTATTCAGTTATCATCAAAATTAAAATTTGTTCTGGTTATAGATTTATATCAGAAAAATGGTAATAGCTCAAAACGCGATAAAGTAATGATGGACGCTTTATCGGATTCAATTGAGGAGAAAGAAGTACAAGAAACTAACGGTAAGTATTTCACCATTATTCTTGGGAATAGTGACAATTTATATTCTATCATAGTTTCAGAACTTGACGTTAACAAGCTTTGCCTTGATCTTTAATTAACAGATAAAAACAATAATAGTACTCGTAGTCGGTCTGACTCTAGAGTATTGCTGAAAGTCACAGAAGAATCGATTGAAAAAATGATAGAAGAATTGAGTGGTGAGAATTAAAGTTCTTATTCATTAACGGCCTTCACGATTTTATTTATAAATTAATAGACAAAATAGCTAGATTCTAAAGTATTTATACTATGAAGTTAAATAATATCTTCAAAAATAAGCGTATCATAATTAGTTATATATATATATATACATAATTTTAAACTAAATAATAACAAAGATCCTGAAGATGCCCAGGAAAAAGTTCTAAGCATAACAGGTGGAATGTTATATAAATCAGATTGTAAGCTTTGAATAAGTTTACTACAGCCATCTATTCTTATAGTTTAACATTCACATCAATATTTTACAGTTATTTTAAGTATATATGTTTATTTTTGCTACTCTGTAACCCCTAATCAAAGATATAGTCAGCTGATAAGAATTAGAAATTCGATTTTTATTTGCTATAATTCCTCTGTGATATTATTTTATTTGGTTATTTGATATCATAGATGACGATGAAAACGTCAGGCAATGTCAGTTTGGAGCAAGAACAATTCTAGACTTCACTGAAGATTTAAATGAAGGCACGATACAGAATTGGCGCGGTATACAACTTACTGAGCCATTTACTGTTAGCTTAATGATTGTATATAATTAAGAATTCACGGAGTTGATATCTTTTTGCTATAAAGATATTGGTGGCAGTATCGACTGTTTTCAAGATAGCTTGAGAACAACTCTTAAGACCATAATAGAATCATCAGAGGGAGAAGATAACGATTTAAGTGGTGCGATAGATATGATTATAGATTGAATAATATTTTTATGTGTGTACGTATTTAGACAAAGAGTAATCATTTAAATGTTAAATTTCCGAAATTTTTATAAATTCTTCGTTTAAGATGAGAGTAAGTCTGTTGATTATCAAGAAGAAATGAAAGCAACCCCGTCTCAATTGGAAGCTCTTATTGAAGAGAATATTATAGCCAAACTAAAAGGCAAGTTACAATATTAGAAATATTATGAATAAGAGTATCAAATACCTTGTCTGATCCTCAAGTATCATTTAGATGCTGAAAGTAGTTAATTTAGTCGTTTAACATATTTAGAAATGCAAGAGCAAAGCGTTAATGTTGATACCGAAAATCATGCAAATGGAAAAAAAGAAGGTTAGTATAATAAAGTTAGTGACGTAATATACAGTATATTTACAGTATTTACAGACTAAAGATTTGTATTTTTGTGCTCTTAGCTGGACTGGCAGCTGAATAGAATACGTAATGAAATAATGATTCATGTAGTAAATAGCTTCTGAATTTCATTGCAATAAATAAACATGTAAAGCTAATTTAATGATAATTTCTATACGCGTATGAATGAAATCAGAAAGTATCAGTGAGAAATAAGTAAAATAAAAGAATGTATTTCTAAGTGAAATGTAAAAGATTTTCTCTTGTTTGTTGTCCCGTTTTAGGTGTGACAGAGGACAATTTCCTATCTAATTTGTTCAAGATAGTCATAGATAGTAAACGCCGCAATGATTTCGTACGTCTTATGTTTATTGGTCTTTCTAATGCCGGTAAATCATCTGTAATAAGGATTCTAACTCAAAATGGAATAATCGAGAATCTACAATCAACAAAAATTATAAATACTAATAACGAAGTAGTTAATCTTATCCATGATGATAGCAGTACCAACCCTTGGATTTGCGATTTTATAAAAGTGCTTAATCAAAAGTTAGCAACATCAATAGATTCAGTCAAAAGAGAGTTGATTAAAAACCTTCCTGCTGCTCATGATGGCAATGGTGTCGATGCTAAGAATAATAATAATTCTTCTATAACTAATGATCACGGTGAGAATAAACACTTGTCTGGTACAGAAAAAAAGGCAGAGATAGTTAAAGATCCATATTTAGTGATAGATCGAGAAAAGAAAGAAGTGATACAAATGGTAGTGGATCATCAACAGGAAGATCAAATAGAAACCCGGCATGTTGCACACAACAGCACAACTTTACTAGTTAATAGTAGTAGTGAGGAAACAACATTATCTACTCATATATCAAATCAATATCAAGCTTTAGGCAAGTTAGCTGTAAACAAATATTTTCGCTCTATACTTGAAGCACTAGAGGCAACCGTTCAAGTAAATCATGATCGGTATGGTAGCTTATGGGAATTTTGTGGCCAAACCATGTATCGTTGCTTACATTATCCTTTCATACCAGGTCGTGGCATCTATATACTTGTCTTAAACGTAACATCAGATCTAAGTAATACTCAAGATGATCAGTCGGCTAATATAGCCGATTTAGAAGGATTGCATGAATGGCTAACTTTGATCATTGGTAGTAGCGATAATCGCGAACAGATTAAAATGACGGTCGATGGCATCGACGAAGAATATTCTTGGCCTGTGATTGTCTTGGTGGCATCATATATCGATTCTGCTAGAGAGCAATATCAATTAGAACAACGATTTAAACAAGTTGAGCAACAATTAATTTCATCTTTACCACCCCTCTATCGTTGTCATATTTATTCATCCGGTATCCTCTTTAACTGTAACCCTAACGACAATAGCCAAGCTACTGTTAGTCAGCGATTGCAAAGTAGCCGTAATTTACTTCACATTGTTGGGAAAATAACCGATATTTTACCATTCATGAACGACCTAATCCCTATAAGATGGTACATGATGACTATTTTATTACAGCCAAAACCATTTACAAATAAAGAGAATAATACAATGTTTCCGAATGGAATGAAACAGAATATAAGTAATCCAGTTAGTAATATTATGACAATGCAACAAATGCAGCAATTTGCAATAGATCATGGATTATATAAAGATGACCAAGATTTACATGATATGTTGATGTATTTACATGACTTTGGAAAGATATTATATTGCTACCATAAAGTCGATGATCGAATAATTGTAACAAATATTAATTGGTTATTGAATATACTTTATACCATAAGCGCGTTAGAAGAGCATCAATTTCACAGCGCTGCTATTCGACATGATTATCAAGTAGCACGCACAACGGGTAAAATGTCAGAATTATGTTTAAATTATGCCATTAAAAGATTTCATTTAGGTTCTAACGAGAAAGAGATTATCTTACGCTTGATGGCATATTATCATATTGCTTGTCAGATTAAGAGTAATAGAATAGATCATCAAAATGAAGAACGTCAATTTTTTGTACCTTATATTTTGCAAACAAACACGAATGAATTAGAATTGACTGGATATCACCGATCGAATTGGCTTTATATCGGATTTGATCGAAATGATATGAACTGCATTCCTGACGCAATTTTTTATTGCTTACTTGTGTCCTGTTTAAATCAGTGGAATAATCCTCAAATTAAAGTATTTAATCAATGTGCTCAGTATAGCTTACAAGACGAAGATTATGAAATAATCGTTAGGAAGGAAAGATCTTATATTGGTCTGCAATATTGTTATCAAATCATTGAGGATAAAGATTTGGCAGATTTAGTCTTAAATAATATTAAATTATCAATTAGTGATAAACGTCCACACGATATGATACGAGAGCAATTATCAGAGATTGTTGCTAAGCGAATGTCAAAATTTAAAAAAGCTTCCTGCCAATATTATGTTAAATGTCCTAAATGTCTTTTGCCTACTTGCACTGCTCGCTGCTACCAGAATAATCCATGTGTCATTCGATGTCAGTGTAACCAAGTTTTTAAATCAAAATCCGTGGAAGAATGGATGATGGGTAAATCAATAGGTATGCTTGTTTCACTGTAATTATATGTAGATGGTATATCGTATTTGGGCAATCTTCCGGTAGCTTAAAGTAGCTACCTACATTATGCTATGATGAGCATTCAGCAACACATTGTAAATAGTAGTCCACCCTGAAATTCTTAAGGCTACATATTATGGTATATCCTGCAATAAGTGCTGGCGTAGTTGATCATCCTATTTGCGTAGTATATACTCACAGCCTCACCTCAGCAGCTGTTTCTTCACAATTTAGAATTACTAATACTAGATGGAAAATACATAGTAAAATATATATATATTCATTCTTGAAATACTTTACTGTTAAACTTATTGTGACGATCCCATTAACAAATTAGTAACAACATATCTTTAACAAATCTTATGAATCAAAACTTTGATTCGGCTCAAAATCATAATACGAATATGTATAATGTAGTAATATATCTAGTGTACGTGAAATTGATAGCCAAAAATAGTGGAAAGAAAATTTTTTGGATTCCTAGGATCATTACAATCTGTGAACCCTTTTAAATTTTATCCTTAACTATCTTTTAAAGTTTTAGGGTTAGATGGTCAATTACTTTGCGTATTATATCGTTGATGGTATCCCAATTTATAATTCATTAAATGCGCCATTGTCATGGCTTATTCGGATGTATTAAGATTATAAGATTAATATCACATTTTGTTAATCATTTTAGATCTATGTATGGAGAAAGATTTAAATAGTAAAGGTATTCTAATTTTATACAAGACGAGTGAAATTCAAACTTATAGATTTGTAAAATAATAAAACTATATTTTCTGTCTGCAGAAGGACCGACTGAAAGTTTGTCTTCTATTCCTGTAAAGACTGCTGAGAAACTAAGAAGAAGCGTTTCTATTCGAGCTAGAAGATATTGTGATGTGCAGTAAAATATTTATTATAGTAGATATCCTATTTACAAGACTTTACAACAGGAATTATTGTAAAATCATACAATTGTAGCTTGCTTTGCCCTTGCGATCGACTATTCCTTCTATATGAGGAAATATTTAGTTAGTATGTGTGCCACACTTTGTACCTGATATAAGCACTATCTCTTGAATATGTAGACGATACTTAATTATTGGTGTATGTATGACATTGTCACACACCACTAGTGACAAAGTAGTCTACACACGCCAATCCTTGCTGAGAACGCCACTTACTGACTTAAAGTGGCGAGATTAGCTATATCACCAAATAATTCAGTTCCTACGACCGAATACTATAGTATAATTATAGCGTAACTGATAGTGTAGACGAGGTAGTCAGAGATTTACTACTATTTATTTCTGAAGAAATCTTGGCACCCAAGATTACAGTCTTTACAATTCAATAGCAATTGATAAACTAGTTGACTATCTAACCGACTAACTAACTAGAAAGGGATCTTCAGGCACCAGCCTTTTATAGTCTCGTCAGAAACTCCTGGTGCACATAAAGTAAAACTATCCTTTTAAGGTTATAGGAATTATTCTGAATATTGTTATTAAAGACTTCATATAAGATAATTAATTAGCAACCTCTATTATTAAGAACTGATAATAAATTAATAAATTAATAAAGAGCTTAACTAGTAAACACGAGATGACAATTTAACATCTTAATCATATAATTAATTAATGAAATCAATTGTCAACAACACTAACAGTGCATTATCATATTAATCAAAGATTAAGCAAATTATATGAAGAAGTGATAATTAATAAAACATCAATCCGCACAAACAATATTTAATATTACTCAATAATTAGGACGAGCTTACGCATCGTAACAGACATATGCACTGCATGGAGCATTGAATTATATGAATTATATGATTGCTAATTTACAGCAGTTAATGCATAGGTCATACTAGTATTCTGGCTGAATCGACTTGATTGCAGCAGTCTAAAAGCTATTAAAAATTGAACCAGTTATAATATATGAATATGATACATAATAAAATGTTCACCTAACAAATTTGCTTTACTCTAGGTTCTATTTGTGTGCTATAATCGGAACCTAAATTTAATTGATATCGGAAATTATTGTCAATTTCCTTTCAAGTTTCAACACTAATTAATTATATCACGTTCAGCTAGCATTCCAAATACGCTTCAAGTTTAATAAGTATAGTATTTATTTAAATTTGGTATAAAAATCATATCAGCCTTGATGTGTAGAATAGTACTTCTACACAGGGCTGTTAGGCTATATGATGGATGCTGAGTAGAATAATTATAAATATATTTTATGTCTCACTTAAATATAATAATGCGATTGACATTAAAGCTGCAATTTCTGTATATTCCTAGCAAGTCGTATGTATCAACTGACTGCATTATACGAGTAAACTCTAATCCAATGAGATTACTTTGTATAGCATCTTAGTATAGTCTAAAATGAGTTAAATATCCACAAAATAGATTGCTATTTACAGGTCGATATTAGCGCATTTTCTCGACTCAATCAGTGTCTTATTGTCGGAGATCATGTTTGGGTACCCATAATTACCACTACTTGGCTTGAAGTGCTAAAATATCCTGCAGTATTCAGTCGAAGATGGGTAGAAATATATCTGAATATACCTTGATCTTTGCCTACAATCTTCTAAAGATCTAAATTATTAAGTTATTATGCAGAATTTATCATACGGACTAGTATTTTGATGAGCAGCCATTCTAGCAAGAAGACAAGCATGCCTTCGACTCGCATATGTTTTAAGTTACTACGCTGCATAGTCGTGCAATGCATAGTATACTGTACAATGTGGTACAGGCGAAGTAGTTAATTAGTATGCCAATGAATGCATCATCGAACTGAGTGGCCGTAACAACTCGAATGACTAGACCTACATACCATACAGACATCGATTGTTGATTCGATCCAATAGCATTTTGTATGCATTAGTTTCGCACGTCTGCGTATCTATACTATGTCAGAAAATTGTCAATAATATCGTATATATATAGAGAGATACTATTACCGAATCAATTAACAAAACCAAAATAAAAACGTTGGCATTGCTATATTGTAGGCTTGAAAGGACAGTGATTTCTGGATAACTGCTCTATTGGATCCATGTATAGCCTTGCATATAAGCCGTATCTATTCTAATCAGTTAATATGTCCTTCCTGAAAGCGATTACATCCAAAAGTGCTTCATTTTTGCTTAGAAATTATTCTACATCTTGTCGCTTTCTACCACAGAAAGTCAACACCTATGTGCATGCTTATACTAGATCAATTCCAAGGTATGCTAGTACAAATCCTGATCGGAGAGGTTCATCACGCATTTGGGCTCTTGTAGCTGGGCTGGTACTTGCAGGTATAATCTGTATGATTAGATTGATTCGACAATCTTATGTATTTTGTACCAAAAGCTTGATTGATTGCTGACTGATTGGGGTTGGTGTTCATATACGACAATTCCGTAGTAAAGTTCATGGATGGTATATTGTATACATTCACATTTTAACATAGAGATAGAATGCGATAGGGAAATATGTATAAGTACTGTGCATGCTAGTCTACAATGTGCGGCATTATCAGAAGCTAATTTTTGATTAGGAAGATAAGTGCCTATGATATTGAAATTAAATATTATTGCAAGATTGATCTAGATAGAATAATAATAATTTATTATTACTTAGGTACCACATGCAACAAAGTAATAACTAAAAATGACATTCAATAATTTAGGTGGTGCTGCATTAGCTTATCAGAAGATGAAAATTGAAAATAATAAAAAATTGCTAATGTCAAAACCATTAAAAGAGAAAATTTTAGATGCTCAGGTAACGAATGGATAAATGGACGTGCTTTATATAGCTAGTATATTACTCTTCAAGTTGTTGATGGAGATGTCAACATTATTAATTTCGATTACAATAAATGCAAAAATAAACTAATAGTTCATCGCCACTGTAATGGATAGATTATATAAGGGTATTGTGATAGTATTTCCTACGTTAAATAGCTGTACTATACGAAACTATACAGTGGCTCCGATTACCGTCGAAGTAAATAACTTTTTAAATTGCAGAAAGAGATTAAGGAAGGAAACTATCTGAAAAGTTATAAGCTCTACCATGCTGCACTAGAAATATCATCTTGTCCGCAAAGTAAAGAGGCTGATAGGAATAAACAAGCTTTTATAACTGATCAAGTAAAAGCACAACGAATTACGTACTTGTAATTGTTTTCCTCTTACAAAGTCTGATTTATGTTTCCTAGTGGATAAATCAGTAACATGAGTAAAATGATTTATATCTTAATATCCTTGTTTTTTATGTGTTTTAAGATTGCAAATCTGGCTTATATACTGGAAAAATATACAGAGGTATCCTCTTTAGTATTATTACTGTCTTAGAACATACACTTAACTACTTTACCCTATTGGATGATAATAGAGAACGTATAATACACATATTACACGATATGAAAGAATCCAATACCTCGTTTATTCTTTAAGGCTGAAGATATGTTTAAGAGAACTATGAAGATGATGATTGCATCGGGCACTCCACAGGCACGTAAATGAGAATAAGAACAGTTTATAGTGTATAAACGACAGTATAATGTAGTTTTAGTTCGTATTGATAATAACCATTTTCGTTATAGCATAGAAGCTTTAACTAATTAATAATCGAATTTGTGCTATTAGCTTATGATTTCTTCGTGTATAAATAATTTGTTAAAATAATGTTACAGGATGATAATGCTATGATTGAAATATCATTGAAACTCTCCAATATATATGAAAGCAAAGGAATGTTAGTTTTATCCTGCGAGCGTAATTGTATAAACTAGCATTGGGTAGACTACAGCTATTTAACATAAATTATGAAAGTATCCAGGCAATAGACTAAATTATATTTTAGACGACAAGAATTAATACATTGCCATATTATATATGTACATTTTAAATCGTTTTTAGGAGTAAAGCAGCTGAGATTGGATATAAATGGTGTATTAGTACAGCTGAAAAGAATTGTAAAGGTGTAGAATATTCTCCTGACAGGTAATTTAAGATAGTGTTTATCTTTAGCAAAGTGATCGATCCTTTACTAATGTATTCTATAATTTATTAGTAATGCTCTCTTAGGTATGGCGCAAGAATCTTTGGGAATGTTTTATTATCAGCATAGAAATTTGGCAAAAGCTAAAGAGTACTTAGAATTAGCATTAACTACAGCGAAAAGAACAGTCGGAGTAGATAGTCCTCAGGTGATTCTAATGTAATCGTATCGCAATATGCTAATGAGAAATACAATTATAGAGTATTTAGAATATAAATACTAAATCGATCGATTGATTAATTATAATATATGCTAAACGCAAAGGGCTTAAAGAAAACTTCATGGTACTATTTTTTGCTACAAAAAGTAATTACTCTTTCATCATGCTTTAGGTGGCAATTATTCGCAATCACTTATGTTTAGTATATTTAGAAAGTGGGGAATACGATACCGCTGAAGGTTACATTGAGCTAGCAATTAAAAATGCTAAATCTCAAGGTGACGATCGTCAAGTAGCTGTTTACCTTGTAAATTATGGATTTCTTCATTTTAGGAAAGGTAATTAAAAAATCGGAATAATTATCTATTTTATCTACTGTATAAAAGGTTTGTTAATATGAGGGGAAATTAATGGTATATTTCAGTAACTAGTAGAAGACTGTACTTCGTATTTACAGTATAGTAACAATTTACTCTTTCTTACTTTACAAAGAAAATTATACGTATACCCTTGCAATATTACGGATGGCATCACGCGTCTCTTGATAGTGTAATTTATTTAATTCACTAATCGTAAACGAAATTTGTCTAGGTGATGTTACGGAAGCTGCAAAGTGTTTAGGGCAAATTAAAGAGTTAAAGGAACTTGCCCCAGACGAAGAACTGAGTAAAAATATGAAAAGCCTTGAAATGGCTATCAATGGTGAACTAAATGAGGAACAGCTGCGCAACTGATTACTCAAATCTCAGTTTATTTTAGTTACTATGACATAAAAATAAACATAGAAGTAATGGAACTGTATTAGACGATACAGTCTTGTAGATAATATTAATACTCTTCCAAGTTTATAACTAAAATATTGTTTTATGTTATCCTGTATTTATTGCCTTCGTCAAAATTCAAGTTTTCGCTACATTCATATTAAAAAATTTACGAGAAATTTATGTTGATCACTGACGCCAAGGGATATAATTCTGGATTATTTTCATTGATAAAAATGCTTTAATTTGACAACTGCAATCGTTTCTGGTGTTTCTATTTAAACGCACTCATAGGTAATTTTTAATTAAATAAAGAAAATATTAGCACAATTAATCTAATTTACACTGTCGCCTGAATCATAATGGGATATTTTTCGTCTCAGATATTCCACCTTATCGCTAAAAGAATCAATAATCCTCCATTCGAAATGCGGAATCTAAAAATTAACAAAGTAGCTAGCATTATGTACACATTGATCAAAGTTATACGGGAGTGTAACACTACTGTTGATAGTTGTTTAACTACCGTGATATAATGTAAAATTTACATTAGACAGGCCCTATTGGATCATACCTGTATTACGTTATATCCAAATTTTTTGAGATGGTTCTTCTTTAATATAGATGGACCAGTATAAAGCTGATATTTGCGTAGAAAGTGAGTTTTCCCATCAACTTCAACAATATAACGCAGTCGATTGTTTTTAGCTAATGGTGTATATAACTCAGTAGTTGTTTGTGCTTTTTCTATAGGGATGGGTTTTCCAGATAAGTCAGTTTCAAAGTATAAATCTGTACTATATCCATAAGGTGTAATGAATTCACTTTCTAAGTATTCAGGCGATACTATACTTTCTAGAGCTGCAGTCACATCCACATGAAATGAATATGAGCTAGTTAAGGATGATTGCGAGGTGGTATTAAAGGTTTTACGATATTTATTTAAATAATTACGTAATAACTGCGGGTCTTGACTACCATATTCATCAATGGAGCCAATCGATAATGCAATTTGATGTAGTTGGCATTGTGTTTCATTTGGTAAAGCACCACCACATGCTATAGCAACAAGACAAAGATACGATTATTTACACCAGCACAAATGCTCTTATTACCCATTGTTAAAGCAACTCTATTCAAGAAAATGTATTACTGTACCTGTTGTAGCTTCTTTTAGAAATTGCGGATTCATTACTGCAGCAACAATATTTCTAGGTTGTCTGTTAAGTACTATCAACGACCATACAATCCTAATGATGAGTTCATGGGAGGTAAATCTTGCAGGTGGTGATCCTTTTAGCCAATCAGTTACGTTCACTTTATTGAATTTTTCCAATAATTTCGAATCGCAACTATTCATTTTTGCGAAAAAGTACATAAGATCTGCTAAATCACGAAGGTGCCAGTCCTTCAACCTACTAAAAATTATTTTATCAGTGAAAGCTTTAACTAAATTTGGCTCATAATAACTGACTTTAGCATATGATAACGCAATATTTGCCATTGCTTGTGGTTCCATATTATGTAATTTTTTTATAGTACTTTCAGCAACATCATGAAATAGTTTTGGAATCATATAATTAGATTTAGCAAAAGCTAATAATAGGTTGGATAGATTTTGTGCAGAAAACTTGCGCATTTGGACTAAAGATTCATCAGCAATAACATCGAATAATTTGTCATCGAAATAGTCTAAGGAAACCAAAGACCAAGCAAATATTGCTAAAGAATCAGGATTCATGAATTTTATCCTTTCCATAGCAGCGTTACCTAAAATTTGAAGAAAAGCATCATCCTTGTTACCAATATTGGCTAACGACCAAGTCACATTGGCAATTCCTTTTCCATCAAGCTTATTAGCATGAAATTTAATGTAGAGGGTTAACTTTGACCATAGCCTTGTATTTTCTCGACCTAATATACTTAATGAATGGTAGAGGCCAGCAGCTTCTTGAATTTTAAATAAGGCTAAATTTTCCTCAGCTTGTGTATCAATTAGATCATAAAATTTGCTATCTTGATATCCTAGTTTCGCAAAAGCGTGATACAACTGATTGATATCGTGTCCAGTTGCAAGCTTGTGACTTCTGAGAGTAATTGTCTTGATTAACTTGTCTACAATGACATCGCTTTTTAGCTTTGGATAATTCGCTACAGACCAACTGACCAATGCTAGTTTTTGAATAGGTAACATTTCAATATTTGATTCTAATCCGGTTCTTACAGCTTGCAACATATCTAAGTATTGCCAGTTTTGACATTTAAATCTCCCTTTAGCTAAGCTCCAAGCTAGATGAGCGTAATTGAGACCAGTCATCGTTTCACTCCTTACCGTTACAGCCTGACATAATCGTGCAAAAATTCGATCGTTACATAACTTCTTCCGTTCATAATAAAGGCTCAATCTTGATACTCGATCAAAAGCTGTAATAATATTGATATTGTCGAAACCTGGCAAATGAGCCTTGGTAACACCCAATAGCTCGCTGACTGAATTACATCCTATAATTTCGCGATTTATGTAGATTGAAGAATCTCCTGTTGTAGATTGCTGTACAAGTGATCTCCTAATGGCAAGGAGGTAGCACACTTGTGGACGATGGATCGCTTGTTTACAATAAGAAAGCCACATTATCTTACCATATGCATATAATGTAGCATATATTTAAGCGTTTATAATGATCAATAAATGAAATGAAAGATCTTATAGGCACAATCCAGCCAATTTTTCTATCAAGCTCATCAGTATCTAGGCAAAATTTTGCCGCAGCTGTTGGGAAAGCATCGACTTACTAGATGTGCAGTACTATACTGTACAGTATAAGCTTTCAATCCGCTGTAGGTTATATAGTGTATTGTATAGGCTGCCAAGTCCTATTTTATACAGTAGACTACCTTCCGTAAGCGACTGCAGGCAAATGCGCTTCATTCATCGATAGTATAACGCAGACATTAGCCTGGACAACTATACGATAGACCAGCATGCAAAGCTCATCGTAGAAACTCTATACAGAATCAATCCAGGCAATGGTTGGCTAGCAACCATTTCCTTCTTTCTTCCTAGAAGACGAACACCGAGAGCTACTTTGAAGAGGCTTCGATCAAGCTATTAAAGGTTACTAGACCTTAGGGATTCTATCACCATGACAGAATTTAGATCAATATTTGAGATTAGATGTACTCTAAGATGATTTATTGCACGCTTGATCTGTATTCTAATTATTATTATTGAGTGGCTACAATTTCATAACCTAATGTATAAAGTCAAGGAAAACACCAATAGCTTGATGGTTTTGCAGACCATAGGTGAGTATATTACAAGATTATGTTGTGATTAAGATAGAGTTAATTAGAACCGGTAGAATAAGTAAAGGAATCATTATTGGGATATCTTTATTTGATGCTATATCTCGTTAATGTCTTTTTGTTCAGCTCAATCCATAAAAACTCTCCTTGGTTGCAATAAAAGGTAAGAACAAATGCCTCAACAGTAATCGTGGTAGGAAGGAATTTTTACTACTCAGCTGTAAATCAATTGAATCTAGATGATAAGCTGCTATTAGAATGGCTAGATATATATGAGTATGCCAACATACTATAAATTATATGTTTTATAAGTATCAAATGCTTCATCGATGAGAATGACGAAACCGCTGTCAAATTCTTGCTCACACCGCTAGATTTCTTACAAAATGTAAACATCCTTGTAAGTCATTCAGTCTACAATTTAGACGCTAATCTATATAGTTATATCTATAAATTATTAACTGTGGACTACTAATGCAAATATTGTTTCATATGATAGCATCCGGCAATTCATGTCATTGCGGAGTCCTGCAATAAACACTGCAAAGAATACGGTACATGTAGTACAACATTATTAGTTATAGCTGGATTACTAGCTAAAGAAACGGAATGCCTCAATAAACAAGTAAAATTAGTTCTTTGTGCTTAATGTATAAAATCTTTTGAAGAAATTCATGAGTAAAATTGATGATCTAATAATTAAAGTATTAATTTAGGGAATTCCAATACATGTCATTACAAAATTATTCGATGAAGCATTAGCAATTTGTATCAAGAAATGTGAGCAGGTGGCGATAAATTTGTCGAGCATGAGCTCATGGTCTATCTTAGCTGAAAGTCATGAAAACGAATCTAATCTTTCACCAGAAGAAAGCGATGAAAATAACTTATACGTAACTAGAATTATTAATATGCAAGATAAAAACGACTTTAGTATCTTTCTGAAGGGAACATATGATAAAATCGCCACAATGTCAGAAACAGATTCTAAAATTTACACAATACTATCTTATCTAGGGTAAGCTATAATTATATATCTTTACTACTGTTTAGTGACACGGCTATCCAAACTGTTAATGCATTATTTTGCGCAATTAAAATTAACAAAAGTTCATAAATAAGACGACATTAGATATTAAATATCTTTTATTAATACTTTGACGTTGTTCGTGACTGTAATGGATGTAGTAAGCCTTATGTCAGTGTCGTAGAATTTTTTGGCATTTACTTGCTGCTGATTAGAAATAGATTTAATGTTAATTTCTCCACCTATGTTGTAGTCAAAAGTTAAGCCGTGGCGATTACTCATTAACCAGACTTGCAATAGATGCTTTATGGAAGCAATACCAAAATTCAAGTACTAACGATTTAAGTACATGCAGGTACTTTAAAGTTACATTTATCTATGATATCGTCAGAGAAATTCTAATGGGAACAATAAAACTTAATGAACAGATTTTATCTCGCCACAATTGATACAATCGAGATACTTGGTCCTCCAGTAGCAGAGTCGACATTGATTTCAGGCATTGTCATTAATTGTACTAGTGAAGCATACTCGTTATGTGGAAAACTTAACAAGAAGAAATTAAATATAATCGTAAGTGATTAAAATATATTTAACTATTTTATTTTATTTATGCTGATACAGAAGGTCACTTAATAAATCCTACTGGTTATTACCTTTCGTACTAAAACTGTGGGTTACGCCTATTGCTTGTTTTAACTATAGTTACTAAATGGCGATATCACTTTTCAATTTCGACATATTGGATATGAAGATAAATATAAAGAAGTAACTTATATAACAGCTGATCAATTAAGTATGGAAAGAAGAACAGAACAGGATAGATGGCTGAAGAATATCGCTGATATCCTACACAAGGTTAAAGATGTTTATGTTTAACTCTTTTATAGATAGTTAATTTGTAGCCATAATTTCATCTTATTGAAAAATTATTCAGAATGACATTGGTTTACTTGCTGTGAAAGGATACGTTGATCAGCGCATTGTGGATCTTTGTCATAGCAATGATATAGTATTATTGTCTGCGTTAAGTTACAATCAACTTAAAGCTTTGTCGTTAGCTACCGGAAATGTTATCTTGACGTACATTCCCGACTTTAATGAGGTATATCGTTCGACACAGAAATAAACATCTGGAAATACTCAATCATTTATGAATAGTTTGCTAGTAGTAGCATACTATTACTTGTAAATAAAATTCTGCCTTTTATATATTTATTCATCGATGCTTACGATGATTTCATTTCTAGGTACAAATTGGACTTACAGTCACAGTACAACAATGGGTATGTGGCTGGAACTCTAAGAAAACTATAAATAAAAGGACCAATAAAGCTGTTGTATCATACCATGTCTTAATCCAATGTGAGGTAGGCCATGATATTGTACAGTATATTGCAAAGGGAAATATATACACGCTATTTCATTCTCCGTAATTTGGATATTAAAATGGACAAATTAGGCTCCGAAAACTACTTTGCAGATGGCGGTCATACATGGTAGTAGTAGAGCATCTCTCAAGAGTGCAACGCAGCGCTTCAAATCTTGTTTAAACCGGATTTACAATGTTTTACACTTTGGCAGATGTTTACCAGGAGGTGGATACACAGAATTGCTTTGTTCTGAATATCTTAAAAGTAAGTTATACTCCTATAAAATAGTAGGTGAAAGTACTTAGCTGCGATAAAATTTACACAAGTAGTAGCTAATTCGCTAGTTAACTGAGGTGGTTATAACAATAAATTTACACGTAGTATATCAGTACTGTTCTTTTAAGGACTAGCTAGGGCTTTATTATAACTCATGAATATATTATATAATGTCAATAGTTCAGAAAAAGTTTATACCGCCTTCTAAAACAATGATAATAGGTAAATCTATTACAATTTCTATATTTCATGATATCAATTAATGACTTTATAGATCATAAAGTGATTGCCAACGGAATGGATGATGACAACAAATCTGTAAATAATATTTGGTCTTACGAACTAAGCTTATATCGTTCGATTGTATGGACTGCGTTTATCAACGTTTTAGATGATTATGTTGCTACTATATTACTGAACGACGAGTGTGGTAATAAATTTGAAACACTCAATTTAGTTCATCAATTCAAAAAGCAATGTATCGATATCAGTAAAACTAAGAATTTTCTTTATTCGTGGCCAGTACTTGACGACTTCACTGGTAAAACAGCAGCTTGGAAGCAAGCAGTTCACATCGTTAAAATTTTGGCTCATAGCGATTATGTGATCATAACCGATGTAAAATAAAATATTTTCACTTAAAAAGTATTCCTGTACAAAGATTATTTTTTGATTTTATATTATATTTTAATTAGATCGCTTTGTAGGTGGTTATTATTCTTATACACTTAGTATACAGTACCATTTACCGTAGTTGATTACAGCTTATCAATGAATATAATTTAGTCAGCAACCCAGATAAAGGAAAAAGAATACAAGCAGATCAATATCAGTTTATTTAAAAATCTCATTAATACATAACGAAAATTAATTGATCTAGATAGTACGTACAGACATTGACTTAATCCTACCGAAATCTTACACCGTTAAATCGTGCTTCAATCTCTCATAATACATAAGTTTGTCATATATCATACCTTGAAACATAATCTAATAGAGCTGATAAGAAGCTAGGGTAATGAGTGGAATATACAATATTTTTACAAATAGAAACTGTTATCCAAAAAAGAGCCGGTAGTTCTAGCACTTAATATATTTATATCATTTTAGGCTACCCGCAATACCAAATAATGCGGTGCTGACTACTCCTGTCATTGAATATATCGTCTCAAGTGAATCAATGTTAAAATTGCAAGCAAATATTAAGCGTCAGCACGTAAGAACCTCTAACACTGATGACGTTATCGGATACACCTATGGCAACACTATAGCATTCGTTTCGATATCGTCATGCAACAAGCTGCACTGCACGGCTTTTCAAGCCCATTAATGTTTTACTATTTCTTTAGATTAAAATGTTTATACAGCCGTAAAAAAACTAAATCTTAGATGAGTGTAGTATTTAAGGCTGCAGTACTTTTTCTTATACCTAATCACACCATTAACAATATAGGTGAATTATAGCTATGTAAGTAGAACATGATATAAAAATTTAAATATAAATAATAGAATCTTTATATATTTGTAATTCTGTATATGGGATCTGCCAGAGGAATATGTCGATCTGGTCCATGAATCTCATGACAACGTTTATCAAATGCGCTAATCATCTTCTTAACGATGTCTTCGAAGAAAAGGCCAGATAACTGATTATGGATAGATGAATTAAATTCAAAGATAATCTAGAATAGGAGTTGGTTAAAGAAAGGCAATTAGTTCTTTCGAATGCAGATAAGTAATTTAACAAGAGACCATAGGCATTTGCAACTATGAATACATAGATATCCACCTCAAATTCTAAAAAACAGGTATTGGGATTATTTGCTAATCCAGGGCTAAATCTCCACGTAGTTTCTAAATGCTTAAATAACCTTCCATCTTTGCAGACGGCCTAAAGGTGACAAAAACGATATCCTAATCAACGCTTTCGTTACCAACAGCAAAACATTTATTTTTTAGTAGCAATTACGCGGCGTATACTACAACGGTAATACTATTGCAAAAAAAGTGCGCGTATAGAGAGTTTAGGATGTCATAGAGTATTATATAGAAGAAATTGTCTACTTCTCCAATTACTTACTCTGGCTAAAGTTGGACGAATTAAGGTGACTACAGAAGTATATGTCTCTGAGATAGGAGGAAAACCAACTTCTAATGTTGCTAAAAAACCGTTAGGAATTGGGCGGACCACTTTAGAGGAGCGACACCAAGGAATAAATTCAGCGTAGTCAGTCACATCGGCGACAACTTGAAAGACTTCGTCAGCTGAATATCTACACGAGGATAAGAAATAGATGAGATAATGATACTTGACAGCTAATCACTATAGGGATTTTGTTGATGATTATTTTAACTGACAATTAATCTGTGACTCGATTAAAATAATAATATTTAGAATACAAGACGCTATTATAACCAGACGTGGGTAGATATAAAAAACAAAAAAAACAGCAATAACAGTATAGAATCGAACAGTTTTATGAGTATTTCAAGCAAATTGAAGTCGTTCCATTAGAAGTAACCATAACCATAACACCAGTGTCTGTATGTAGTGTACACTGTACAGTACAGTATCATTTTGTATCTATTATGCTAGTAGTAAAGTTTTCCAACGAGTAGAACACTGTTTTGACAAAGATTACAAGAACTGATACTTGAACTGCAATTCATGCGAAATATCCCAATGAAAGATATAAAGTCATCGTCTATAGCTAAATCGATGATAAGATACCATCAAAACACATATAAGATTGATAAAATCAGGAAAAAATTCTTTTCAGTTTTAACTCTCCGCTACGACGACTTGAATCTTCATGTACACTTACCCGACTAAACGATGATCACGATATTCATTTTTCTTGGATGGTGTTCGAAATGGATTGCTGAAGAAAAAACGCCTTGGTTGTTTGGTTACAGTAGTATTGAAACTAGGAATAGGTCTTTTTGTGACATTAAGTAAGAATCTATTGACGAAAAGGAAGGGAAAAACATCCAATTATTTCAAATTGCAATTTACAGTACAACGATCGTTCATAAAATAATGCACTGTGGAAAACTACAGTAGTGGTACACCGGGAGGCATTGAATCAACCATGTCCTCCATGTAGCACAATATTGCAAAGTTCCATTATTATCACCTTGTACAGTAGATGATGATCATTTTTCGACATTATTGTTGATACATACTATCGATCCGCATCGCACCTAAGGCTATTACTATCTGTATTTGTTTTCATACTATCTAAACTTAACCGTAAATCGCTCATTTTGTTACCATAGCGTCAGATTGCATCATCATTGGGTTATTTACAAACATGGCGGAGCAAACTGGTGGTCTATCTGCTACGATGATGTAAAACAGTGGTATAACGTATAGAATCGTGTGCTGTAAACGATAGCTACATTGTAAAGCGCTTATAGTTGTATCAGAAAAAAATGGCTAGCCGAAATAAGGGAAAGAATATACCAATTTTTACAAGACTCTACCCACTGTTGGAGTGAAAAATGGCTGTCAAGATATATCAGCGACGCTTGATTCAACAACAGTGATACATGATGATTATTGAAAAATAATCCAGTGATGGATCAACATTTGCATGACATTGTATGCATTGATATAGAGTAGAAGTAATGTACTATTATTGAACATTTTCAATTTGTAGTAAGAGGAGAAATTATAATGGAAAAAGAGCATTGGTAAACAGCGAGGCTGTCCAATCTCATTTATTGATTTGCCTCCTTGAGCAGTTTTACGTATTGTAGGGTTGGAGCACATGTACGAGTCGAGTCAAGTGGTGCTATTATACTTATGGGCGGGTTAGGGGTGGGTGGTGTAGAGCGCACAGTGACTGTCTAAGCTATTTTTACCGTGGTTGAAAATGATGATCATGACAGCTACCAATATCAAAAATTCAATCTTTTCAACAGACCTTAGGCTTGAAGGCAGAGAATTCAATGTCCTAGGTCGTAAATTATTATTCAAAGTAGATAGAGCTCTTTTTCCAGCAATTGTCGTCGCCATGAAGTGGATTTCCGTCAGTGGAAGTGATCGATTTAGGTTAATTAAGACGGAAAAATCCAAACTCTCCTTCCACCTTGGACTCTGGAGTGCCAGTGGCCAACAGGCGTACGTTGGAATAAATGCACTACGCTGGCGCAAGCTGGCTGATCACGGACTCTACAGTCCCATACACCAGTGAATTGTGCAGTCTACACTGTAGAGTTGTTGTTTTTTTCATCTACCGTGACGTTACGACTTGCACGCTTGCTCAGTAAGGAGCGCAGACTCAAACGGTATCCGATCGTGGGCCACGATCGGGTCAGCGTATCCCCAGCGTACGTATACCATATGTCAGTCAGCCGCTATGCATAGCTCGGTACAGTACCGTGAAGATGACGCTACGGGCTGAGTGTCACGTCCATTCTAGGCAATCAAGTCAGTGGGCACAAGTGAACAACTGGTTTTCAACTGCCTGGATAACCGGTTTTGAATGGCAATTTTCAATCCTGAATATTTCTGTTTAGTCAGTGTACAGTGTATGCTAGTCTACCTCCTCGCCATTGATTTGATCTTAGTGACTGCCATCTATCCAAATGATTTCCTCGACATCCATTGATTATGGATATGTTAAAGCAGATACACTTTTTTATAGCTCGGACTTGCATAGGGTAGATACTCGTTGGCACAGCAATCGATCGTCACCAATCGTCATGGCTACGAGCTACTGGCCTACTGCTTCTGCCATGATGTAATATTCTGAGATCCGACGTACGATGTGCGTGTAGCCGGTTGTAAAACCTTGCTCAGGTCTAGTTTGTACTATACTGTACAGTATAGTGTATACGGAGGTAAGAAAGTATGGGAATGTCACGGGACTACTTACTGACAAAGTTGACTAGGCTAACGTAAAAGCACTTACTTTGAGTAGCTGACTAGCTGCTACAGATTACTATCCGAATTTGTCCCAAGATGTAGCAAGAATATTACGTACTACCACTAGAATGCCTAAGAACTACCCTTGTAAAAGGCTCATAACCCGTAGAAACAAACGCTGTACTAAAATGTACAAAACAGCTTTATTGACAGTGAACTCATTCCTCACTCTTCTCCCTTACAATGAAACACTGTCAGCAACAATACTTTCTTCAACTCTATCATTACGGCAACGTAATGTAAAAGGGGAAACATGAAAATTTTCTCCAATTGAGGCATAGTGTAGTAGAGATCTATATTTTACGGGATATATATCAGGTTTGAAGGAAATGATCTACGTGACTGTAAGGCAATTGAAAGAAGAGTACGCATGTCATTTCGTCACCTCAAGACGTTTAAGTACTGCTTCGGGCACGACCATGCTTTGCATACTACTGTACAGTACAGTAGTGGATATCCCTGTACAGTACAATACTGTAGACTACAGTCTTGAGTACTACTGTAGAGCCAGTACTGTACACTGTACTCGCCGACACCATATCACGACCACCTTGTTTACCGGCAGCAACTTGACACTACCGCTTGGCAAACGGGCACGCTAACGCTGACCCCATACTAGCCAATAGTCGTTGATCCATGCTTTCCAGCAGTACGGTACTGGAGTAAGGGTCGAGCAGAATAAAAACGATCGCCCTATTCACTTCACCCTACCGGTTAGCTGATTGCCAGCCTTCAATGTGCAGATGTTGTCTAGACTTGCAAGCAAGAGATTAGTTTCTTCTGTCAAGGTAAACCGATAAAATTACTATGGAATAATCCAATCAAAGTATCCCCTTTCATCGGAAGATTGATCCTTTGCTTTTTTGATGAAGGATACTCGTATTTACATTCAATGCTACATCATAAATTGACCATCATCGAATGGACATTTTTACTTCATCAATGTGTCGTCACATCAACCAAACTAGCAACCTACAGTACAGGCTGTACTACTAGTACTGAGATATCATTTCTATTTAATTGACATGAAATGGAATTCCATTTTTCCATATTGTAGTACAGCAGACACCGGCCGTCATGGCGCTTCCAAATTTCAATTTTTTCTTTTTCTTCATATAATACTAAACAACAGTACTGCCATGCATATGGTGAATTCTGTGTGTCAATTGTCACCCTTTATTAGTCTAATCTCTCATTTTTGATACAATTGCCCTGATATGGAACATCCACTCTACCGATAGTTAAATCAGGAGTTGGATCCAATGAGCTGAAATGACAACCTGAACGCATGATAGCCTTGATTGCTAATTTATCTTTGTTTTTGCGCTATTTCCCCCGTTCATTACGCCTTTCTGAAGCCATTGATCCGGTAAGGCAATAACACCCGTAACGATGCTTACTCCCCAATTCAATACAATAGCTCCCCAACGTAAAAATTGGAAGGATCCGTGGTCTTTTCAATCGGATCGATTCCACTTTGTTGAGTATTGTACACTATTTAGAATTCTGCACTTTATACGTAAACTATTCAGTACGAACTACCTTTTCACCGCAATCAAAAATAGCTTAAAAGCCAATGATTCCGCTAGCTATTCTATCAGCCATCGGCTAAATGCGATACAACTCGGATTTTTGAACTTAGTCAAATCGATAATACGTATGATGATATGTATAACTTAGGCCTGTTGCATCCAATGGTATCATTGATGCCTTTCTAAAACTTTTTGCAAATTTAAAATTCATAATGGCTATAATCGACAGTGCTTGTAGTACGGGAAAGAAATTCTTAGCGACGGTTGAGCGGTATTAGTAGTCTCTATTCCAATGTAGTTTGGTACAGTAAATCCTAGGGTGTAAAACAGAAATCCATCATTGCTTTCGTATTTTACAGACAATTTAAATGGATAAATTCTAGTTCAATCTATCCGGTAAAGAGATGGTCAGAGAACTTTTACCGTAACAAGTTTCGTAAATAGGTGATGCACCGACCTAATCGATTGCATACATGCGTTAGCTACTTCGGAAGCAAGTGTACGCTGCACAATGGTATCAAATTCTATCCACAAAATAGTATTGCCTAGCTTTCAAAATTAGATCATCCCATTGACGAGTAGTATGTGTAAAATCGAATCCTGTCTTCTATATACTGTAGATTACATAACAAACTGATATGGCGTGATTATCTGTATACGGAATAGAAATACTGTGTACTGTACAATAACGTTTGACGGATTGCAATTTATAGCGAGTTACATGGACGTCTTGATAAGTTTCTGCAAGACAGATAAGTCACCTATTCACGGTAGATCAGTTGATATCCATAATAAACTATCGTAAGTTACTGATAAAATGATAATACAAAAGCCCTCCATGCTCCGCGATGCACGCTGAATTAAGAAATGAAGGCACAAAAATGAATTTTATTGCATGCATAGCGAGACGACGGGTCTATTTTCCTATCGATAACACTCCACTGATTAGAAAACGTTCTACCGTTATCGATATTGCAGCAAGCCTCTCAAATGCAAAATACGGTCACTTATCGTACCGTAAAACGATAAATTTTCGTAATTTGCCGCACTTGTATACGCTCTATCGAACTTCTCAATCTTGATATTGAACACCATCATCCTTTTTGGTGATGGCAATATGCGCAAAGTGAAATATTGTTATTTTCTTTGACATATACAATTGTACATGTACAGTATATGCATATGCAACATAAATAGCGCCGTCGTATTTTAGCCCTACTTGGTACTGTAGTTGGAAGAATGAGCATTTTACTACTGTAGTTTACACTTGCATTCAAATTTGAACTAAAATTTCTCCATTTTTTTTTGCAGCAGTTGACTCCTTCTGTCAACTTCATTGGCGCAAGAACAGTCGCGAATGAGGTTTGAATTTCATGAATTAAATAGGGATAGGAAAGCCCTTTGTTTACAGCATTGCTAAATTATTACGGCATGATATAATTACAGAGTTTACGTGATGCTCTCGAGAGGCTAGTTCCCGAAAAGCAAAAGGAAGTTGCTGAATTTCGTAAAAGCTATGGAGACAAAGTGATCGGAGAATATACAATTGGCCAGGTACTGTTAACTGAATCGCAATACTATTTCAATATTTGTGTGGGTTCTTCAAACCATTTAAATTCTAAATTCTATGCTTGACAATAAAGCTTAACAAATATACTATCTCATTAAATGTTATTATTACCTAGGCCTACGGTGGAATGCGAGGTATTAAAGGTCTCGTTACCGAAACTTCGCTACTCGATCCGGATGAGGTAAATACTGCCTTAATCCTAGTTATAATTTTGAAATATCTTTACATTTGCGTGCTTATTTACATGTTACAACTATCGAATAAACATTTACCAGGGAATTCGATTCAGAGGTTATAGCATCCCGGAATGTCAAGAAGTAAGACAAAAAAAATTTACAAATTCCAAAGTAATATCGTACTGCTATACTGTAACTTTCTGAACGATACCTGATGATTACAGATTCTACCTTCTGCTGATGATGGTGCTGAACCTTTACCTGAGGGCTTGTTTTGGTTACTTGTAACCGGAGAAAAACCAACCAAAGAGCAGGTATATGGCTTTGCGTTATCTATTTTTTTATTTGTGCAAAGAAATACAAATTTACTTAACTGTATCTATAGGTCAAGCAACTTAGTAGAGAATGGGCTAATCGTGGAGCTCTACCTTCGCACGTCGTCCAAATGGTTAATAACTTTCCTGCAGAGCTACATCCCATGTCGCAGTTTAGTGCCGCAATCACTGCCATGAATAGCGAAAGTAAATTTGCTCGCGCTTATGCAGAAGGCGTAAATAAAGCGAAATATTGGCAGGTTAGTAATTGTTGTTATATTACTGATTGGTTTACAGTTCAAAGTAATAATTTCCAATTTTTTCTAATTCCATATTTTAAGTACGTTTACGAAGACTCTATGGATTGCATTGCAAAATTAACGTCTTTGGCAGCAACAATTTATAGAAATTTGTATCGTGATGGTAAAGTTGGCGCTATTGACGCTGATAAAGATTGGTCTAGTAATTTCACCTCCATGCTGGGATACGACAACCCACAATTTACAGAGTTAATGCGCTTGTATTTGACAATCCATACGTGAGTTTTTCTACTGCTAAAATCAAACTGATTTATAGAATAGTCTTATTGGTAACCATTCGTACATGAATTTTTCTTTATTCATAGCTAATGCTTATCCATACATGTATTTCAGTGATCATGAAGGTGGTAATGTTAGCGCTCATGCCACTCACTTAGTGGGTAGTGCCCTATCAGATCCCTATTTGTCATTCGCAGCTGGAATGAACGGCTTAGCTGGACCTCTTCATGGTCTTGCAAACCAAGAAGTATTAGTTTGGGTAAATAAACTACGAGAGACGTTGGGTGATAATACTACCGATGATCAGCTTCGAGACTTCATCTGGAATACCTTGAAAAACGGCCAAGTAAACTCATTATTTTTCGCTTTTACAATTCCGTATACTTTGCTAATTATATAGTTTCATGAAATGATAGAATATTACTAACTTTTAGCTTGCCATTTTAAACAGGTTGTGCCAGGCTATGGACATGCAGTTTTGCGTAAAACTGATCCCAGATATACGTGCCAGCGCGAATTTGCTCTAAAACATTTACCTAATGACCCAGTATTCAAACTTGTTGGACAAATCTACAAGGTAGTACCTGATGTGCTTCTTGAACACGGTAAGGCAAAGAATCCATGGCCAAATGTTGATGCCCATAGTGGTGCATTATTGCAGGTAAATACTGTTGTCAATACCTCATTTTTATATTACTAGTTCTGCATGATAGTCTTGACATTATTTTTTAATTACATTTATTGACTTTTTCAATTCATTTTTGCAGTATTACGGAATGACAGAAATGAGCTACTATACTGTACTCTTTGGTGTATCTCGAGCATTAGGAGTTTTATCTTCTCTTATATGGGATCGCGCTCTAGGATTGCCTATTGAACGTCCCAAAAGTATGACGACTGAAGCACTCAAGAAGCTTGTCGGTGCCAAGTAATTGAGCAACTATTTTAACCATTAGGCTTTTGTAGTTAATCCTTTAGTAGGTAAAACTTGTTTTCATGCATTTGATTTAATCATTTATGACTAGCTAATCTTTTATCATCTATATGGTGCCGTGTTGTGATGAATAAAGTAGCATTTTGCGTAGACTACCGGCTGGTAATCTATTTTATTTACAGATAAAATTCTGTTATCGATTTTATATGTGGGTATTAGTGCTGATGATTAAGCCTGCCTTTTAGCATGATCATTGAAAGAGGTTCAGGACAGCTAAAAATCTTATTGATGCAAAAAACCCTTAGCCCTATGTTGGGTAGTAATGGCTAAATATTTGCCTTTATAACTTGTATCAAATACTTTTCTATTTTGGTCGTATTGTATTTTAGCGTACTATGTAGTTAATGTTACACTGGAATCGTCAAAAATTCTACTCTTTTAGTTATTTTCATATCGCTTTCGGTGTATAACATCTTGTAATATTTTGTAAGCTTCATACTATAGTAAATGCACTATTGACAAATCAAAGACATCTTTAGACAAGAAATCTTTATTAACAAAGTCAGCCTTTTCTTAAGTCAATAGCTACAACTCGTGTTCATTATATTGCCTGACGTTAAGGTTGCAAATAGTACATTCTAGTAAACGATGAATATTTTAAAACGCCGCCATAAGCTGGGAAACGAAGTTGTTACTATTGCATGATCATACTTAATTTACTACTGTATTTTTTCATTTCTTAATCGGTAAATACTCCTAAGAGATCGCCGTCACGGTACAAGTACAATTCCTAAAGTTGAATAAATAAAAGTTATAAAATAGTTAACCTTGACGTTATAAGCTTAGAAAACAAAGAAACCTAAAGTACGAACCTTATCCTCCATATTCAATTTAGTGCCACCGTATTCAGGTAACATAACTTTATCACCAACTTTCACCGAGGTAGGGATCAAGTCTCCTTTCTACAAAAATTTTGAAGCGTAGTAAGTACCAAGAGTATCTGCTGATAATATTGAATAGCTTTTAAGTAATTCATGTACCTCGTTCACATTTCCTGGTCCAGTGGCAACGACAGTTCCCTTAAGAACTTTGCCTAGGGAAGCTTCTGGCAAAAGTACGCCACCTTTTGATTTCTTTTCAAACAATGATACGCAAAATCAATGACAACCTTTACCCTGAATATAGGTATACTATGTAGCTGCAGGTTTACACTGCATTTTAACTATATCGTATACGCAATCGTTGACTACTTTAGCTCTCGATCACCACAGCAGTGACAAGTTAACCTTAAAGGGTTAATCTACGAATCTGATCTATTTACGTATAAGGATATCAAAGGTTTTAAAACTTTGATCCAAGACTGCTGTGTCATACGTTATATACAGTAAATTGTAGCGTGATTGAATAAGCCAATACATGATGAAAGTACGTACCGTTGCTGCAGCAAATTTTTCTATTAATACCCTATCAAATAGCGGTTTGAAGTTTCGTAAAGCAGCCTAAAAGTTGAAAATTGAATACAAGCTTATAAATAACGAGTAAAATAATCACAATTAGTCAATTTTTCTCTCTGCAGTAGTACATTCTATATTGCTATCAATTGAGTCTAAATTATTACTACGCTCATATTTGAGCAGCATCTATCAAGTAAAGAGTATACCATGGGCAATTCAAAGACAGTTGAAATTGTTCATGCATGCAAAGCAGCCGTTATTGCTAGTCTACCTTACTGTGGGCCCCGACAATCGTACTGTACTGTATAAACGAATTATAAATTAGGTTTGTAAATGATTAAATTCATGCTTGCAATATGCATTCACCAGCCGCGCAGTACTGTAGTTATGAATGAGCCAGTGACTGTCTTACTTTAACAGTAAATACTGTCAACCATTCCTGGTACTGTAATCATAATGCGCTAACCACATGTACAGGTATGCTAGCAGCATGCTTAGCATGTAGCCAACTCGTTTAGTAATTGAGTTACAGCATGGAGTAATTAGAGTGACCATTCTATCAAGGAAATGAAGTGCACTATAGCAAATGCTATCTACGTCTTCACATGTGCTACTAACCAAGTTCAATACTACTTTTTAAAGTATGACATTCAATGCTGACCAGGCAGTCATGCTAGCATACCATAACTAAGTTAAAAGGCACTACAGTAAATCACTAAACTGTGTGTACAACAAGCAACATTGCAGCGCTATTTCTAATGACAAGTACTATCAGTGTTTGGCTCTAGTATGTAGTGTGAATACTGAATAACTTGATGGGATCTTTGCTACCAACTATGAGTCAACGATTATGACTGCAATCTCCTAGCATACGAGCTGCAATGGCGACAATTTGTCTCAGACTGTCAGCTCCAATGGAGGTGCATGTCATTGAAAACTATTTCCAGATATCAAGATAAGCTATTGTACTCGTCTACTCGAACATCAAATTACTCATACTATAATGGATATTGACCATCATGCAAATCATACCATATCGAGATTTTGCTTCTTCTTGCTCGGATCAGATTGAAAAGTCCAACTACCTTTCTGATGAAATCGCCCTTGGCCGTGCTAAATAACGTCGCTAGACTAGCTTTGACTGGCTTTTTGTCGACTTGCAGTATTGTATACTAATGGCGTTTCTTTCTAGTATGATTTGTGTCGGTGGAGTTGGTTGACCCTTGATTGAGTGGAACATATGTAACTGTACAGTACCTACAATGCTTGTACAGAAGTGTACTGTACACTGTAGACTTCGTACAGTACAGTACCGTACAGTGGTTGACAGCGCGTGGTGTACAGTACAGTACTGTACTGTACGCTTTACAGTACTGTACTGTATGTCCAGCCGGCAGCCGTCCTACTGTAGTTTAGGAATGGAATCAATGTTCTGGAATTTTCGTTGCACGTGTGTGCAGATACGGTCACGGTAGTGGAACAGCCAGGACTCGGATTGGCCATACGGAACGTCTGTCTGTATGATAACACTGTTCACTGAACAATGTATCGTACTGTACTACACCATGACACATGTGTCACGCTGATTAAAGGTCGTGCGTAGTACGTCGCGAGATAACACGCCTGTACCAAGCGTCCCTTTAAAGGTGAGCCGTGTTGCGTCATTGGCACGTTGCATCACCTAGCAGGTTTTGCTGCAAATTGAGCATTGAGTGATCAAGTCATTGGGCATTTCACTAACCGTTGGAGCGCTTCCTTTTCTCCAGTGATATTCTTCTTCCTCGTTATTCACAGCTGAAAAACGGCCGGTAAGTGCAATGCATGCATTTTATTCCTTACAAACGAGGCTTACAATTTGGCTACTACGATTTAGTTGAAGGGATAATAGGATTGGTGTGGAATTATTTTGCAATTCTCGGTGACATGGATTCCATTTTTGCATTTTCCCCTTTTTTTGTGGCCCTCTGCACTGTACTAACTTTACAAGGTCTATAGTCTAGTCTACTCCAGTATGTTACTCCTACGCATTGACAGCATGACACAGGCCTTGAGCAAGTATTCATGGTGCAATTTCCAATGCCTATAGGTGGATTGAGATAGAGTAATATTATCATTCATTTTTTTTCCACAAGGAAGAAATCAATCCTACCTGTGCTACATTGACCCAACCTAATTCTCTACTGCAATATATTACTTTGCACACTTGCAGCAACGTAGTTGTAGCACATACTCTGCGACACGATTGGATGTTTCATGGATCGATTGATCTTATCCTTTGCAACAAGTTGCAAAGACGTTGATTCACGTCGATCTCACACTCCTCTAGATGTGTAGTAAAGACTAGTAGCTTACTAATGTCAGTAAATCAATAGTAATAATGTACTCTCAACCATTTCACCACTTCTTCTCTACCTTCCTCATTGACTATCACAGCGATTAAGCTTAAAAAGTAATGCGCTAGAAAACGAATCAGACTTCAACCAGGTTTTCAATCAATTACTGTACATCCACTGGATTCTACCAAGAATGAATATACCCTCAAGGGAATACTATACGTATTTAGTAGTCCATGATAGTAGTAGTAGTTCCAACATTAGCGGCAATGTCCAGCTGGATGATAAAAATCTTATTCTCAATAGAATCAAAAATGATGTTCTAGACATCAGCTACCGCATACAGGGTAACTAAAAATACTGGCCGATGTGCTTACTGATACAGCATTACCGGCCAACTAAGGATGATGCAAGTCTGCATGTTCTACATAGACTGTGCAGTATAAGGCACAAAGTCTTGACCACTTTCTTCGCTCGTTTGTTGAAAAGCAAGGATTATACGGAATACAAGTCTGCTGTTGTTGTACTGCTTGGGTTGATGTCAGCTCTCGATTTTCTTCCATTTCATCCATGAAATTACTAATCGAGTACATTTTCATTCCAACAATACCTGCATTTAGCTATCATACAGTCACTCATATCACACACAACTGATCGTTTATAGTACCGATTTACTTTACTTTAATCATCGACTACTAGAAGTCGATGCTTTCATGCACTGAACTTATATTTACGCCATTCTTGGCTAATTTATCATAAAACTAATAGTTTACCCCTCATCTGTTACCTACAGCTATACACGTATGATACTGCCTTGCAAAGTAAATGTTTTTTTGAAAGCAGTTACAATCTCACGACTAAGAATCATTTAATCTAACTATTCACGTATTATGTGAATAATGTAAAATGTGATAGCAATTCATCACTGACTTATACGCGTATGTAATTCAATTATCAGTAGGATGTATCGTCTACGTGATATGATTCGACCGGCATTAAATGCCGTTAGCCCTATTGTAAGATCGCAATTAGCTAGAAATTATGCCAAAGAGGTAAAGTTCGGCGTAGAAGCAAGTAGCCAAATGATCAAAGGTGTTAATGTCTTAGCTGATGCCGTAGCTGTTACTATGGGTCCAAAGGTAAGCACTATTCTATGCTATACTGGATTGAAAGATGCATGTTGTTGAAATTGAGTATTGGGCAATACCCAATTATACTTGGAAAACTTAATGAACTATTCTTTTAGTGCATTGCCTTGCGCTGTATTTGTAAATAATGTAATGTACATCCACTAATTTAGTACCTAATCTTTCTATTACTTGATACAGGGTCGCAATGTTATATTGGAACAATCTTGGGGTGGACCGAAAATTACCAAGGACGGTGTAACTGTAGCCAAAGGAATCGAACTGCCTGATAAGGTGAATAATATTGGAGCACGTTTAGTTCAAGATGTTGCCAATAATACAAATGAAGAAGCTGGTGATGGTACCACTACTGCTACTGTTTTAGCTCGTGCAATTGCAACCGAAGGTTTTAAGAAGGTTTCCATGGGTGCAAATCCACAGGATGTTAGACGAGGTTACTAGCTCTAAAATAGTAACCAAAATCTTGTAGCTATTGACTTTTAAAAGTTGTAAGATTACAGTACTAGTGTTACGTACAATAAACATCTCATGCTATTTATCTATCCGTAATTTTCATAGGTATCATGTCGGCTGTTGAAGTTGTAGTCGAACAACTGAAACAGCTTTCTAAGCCAGTTACAACACCTGAAGAAATTGCCCAGGTTGGTATAATTGACCACGTACTGTATAGTTGTGATAAAAAAAGTCAATATCTTGTGATTATTAATACTACAGGTAGCAACGATCTCCGCGAATGGAGATAAAGAAATAGGAGACCTTATTTCTTCTGCGATGAAAGCAGTCGGAAGAACAGGTGTGATAACAGTTAAGGATGGCAAAACAATGAAAGATGAATTGGAAGTCATCGAGGGCATGAAGTTCGATCGTGGTTTTATCTCTCCGTATTTTATAAATACTAGCAAAGGTAAGAACAGATGCTGTTATACAACTATCCCTCAACCGAAGCACTTTCTGATTTATTGTATCATTTATTTTCTGCCGTTCACATCCTTATAGGTCAGAAAGTAGAATATCAGGATGCTCTCTTATTATTATGTGAAAAGAAAATATCTAGCGTTCAACAAATTGTACCAGCATTAGAGATTGCCAACACCAATCGCAAGCCTCTAGTTATTATTGCAGAAGATATTGATGGTGAAGCATTAAGTACTTTAGTACTCAATAGGTATTTTCCCGTTGTAAATACACTGTATAGCATTGTTTATTATTAGCTCATAATGCGCAAATTACTCACCGTTCTATCGAATTCTCTAGACTCAAGGTTGGATTACAAGTAGCCGCTGTTAAAGCACCAGGTTTTGGAGATAACAGAAAGAGTACTTTGCATGATATTGCTGTTGCTACTGGTGGAATGGTTAGTACGTTTTAAATTTATAAACTATTAACACGTTAGTAGGTATAAAATTTTGGTGTTATTTTCTTGTTGAATAGGTTTTTGGAGATGAAGCCATAGACACTAAGATTGAAGATATTCAACAGCAGGACCTTGGCATTGTTGGAGAAATTGTTATTACTAAGGATGATACACTCATCTTACGAGGCAGAGGTGATCCACAAGCCCTTGAAGCTCGTGTCCAACAATTACAGGAAGATATAGAAAGTACCACTTCCGATTACGAACGTGAAAAACTAAACGAACGCCTGGCTAAACTTTCTAACGGTGTTGCTGTTTTAAAGGTATTTTCTACGATAGCAAACTATGATGTGTTTTGTACCAGATTCTCATGATTATGTTTTATTTGGTAGGTCGGTGGATATAGTGAAGTTGAAGTAAATGAAAAGAAGGATCGCGTTAATGATGCCTTGAATGCCACTCGTGCCGCAGTTGAAGAAGGTATTGTACCTGGAGGAGGTGTAGCTTTGCTACGATGTGATGCAAGTTTGGATAGCATCAAAACTGATAATGAAGATCAACGAATTGGTGTTGAGATAATCCGTAAAGCGTTGCGTAGCCCTTGCTCAACCATTGCATCCAACGCTGGAATGGAAGGAGCAATAATTGTAGACCAAATAATGAAATCCTCCTCAGAAATTGGCTACGATGCCGCAAGTAACAATTTTGTAGACATGATGAAAAATGGTATCATTGATCCGACGAAGGTTGTCCGCACCGCTATAACCGATGCCGCTGGTGTAGCATCATTACTGTCGACCGCTGAATGTGTAGTAGTAGAAATGCCAAAGGAAGAAAAAGATATGCCTGCAATGCCCGGCGGTGGAATGGGCGGAATGGGTGGTATGGGAGGTATGGGAGGTATGATGTAAAGATGAATCGCCCATACATAGCTGCAAAAATTTTGTGAGGTCTGCGTCAGTTGCATTCGTATGCATGATTACCTGCATCATGAGATAGCCTTGGTTACTATCGTTGAAAGTTCTTTTAATTAAAATATCTGTTCTCATTCTGATATTATATAACTATCGACTCTGCAATACTTACTAACTATTATCATATTAGTTAACCAAATAAAACATTTTAGCAACAGATCTGAGACAGTGAGTCAATTTACTGCGTATTTTCTAGTAGATTAGCAGCTAGAATTCGCAATTGTTCTTGCCATGTGAGAACAAGCTGGTATTCCTTAATTTGCATCTTTGGAGTAATCTTGTAACGACACGAAGAAAATTTCGCAAACTGACAAATAAACGGCTATACGCGTAAACTTTCACATACTACCACTAATGATCTTAGTTTCTATTTATTATAAATACGATTACGAAAGATCAACTGTTTTTAACTACTATATAAAATATACGGATATCAATAACATTGGAAAACATAAGCGAATAACTATGTGTGATCGTTAGGACGGAATACAGTAGCTGGTTGTACGCAAATGTACATATGTCCGTCAGACTACCAAACGTGTTTTCATACGCTTAGGTCTGGTATACGTACGTATATGCCACTGTGTGAACATCTATAGTACGAATATACTTTAATATCAGCATCGTACCAGAAATAGTATTTTCTTTATGTAGTTAATTTAGAATTCAGAACATAATATTGCGATACCTAGATGCAGTAGTATAACGTAATTATCTTAAACCGAACCGTAAACAGATGTAAATATAGTAAGATGGCATTCTACATGCTATAAAGCACTGATATTCTTGAACTCTTTACTATAAACTGTTACTGTTGATAGTTAATTATATAATTATTAAGTACAGAAAGGTAACAGATGTTTATTGATGATGCGTGTTTCTTAGAAACTGCACTAACTTGTAGTCAAGTCTACGTACCTAACCACTATTACGATGCTTAATCAGTTGCATACGTTGTCATGAGTCAGGATAGCAAAACCAATACAAGTAAATGATGTTCACGCTTTATAGATTGGTGCTATGATTATAAACTAGATAGCATTTAACAATACTGTTTCTGATATTATAAGAAAAGTGAGAAAGTAAACAATTTGTTATTTATGTACTAGTACCGTACATTTCAAAGCATTGCAATCCTAGACATGAACCTCTTATCAACTGGATTAATTTGCAACACTATAGTTATAATTACTAATAGTAAATCTTATATATAATTTATTTTTTGTGTAAAATTTACTCATGAGATCCAAATACCCGCATTACCTAATTCGCTAGTACAGTACTTTTTGGTAGTCAATTCATCTCAAGCACCTATTTTCATCGCATAGAGAAATAAAAATGAATTTTAAATTATAAAGGTATAGATAGACGAGGACATCTTTTAAAGTATCGTTAATATTTTTATAACGAATTAATACGTAGATGCAAATTAATTACATTTGCTAATCGAACATAATCTTTAATAAGTTTAATAAAACTAATTTTTCGATATATATTTATGCTCGTACTTATAAATCCAATTGCAAATCAATAGGTGAGAAAACCATTATTTATTGCATAGTTATGATACTTTCGTAATAAATTAATACCTAGACACAAATTTGTTACATTTGTTAACCAAATGCGATCATTAGTAGATTGAATAGAAAAATTTACAGACGTAAGTATTTATTAATCTCATTTAAAACATCATCCAAAAAGAAGCATTTTAATTTCCTGTATAATAAACTCAACCTTAATCTTAGGCTGGGCGATTAATAATTGTGCCTTCAAAGGCAAATTGTAAGACTTGAATCTATAATACCAATCCTTTGCTACGTAACTGGGGAAATTACTTTATCAGCAATGCTATAAAGATACAAAAGTCCCTCAGCAAATGCTTCACGGACAATGGTAAATAGTATTTACCATTCAATCTGATACTGGTAATTGGTATACGTAAAGTAAATTATTTAATAGAATTGGTGAACAAGAGGTTAATTTACCTGCACGTGGGTAAGCGTCGTGGTTTAATTCTTTACTCTTATTATAGTATTACGCACGAAATAATTATATAAAGCTGTAACAGATGTACGGAAAATTCATAGTTTTCAAGTAACATTATAGCTCATTATCACAACTGAACATACTACAGCAACAGAGAGGTTGTAATATAGTGGTGGAATGTTGAAGATGTTTTAACTGATAGAATTCACAAATACATCACTAGTAGTAAATAGTTATTGATAATTTATAATCTGGTAAACGGAAGATGAGTTGATTTTGCATCAATATCTGTAAACTGCTTGCATGATATTCCTTATTTCACTTTTTTAAAGCGCCACCATCCATATTAGTGAATTAATTGACATTCTGAATTTAGCAAAAGAAGCTCTAATGTAAGTATGAAATGTTAAAATTTTTAACTGACAAATTTGTCCAGTGTTTCACTGAGAGGATCTATATCTAATGCGAGTTTACAGTATATACCTAAAAGGATAAATCAAGAGAATAAATTAATGAATTTTATATTACTCTACGAAACTTATTTAGAAATATATTGCCTATTTCATTTTTCATCGAGTGTTACCGCTTTTGTTAGTAAAGCTACCGGTTGAATAGAGTAAAGCTTTTCATACAAACTTTCTCAGCAATTCTATACTGGCTAATTGCAATATTAGTTACTTCATTTAGACAATTTCCGATGAATAACTAGTAAAATTTTTTTAAATCTTAGCAACGACTGCCTAATATCTTTCTGATATCACCTGATTCTATAATAGTAGAGTATCGCTATTACAAATTCTGTAGGCATAAAAATCTTCTATTCACTTATCAAGAAATCAATGCTGTATCAACTATTTTCATCTTGCAACGTCATCATTCCGCAATTAGTATTGTTACAAAAGCAGAGAGTTCATGAATCATGTATAAAATACTCGTCTAATAAACTTTAATTAAAGATGCTCTATAACTTTTTCTTGATTACAAGTTGCCCTTAGTCGTAGACTAGTAATTCTTCTTTAATGGAAAATTTAGATATCGGTACTGTGACAATTATACTGCTGACTTATATTTATACCGAGGCTACAGCAAATCAAATAGAGTAGTAAGAGACAAGATATAGGAGCTATAGTTGACACATACAGGATATATGGCGTTTTAAATTTGTGCTTCTATAAGGAAATAGTGAGGTGATAAGGGCATATTTTAGCTTATAGTGCCGTAATATTCAAAATTTAGTTATATTGGCTAAGGTGTAAGTGCTTGGTTGCGTATTCCAGATTTATAAAATTATAAGTAATACCTAGTTTGTCACTCATTCGTTATTAATTTTTTCTCGATATAGATCTGCTAGAAAGGCTTTAAATTGATTTACCACCTGGTATTGGGATTCTTCATGTAAATTAAAATTTTAGACAAGAACAATAAAATATGCTTGGTTTAAGAAGAAAACGTCGACAACTTTTCCTATTAAATACAGTCCTTGGGCTGTGGTTTTGCATTCTTCTGTACACGAAATCGCAAGGTGGCACTACTTTATCTGTTGAGGAAGTTAAGGCTAATCGAAATAGAGAAAGTGGTACTGAAAAGGAAAATAAAAATATTAACCATAAAAGAGATATCAATCAACACATGGCTGATAGTAATAACACTCTACTTCAATCGATTAATCCAAACAAACGGTTAATTTTCCAACCTACTTTACCGCATAATTTTAATCCAAACGCTATCGGAGAAAATGGCGAAAGTGTTATTGTGCCTGATAAAGCTAAAGCAGAAAGTGATAAACTTTTTAAGAATCATGGCTTTAATCAATGGGCAAGCGATCATATGTCACTGCATAGGACTTTACCCGATTTGAGACCTTCATTGTAAGTATCTATAACTTGCCTCTAATTCCAAATCTAAAGATGAGTTATTATAAAGTCTTCAGAAAAACATTATGGATAAATAATAATACAAAAATTATCATGATTACGAGTTATGATCGTTCATTCAATAATTGAACTACCTAGAGATTTGAAACATCTTGTATATGTTAGCTTGAAATTGACTATAAATCAAGGATGTTGCAACGTTAATCATGCATAATCATAATTTGTTGATTTACGGATTTAATTTTTTTCAGACTATTTAAAAATTGATGATAACTAGATCTAGAATATTATTATGTTAATATCGCTTCAAACCCTAATCATTTACCTTACAACAAAGTGCTATATTTTACGCAGATTAATTATCTGGCAATTCTGGAATATCGTTATTTACAGTATATTGTATTGAATTTATGACTATACTTTTCTCTTAGATGCAAGAGCCAAGTTTTTCCCAAGGATTTACCACAGACTAGCGTTGTGATTGTCTTCCATAACGAAGCTTTATCAACCTTATTAAGAACAGTTCATAGTGTATTGGATCGATCCGCACCGGATCTCATACATCAAATTATCTTAGTTGATGATTTTAGCTCAATTAAAGGACACGGTAAAGAAATTGATATTTAAGGGCAATACCACGTATTTAAACTATAAACAAAAATTGCTAGTGTAAAATTTATAGAGGCAATTCATAGATAAAAATTAGACTTTTCAATTTAGCAAATAGTTAATATCGTATAAGTTACAGTCTGGCTATCATTGCATCTATTGATAGCTTACCAGCATCAGATATAGCTGAAGAGATACTAGGATTTTAGGATAAAATTGAATTGTACAGCTCAATAGCTGCGATTGCAAGGATAAAATTTTAATCAGGGCTAGATAGCGGATTGATTGAATTAGCATACTAATTAATAGATGCACTGACATAACTGTAAATGATAAATTTCAATGTTGCTTCGATTTATGAATTCTTGTTAGAGGACTTGCAAGATCCGCTAAAAAAGTATATAGCAGATCTCAAGAAAGTTATTCTAGTTCGAAATCCGAAGCGTGAAGGCTTGATTCGTTCTCGAATTATAGGTAATCTTAACGCGTTATTGATAGGAAATATATAGGATTGCTACTCTTGTAATGTGAGATAGCATAGTATCAAGCTTGCAGCTTTTGAGTTATTTAATGATTGCTAAAAATTATACGCTTGCATAGGATATTCTCGAGCTACAGCACCCATTGTAACCTTCCTTGATGCTCATTGCGAAGTTACAATCGGCTGGCTAGAGCCTTTACTTGATAGAGTCCATCAAAATCGAAGTGTTGTCGTTTGCCCCGAAATTGATGTGATCGACGATAAGACATTCCAATATCGAGCGGGTTCAAGTGGTGATATTCGAGGTGTTTTTAACTGGGATATGAAATTTAGATGGAGATTAACTCCATCCCAGGAGCAAAAACGCCGTAAATCACCCACGGATCCCGTGAGGTAAATTGTTTATTTTAAAGTGCATCATTCTCTATCTACTATGTAGCTTTGAGCTCGATTTTATCATAAAATACATGAGTTATAGTTTACGAATAGGTAACTAGTTTAGAAGAGAAGCGTCCGTCTAATATCTAAGTTAAAGCCAATCATGCAATAGGTAACAATTATAATGTGCTGTTTGCTAGATCTCCAACCATGGCAGGTGGTCTTTTTGCTATTGATCGTCAGTATTTCCAAGAGATTGGCTTATATGATAGCCAGATGGATATTTGGGGAGGCGAGAATCTTGAACTATCGTTTCGGGTCAGCTTTAAGTTTCAAGAAAGAAATAGTTGTACTTCATTTAGTCGGATATGAGTTATAAATAAATTATTGGCATTACCTGCTAAATTTGTATCCTTCTGTAGATATGGCAATGTGGAGGCCAGTTGGAAATAATGCCATGTTCTCATGTCGGCCACGTATTTCGAAATGTCATACCCTATAAATTTCCTAAAGATGCTGGCTTAACTATTAATAAAAATTCCGTCCGCACAGCTGAGGTCTGGATGGATGGTTATAAAGAGTTTGTTTATCAACGCCAGCCTTATATGCGAAATATTCATTTCGGCAATATTACCGAGAGATTGGAATTACGGAAAAAATTACAGTGTAAAAGTTTTAAATGGTATTTAGATCACGTTTTTACCGATGTTATATTACCAAATGAATCCGCTATTGCTAAAGGAAAGGTATCAGAAATTTGATTTTAATAATGCTTATACTACAATATTATACATATGCTATTTATGTTTATATCTAGAAAGAGTAGATTAGTTCTAGGTTAGCATTTCTCTTGCATATTGTTCTCTCTAATAAATTAAAATATCAGTGTAGCTGTTAGCGTATGATATTTTACAATAAAAACTTAAATTTCTATTCTGGATTTTACTTTCTTATGCTTATACGAATAAAAATTTATATCTCTCAGACTGTCAGATATGTTTCATACTGATATAAATCCCATATAATTGACAGGTTAGAAATCCTGAATCAGAAATGTGCTTAAATACGCTAGGCAGACCAAAACATGCCTTCTTAGGCCTATCACCTTGTGCTCATGAAGGAAAGACTATGGTAAGTTGATTTTTCCGTAGACTTATCGCTTAGACCATAATAAAGTTATCATGCCATTTTTTTAATTTAGCTGCTATAGATGCATCATGTTTAATCGAATAGATAAATTTATAACTTGATTTCAGCAAACAAATTTAAATCAATCCAAGATGTTTCTACGGTCATTATTTTGTAATATGGTCATATTTTTCGTGAAAAAGTACATTTCAAATTTCTGTATATAGTATGCTTGTAATATAATGGAGGAAATCTTGTATGTTCGCCACTTAGTTATAAGAGTTAGTAAAATAGAATTGAGGTAATTTCATCATTGAAAGAATGTATAAAAGTGTGCTATAATTTGCAAAGATTTCATGCTTCAAACTACCGTTGTATCATACGTTGCCAGTTTAATAATTGTGAATATCTATTTGGTAACATAAATAAATATAGAATTTAATCACTACTAGTGCTCGTTAGTTGCGTGAAGAGACACATTTTTATTGAAGTAACTTATTATAGTCTGTTACTTTCACTGCTTAGAGATTATTTACTATATTTTTTTGCTATGGTTGTATTAGATTTTTGCTTATTGAATCAATTTATGGATAACCATTACATCTTGCAGATCATATCACTCACAGTGTTAAATGAATTGGCAATGGATGAAGTTTGCTTCGATGTATCTGATCACCAGTCGGGTGGGAAAATTACTTTACTAGATTGCCATTCGATGGGAGGAAATCAATTTTGGTCTCATAAAAAGGTAAATATGATTAAAATTTTTGCCCCTACTATTAGCAGCACTAGTAATCAGGATACGATACTCAATTAGTCGGCTGCTTTTTATCTCATATATTGTATTAGCTTACAATAGCTTCAACTTTTCCATCGTTCTTGAGCTATATTTTCGTATCTTATCTAGAATGGAAAATTACAACATCGAGATAGTGGGTTATGCTTAGATAGGGGTACCGGTATTAACCCTGTCATGCAACCATGCAAAGATGTTCCTTCACAGATTTGGACGTTTGACAATTACTATCCTAACGTTAAGCCAAGGAAACTAAATTGAGTTATAAACTTTATGCACAATCTTTGCTTGAAAGCTAAAGAGCTTTGTTAATTGCTGATACTGTAGGCTATCAATAATTATGCAGAATCGATAGCAAATTAATTTACATGCTATAAAAGTATATGTAGCCAAACGCACAAAAACATAGAATTAATAATTTAAAATCTCAAAAATCTTTTTAATATCGAGATATGATATAATTCGGATTGAATAAAATGATTGAATATACGTCGAAAATATACACTAGGTCAACTGATTATTCTATTAATAATTAATTGTGGTACCAGCAATGATCAGTACCTTGTTAATTTTTTTTCAAATTCATATGTGTAAGCTTTTATTGACCATTAGTAAGAAACAATAACTATTTATAGGTAATTAAGTCTTTCTTTTAACCAATTAATCTTATAAATACTTTCAGCATGATTATAGCTAGCTAGAATTTTAAGTCTACTAAGTGGTAGTACATCAATACTAAAATGCTCTCTTTATGCTATAGATTATTTCAATATCAGGTAGATCAGAAAGAAAGTTATTCTACCGCTTAGTCGTTATCCTAGTCGCGATAATCGTTGTAAACTTGTAATAGTAAGTACTTGAAAGTATGACAATTAGACATTGCTAAGAGTTTATAGTTAATAAAATATAAAAGGAATACCTTGCCGGTTATAATATTTTGTATTCGATAACTGCCGGTCATCATTAATCGTGCTATTTTGTGAAGAATTTGGCGAAGAATCCGATTAGATTAGAGATTAGTATGCATTTAACTAATTAATAAATAATCTTCAATTTTTTGCTCGAAGAAATAAAGCTGTAGTACAACTTTTATGCAAGATTTGTTATTCTGATAGCTGTAATAGCTATGAAACTTAGCTGTAAATTAGACGTAAATTTTACATAAAGTTCGATAGTAGCTTTCTGTAGGTAAAAGAATTGAGGATTCTAATTAAAGCATATTAATCTATACCCCTTCCTTTAACATAATACACTGATGAATCTAATAAGATTTATTTACTATGCAATTAAATAGCGCTTCTAACTTTACAATTTGTATTATTGCTTAGTAAAGTTAGCATAGTAGGCAAGATGATAGTCTATTCTTAGCGTTTGACAAACCGATGTAATTCTAATCATTTAGAGATATTAAAAGTATAAAGCAAAACGCTTTCATTTTATGTTAGTCTTATTGTGAGACCATCATTGTTTAGTAATAATTTGATGTAATGACCCAAAAAATTAATATTAGTAAATTACTATGTGTTATGGCAGCATTTTTGCCGAGATAAGTTTACTTGCTACCCAATCTTATAGTTTGTTAACCGTTATGTATTAGTGTCTCCACGGCCCTATTTGGTTTGTCGCTTTGCTAATTCTATATCCAGTAGTAGTTGTAATGGTTAAAAATCAACTAATAGATTGGGCGTCCGGTGTTTTCCTGTAAAAGAATATGCAAGATGATCTTATTTAAGTAAGGAAGACAAAGGAATATTAGCAATTTGGTCCTGTTGCTAATATCAGTTTCAAATCATTATTTAACAAAAATTCTAAGCGGCATTTCAGAAATAAGATTATTCGGAATGATTTCGAGATGCGCCTATCGCAAAACGAGAATGATTCAATAATCTATTTACTAAAAAGAAAATAGAAACCAATATATCAAGAATAGCATTATCCCAAGGAGTTATCAGTAAAACATCTTTAGCCAGAAAGAATTACTATAGAAATCCACCCATTTCTTCTATGCTATTTTAACCGGTTGAACTCCTGTTGCAAAGCAACAGATGTGAGTTGAATACAATACTACTATTAGAAGGCCGAAAATTATACTATGGTATTGTCCGATCTTAATATTGAAGCTATAATAATAAGCGTAAAATCAAAAGGTATTATGATGCTAATAGTTCTTCAAGAATATTATTTGATAAGTTAACTGTGATATTGAAAATAGCCGAAAGCGACAGAAGCTTCAATAATCAATAACAGCAATCAAAAATTATTAAAATGTACCATCTTCAATATGTTCATGAAGGATGTTGGAAATGGCCTAGAAAATGATAGAAGATTGTACGATAATAACTATGCAATGGCTTAATTCCGGCCAAATGTATTAAAAGATTATCGCTATAGCACATATAAATCTGATATTCCCGTCTAATCCTTTATAATCACGTCTTTTTCACACAAAAATCGTTATTGAATTGCTATATCACAATAAAATGTAATCAATTAACACAATCTGTGTTCTATTTTTACCGTACTATAAACAATAGAGCAAAGAGTAACAACAGATGTGAATTAAAATCATTTGAAAAGAGGATTCAGTACTAGGAATCCTTATCAGTATGGATACACTTCACTACTTTCCTTTAACGGAAATTTAAAACCACAGAGAAATTACTGTGTTTCATATTGAACTATACAATAATGTTGCCTGAAGAGGTAATTTCCTAACACAACTTATCAATTCTATACTACATTAGTGTACTGTCCGTGATTAAATAACGCTGGTGAAATAGGGATAACCGATTATCGTATTGATCTACTATCACATCTTTTACATTAGGTGTTTATATTTAAAAGCGTCTATTTAACAATTTCTTATTCTAAGTAGATTTAAAGGCTTCTTTATTTAATGCATTTTTATCCCAATGTTTTACGTACTATTGTGTAGCTTCCAAAATTGAAAATGTGTGGTCGTAAGACAAGAGGCCGATTATTACTAGGATTTACAATTTTTGGCATCTTCTTTTGGATCACTGCAATTATTTATATCCAAAGTAGAGAAAAAATCGATATATTTGATACCCTCAGTTTGGATCTATTACGAGAAGGGTTTAGTCAAAAATTAAAATTGCATTACAGAAATTCCATCGAGTTAGTATATGATCAAAACCAAAACTTACTGGGTAGAAAAGGTTACCGGCCACCATTACCTGAAGATTACGATCCTAAGGGTTTAGGTCAAAACGGCACAGCTGTCATCGTACCTGCAGAAAGTAAAAATGCTAGCGAGCAACTATTCAATAGAAATCATTTTAACCAATGGATCAGTGATCGAATATCATTGCATAGAACGCTACCTGACCCTCGTCATCCAATGTAAGTATTTTCTTTTAAAGTAGAATTATATAAAAAGTAGAGCTATAAAAGAATAAAATAGATTTTATCAAGTAAGCTCTATACTATATTTCAAATATTCTCTGTGAATAACGATGGCCATTATATACCATAAGATCATAACCTGTAGTTCCAACGGAGGTAAAAGTAATGTATATTCGTTAGAATATTGAATTCTGCTTGTAGTAATTTCAGCTAATTATAAGTGATTATGGAGGATGGCTAGCATGATAAAATGGTACATAGAATGATTAGCCATGCCGATTTTAGTTTAGATTAATGTCATTTCAAGTTCATTGCAAGGTTTCCAGGTTATAAATAAACCTCGGATAGTGTATAGCTTGCCATAAGAGTATTGCAGTAAAATTTCTGAGCTTTTTTAATGAGTAATTTTTCGATATACCGGGGGTTTAATATCACTGACTACTACGATTCTACGAATTATATAGCTTGTGCTATTTTAGAGAATTGTAAATATCTTTGGCAAAGTTTTGATCAACAATAGATATTATTAGATAGCTCCACCAATTACTATTATCATATTTTACCCGATACTTAAAATGTAGAGTAAAATCGTCCTGGAGGTTATAACTTGATATGTTGGAGTATACTATAAGACATTCGATTAATCTGTAAAGACATACTTAATAACAAGCTTGAACGTTTGTCAATATATTAATCTAATTAAAAGGGGCAGTTAATTAAGCAATGCCGTATAAATACCGATAAGAAAAATAGCATCGGTTACAAAATTATCAACGCCATGTGATATTAATAAGACTTATTTCCGATGAAAGAATTAGTATGATAAAAAGTAATTTCAGGCTTATTAATAGAACAATCTATATAGTACGCATAATAATGTAATAGTTGTTTAGAAATCTACTCTTCATTCTTTGTTAAATATTTAAAGCTAATAATTTAGGAGATATTAATCTTGCATGATTATGGGTATCAACGGTAGACAGTGGAATTTAATTTTTTAAGTGAAGGAAATAAAGAAACGAATTGTATATAATTATATAGATATGTATATAGTTATGAATATTCAATTGCTATACTGTGCGCAACTTTAAGAGCTATGCGTTTATAGTTCATACTGTAGTAGCTCTTAATGAAATTATTCTTCTAAACCATGTGTAGGTGCAAAGATCAAATCTTTCCTCTTCATCTACCGACAACTAGCGTGGTGGTAGTTTTTCATAATGAAGCTTGGTCAACCTTACTCAGAACGGTCCATAGTATTCTCAGTCGGTCGCCACCTGATCTCCTACACGAAATAATCTTACAAGATGATTATAGCGATCCTATAGGGCACGGTAATTATGATTCATAATCGTATTTACCGTAATTTTATATAGTCTTTATTACAATCAAAATTTTTTTGACAGTATACGAGTATGGAACTCGATTGATATTTAAGAGTGTCATTCCAAATCAATAATCCTTTTAACTTATTTTTGCAGCCGAACTTTTTATGCCACTAGAATTATATACATCAAAGCTAGAAAAAGTAAAAATTTTCCGAAATGAAAAGCATGAAGGCTTGATAAGATCAAGATTAAATGGTATATCAACTTACTGTTAATACATCTCTTAGATTATGATGTGCTATATATATAAGTATTATTACTCAAGTTTTACTGGGTTAATAAAATGAAATACTACAGCTAGATTTTATGCGAGAATAGGCATATCTTAAAGGTTTTATTGGGTAGTACAAGTAGTTGCTAATTAGTTCTTACCAATTTAATAAATTTACGATACGCATAGTGCTAAACTAAACAAACTAACATGCAGCACATGAATTAGGTAACTATTGTAAGCATTGTAAGGTAGAATTAAAAGCAATAGCATGCTCCTTCTGATATTGATTTATTCGAAAAGGTTTTAGCCACGCAACAGCACCCGTTGTAACGTTTTTAGACGCTCATTGCGAGGTTACTACCGGTTGGTTAGAGCCTCTGCTGGAACGTATTTATCTTAATGAAACTACAGTAGTTTGTCCTGAAATTGATGTCATCGACGATAGGACATTTCAATACCAATTTGGACCTCCCGCCTTAATGAGAGGAGTCTTTAATTGGCAGTTATACTTTAGGTGGGCATTAATACCACCAGAAGAACATAAAAGGCGCAAATCCCCTATTGACCCTGTTTGGTATGTATTGCTCATGTTAGCGCAAAGCATTCAATTACGATCAATTAAAACTAGAGCTACCCTTCGAATACATTATCAATTTGTTATGCGATTGCATCTATTTAGATTCATTATTTTAGCTCGTTCAACTTAGTCGAACAAATAAACGAAGTAATATATATATTCAATGCTGTTGTAGCTGTACTTGTACCTACCATATTTAGTAAGAAAGTTTGTTGTCTAGTTAGTGATTAAAATATCGTGAATTCAGGAATAAATTTTTCATGCTTGATGATATGCTATTATTAATTTATATGAAAGGTCACCTACCATGGCTGGAGGCCTTTTCGCCATTAGTAAGAAATTTTTTAAAAGGCTCGGGACTTACGATGATCAGTTCGATGTTTGGGGAGGCGAAAATATGGAAATATCTTTTAAAGTAAGCTAATAGGACTGAAATTCTCTATTTACTAAATCAAAAATTCGTGAAATTAATATTGCTTCGGTCAATTTGAGTTAATGGATAGTACTTACATGATTAAGATTGTCATTGTTGGTAGATGATATAAAGTACGTCACTCTTAATTTATAACTTGTATGTATGTTGATAAAACATTTATTACATTAGCCTGCTAGAATAATCTATTAATGCTGAAACGAAGGCGCGATATTTATGATCAAGAATGTAAAATAAGATGCGTAAACTATAAACAGCAAAACTAACATCCCGTTTACATCATGATGCTATTTCATGGTTCCCATAGGCTTGGCTCTGTGGTGGAAAATTAGAAATTGTTCCTTGCTCGAGGGTGGGTCATGTATTTCGTCATAATCAACCTTATAAATTCGGTGGTAATTTTCTCAGTCGCAATTCTCAGCGTGTTGCTGAAGTATGGCTGGATGACTACAAAGAATTTTTTTATCAAGTTCAACCTCATTTACGTAAGGAAGAGTTTGGCAATATTGCTGAAAGACTGGAATTAAAGAAGAAATTAAAGTGCAAGCCATTTAAATGGTATCTGCAGAATATTTACACGGATGTTGTATTGCCAAATGAGTCGTCAATAGCCAAAGGAAAGGTTAGTTAAAGATTTATCCAGTACATGTGCGTGTATTCGTATATATTATTAATGTTTTCTGTGTTGTTGTTATTGAGGTCTGCAACCGACTATATCTAAAATATTAATAGTTGTACCATGCTGAAGTGATCAGGATATATAAGAACGATCATTGTAATTAATTGATTAGTTCGGATTAGTGATAGCGATTGACGGTTCTACGCGTGTTGTAGCCTAGGACAATAAAGGAATACTCACGTAAACATTTCGTAGTCATCTCTGTGAGAAGAGAGTTAGTTTTTACTAATATAGATCTACAAAAGTCAGTTGGAGATCTACATCGACCCATACGAACTATATTAGAGTTTGGTCCCCGGTTACAAAATTGATTTGTAACAGTTGTAATAACTTGTAATAGTTGGGTTATAATAAATCAACCTTGAATTCTCTTTTAGCTTAAAAATCCCGCTTCGAACATGTGCCTTGATACTATGGGTAAAACTGCGAACGCTTACATGAGCATTTACCCTTGTGCAAATAGCTGGACTATGGTAATTAGAAAGCTATCCTTTCGTTTCTATTTGAAATTTGATATAAACTTTGCTGTATGGCTTACTAAACTCTTACTTATTCTATTTGGCAATAAAGGAAATGTCGTACTCGATCCTTGAAGAATTAGTAGTTAGCGAGCTTTGCTTAGATGTGTCGGATAATAAAGATGGTGCCAGAATACAGTTGTATGATTGTCATGGCCAAGGTGGGAATCAGTTATGGTTGCATAAAAAGGTAATTATCATTATTGATAACTAATTTTTTCAAAGTTCTGTGTAACAAGTAACTATTAAATATTCGATGTTGCCTGCTGGGATAATTCTCAAAGCCTTTACTTCTAGGGCATTAGGCAGTGTAAAAATTAATGTTCTGTATAGCTAGATAAACTAGATAGCCAATTATGAATTAGAATTAGTACTAATGTAAACGGTAAATGTTTAAAACTAAACCTGTTTGACTCACTCAATTGCTATACTTTAAAAATTAGAATGGAGAGATTCGACATCCGAATACAGGAAAATGCCTTGATCGTGGATCGGGTAACACACCGGTTATGAAACCGTGCTCTGGAGGGGTTTCGCAGATGTGGTCATTTGATACCTACTATCCTAATGTTAAGGCTAGAAGGTTGAAAATAAAATCAACAACCGGCTAATACTACGAATTTTCTCAATTTCGTTTTCTCTTCTCTGTATATGTTGATGTTGTTTATTGTGTGGTCATTGTAATATCTGATTATGATGTTTAAAAGTAAATTTGAAAGCAGATTGACATTTTTTTCTATGCAATTCCATATAAATGTTTCTTAGGCGGTATTTCCATATGTCGACTGTAACACCCAATGCTTTAACTTCATGATTATGCTAACGTGTAGTAAATACGGTATGATTAGTTCTGATATGCGTGCATTCAATTTGATTTCCGATATACCTGTACCAATGGACTGTTTACTATCCCTTTAAGAAAAAGCTTATGTCAACTTCTCGATAATTTTATTACCTTACTATGTTACATGTAAATCGTCCGTCGTAAGAGCAGTAAGCTTTTATTTGGTATCGTCTTCTAATTAATTGAATTCTTTGTTACAACTATGGATATGGAGGATGAGATACAGTGCCTACTGTATTCATGGTATTACTTGGATCACCCTTTTCTACTCATTGATTCATTCATATTCGCTTGATATTTTTTGATGTAATTCATCAAATAAAGAAAAATGTTATGCTTATTTAACATATAGATTACGTTATTAAAGGTTACAAAAGGACTTATAAAATTTAATTTCCACAACTGTGAAAATGATATTCTGGTGATATGGTGCTTCTGACTGGCCCACTGTACACGGGATGTCCATGTAGGTCTAAAACATGGAAAACTTTTGTAGTGGTGGTGAACGATAAACGAGAGCAGAGCTGGTATGATAGTTCTGTGCCTGTATCCAATCGAGTTCAATAAAAGCTAACTATTGTACTACTCCATTGATTGAAAACGATAGCACCTATATGGCGCTGTGATTTCGAATTCCAGCCTACCATAGCTCAGTACTGGTAGTTGGGAATTTCTTACCAGCGCACTTAGTCGTTGTTCTAGTAGTTGTAACATTATGATCTTATATAGAAGATGCCTAGTATAGTAATATCCTAATATACGAATACTTATCATATACCGTTTAAGTACTGTATTGTATTACATTCATAATGTACGACATCATGACTACATATAGACGACATGCTATACATATAAAGACATTATCTCAATCCCATCTAAAACCTATAAATACCCTTGTACGCTAACTCGTTAGTCAGTTCCTACATTCCTGCTATCTCAGATACCTTATCTATAACAACCATATCATTGTTAGCCTGTAACTTGTATCTCAATAAAATCCTTTATACCTTCTATCATCGTCTACCTTAAAATACTTTACGCTACTTAAAGAAGATATCATTACAGTAGTTGTCAATTTCTTACCGCTTAGCATGAAACTGATTATACAGTTCACGCAGGTGGCACAAGCTTCTAAATGGTGCACCCAGACCTAGTGGTGAAAAATTGCAGACCTCTACTGCACTGAAACAAAACTTTATTAATAGTAAATTCAAATTTTTCTGTCGGATTGGGGTAAAATTTACTATTTAACAGACTCTGCAAGTACTCAAGATACGGACTACTCAACAGGGACTTGTAAGAGGAAAAGTCTTACATGAAAATGACTAAAAGATGAGAGAGAGGGACAGGTATAACGAAGGACCTTAAATGAACATAACTGACAGACCACGGCTAGAGGAAGACCTTTATTAAGAGCAAAATTTGCTATTTAGCAGACCCTGCAAGTACTCAAGATACGGACTACTCAACAGGAACTTGTAAGAGGAGAACTCTTCAAGAAAATGACTAAAAGAAGAGAGAGAGGGACAGGTATAACGAAGAACATTAAATGAACATTGCACTATAAAACTGATAGACTACGGCTAGAGGAAGACCTTAATTAAGAACATTTACACAGGCTAGCGCAGACAATAGGACTCAGTATGACAATTGTTCTCTCTTCTCAACAGTAGTTACAGTAAAGTGTACAATAGACCTGATCAAAATGCATGATCATGTCAGAACTCTTAACTAAATAACTTCATATCATTGCATTAAGGTTAAGTAAACACCGGAAAACTTGGAGGGATTGACATGATAGTATGAGATGGAATGATATGAAATTATTTAGCTAGGATTTCGGACATCATGGCGGATTTTGATCAGGTCTTCCAATCGCTCATCTTTGTCTTGCTAGAGTGCACAGTACATCGCATGGTACGCTGGTGTACAGTACAATACACTGTAAGTAGTGAGCATGTGCCAGGGGCTGGAAACTCCCAGGCCTGCCCATTCACAAGTGAGGAGACAAACCCTTTGTTTCCGTTGTCATTACTACAGTACTCAACTTCTGCTAAACTGATTGAATTGAATGCACAGTACCGGAATATCGACATCGATTCAAGATGGTGGCTCCAAATTGATCAACGTTTATACAACATGATCACAGTTGCTCATCGCGAGCAAGAACAGGTAATGATTTGATAAACTTACTATCACTACATTGTACTTCTTTGGAGACGACTTGGTGTAGGGTATGGATCAATAGAGTTGGAAAGAAATGATACTATGCAGTACTTTGAATTGTTGCTGGCAATGACTAATTAGTTTAGTGACGTCGTTTCTGCAACAACACTTATCAATGATAATTAATAAATGAAGTCTTATTTTAAATATTTAAACTTACTAATGACATAGTATAGTAGTGTGCTGTATGTATACAAAGCCATGATAAATCAATAGCCTCAAATCTTACTATACATGCATACGTCAATACTTGTCCTAGCGTAGAACGTTATTACGTCGATAGCAAATGAATGCAATCATTTTTATTTTACTCTTAGTAGATGTAAGCTTGTCGCTGGATTGAAATTCCTAGTGGTTTATTAAAACTCTTATCGACCCGAACTGCATCAGACAAGACTAGGTCAGTTATTCTGAGCCAAACTGTAAGTTGTTTCTACTGCAATAGGCATTCTAGATGAAGACGATTGCATAGCTAGCGCTTATATGTAATGTAAAATCATCATTATTTTTGTTTTTCCTTTCTGCTGCTTCAAATCTATATCCGATTTTATTCATTAATATACAATCTTGATAATAAGAAGATACTGTACATCTTTAGACTAATCATAAGCTAGATAATAAATCTATTTCTGATGTCTTATTGCCCTAAGGTTCTACCATTTTTGTTTTTCCAATAGTGATCTGATCATAATAATGTAAAAGTCTATAAAACGATCTATGGGATAGATATTCTTCTCTACCTAATACAACAATATTACACAGACAGTCATTTCACATAGACTTGCTCAAGTCCTATTCTTCTACACCTTTAGATTCATTACAGCCAAATATCAATCCAATTTTAGCACTAAGATTATGCTGACCAGAAGAAAGAGACCAATTGTCTTCGTTCTCTGTGTCCTATTAGCACTATGGACTATTACTCTGTTACGAACTGTCACTACAAAGACTGAAAAGTCCAAACAAGTTCTTAATCAGGATAATGATCGAAATGTTCATCAAGATGATCATAACAAACATCTTGAATCCGATCAACATCATTCAAATAATGTTAATAAACGACGTGACGTTCATCAAGACAATCAATTTGGTAAAAAAAATACTAATAAAGACGATCACCATGAAAATCTGCCCCATGGAAATGCCCCTATTAAACTGCATAGTAGGCATGTATTTCAACCAACAATGCCTAAAGGCTATATCAAAGATGCACCTGGAGAGAATGGAAAAGCAGTTGACATACCTAAAGAATTTTTAATAGAGAGTAAACGTCTATTCGAACGCAACAAATTCAACCAATGGGCCAGTGATAAAATCTCGTTACATCGAATATTACCCGATGCCAGGCCAAAATTGTAAATTTTTTATGCGTTCAATGAGTATTGATATACCGTATAACCATTGTGCTGAGTGGATGCAGTAGTTACTGCTTAAGAACTACTTACAGACTAAGTTATAGTAATCAAATTTAATTGATACCTTATTGCGATAGGCGGTAGCAGTGTACCTTCCTAAAGTGGTTCGAGAAACTAGCTTATTAAAAGTTACAATTAACACATATTTAAAAGTAATAATTGGAGTAATCTTATTTTGTCTCAATGTGTATAATATAGATGTTTCTATATAATCTACGAGATAACCCGTAGTAGAATTATCACAAAATCAGTGTATAATAGTAGTTCTTAGTTAATCTTATTCTTTAAAAGTAGTCTGTAGGACGACAATACTAGTAAAATGCTTTGTTCGATTCTAAGTTAAGCCATTCTTATTGTTTCCTAACTCAAGGTGTAAAGACAAAGTATATCCTGGTGATTTACCTCCTACTAGTGTAGTTATTGTATTTCACAACGAAGCTTGGTCCACTTTACTCAGAACGATTCATAGTGTCCTTGATCGGACTGCTCCTGATTTACTTATAGAGATCATACTTGTCGATGATAAAAGTGTTGTTAGTGGACATGGTAGGTCTTTGACGTTATTAAGTACAATATTGGTTAGGATTCTTTGTATAAGTAATTACTGTATTTCCAACTTTTCATAGGAATACTAAACGTAATATGACATCTTGTCTTTTGAATATATGTTATATTATTCTACACTATATTCTTCACCGTCTATTAAATTTTAATAGTAAATCACTTCATTTTATACAGAAGAGCTACATGCCCCTCTTGATGCGTATATTGCAAAACTTGCAAAAGTAAAAATAATACGTAATAAAAAACGAGAAGGTTTAATTCGATCTAGATTAAATGGTAAGAGTGTTTTTCCTAAGATCGATTGTATTTTATTACTAACAATAGCTTTCTTTGTAAATTTAATTTAAAATATGATTTTATACTTATATTTAAATATTAATAATAGTAGACGTATGACCATGTGTTTTAATTAAACTTTAAAGAATATACCTTACCATTATTTTTGTGACAGGTTTCGCTGCTTCTAAAGCTCCTGTGGTAACTTTTTTGGATGCCCATTGTGAGGCTAATACCGGCTGGCTAGAACCTTTACTAGAGCGAATCTATAATGATCGAAGCACCGTAGTCTGTCCTGAAATTGACGTTATTAGTGACGAAAATTTCGCATATCAATATGGTCCTAGTGGTTTAATGAGGGGGATTTTTAATTGGGATCTACATTTTCGGTGGAGAGCTGTTTCGACTGAAGAACAAAAGCGGCGTCAATCACCTATCGATCCTGTTAGGTATGTTAATCTTTTCTAATCACTACTTAGCAAATTATTTCAATTATTTCAATTAAATGGCGTAATTGCTTTATTTAATTTTATATACCAGAACTCCTACTATGGCCGGTGGTCTATTTGCAATAAACCGTGATTACTTTAAAGAAATTGGGACATACGATGAAGAAATGGATATTTGGGGTGGAGAAAATTTGGAGATATCTTTCAGGGTACCTAGCCGTTTCTTTACAATATCTACCTTATTTATCTCTTTAATTCTTAATATATCCTCAATACCAACATAATTGTCATATAGAGTTTGAACTAGTAATTTTGATGATATATCGAGTAGTATAAATTGAATTAAATTGAATTTAATAGTGATAAACAAAGCGCCGTATTGTAAGCATGTAACCTGCTTGATTACGTTTATAAATGCTTTCATTGATATAATTGACCTTAGATATGGCAATGTGGTGGTACTCTTGAAATAGTCCCTTGCTCACATGTGGGCCATGTATTTCGTAAAAGTCAACCGTACGGATTTCCTAAAGGTGTTGTTGATACATTGGGTAAAAATTCTCAGCGTGTTGCTGAGGTTTGGATGGATGGCTATAAAGAATTTTTCTATCAACGCCAACCTCACCTACGTGGTCATGCATATGGCGATATTAGCAAACGCCTTGAAATTCGCAAAAAGCTAAAGTGTAAATCTTTCAAGTGGTATCTGGAAAACATCTATACTGATGCAGTCTTACCTAATGAATCTGTAATAGCAAAGGGAAAGGTATTTTGTGCTGTTTTGTCTTTACTTTATGCGATTACTTTGATCATTAATCAATTTATTTACTTTATTAAGGTCAGGAATCCTGCCTCAAATATGTGCTTGGATTCACTTAGTAGACCAAAATTAAGCTATATTGGACTTAGTCCATGTACACTCTCTGCAATGACAATGGTAATAATTAATGTTTCTCATATGTTAGCTGAATGTATAGTTTAATCGTAGGATTACATAAATGTACATCCCATTTATTTCATTTAAAATACTCGAAAAATTGTAGATTATTTCGTTTACTGTTCGACAAGAGCTCGTCGTGCAAGACATATGTCTCGATGTATCTGATTACAATCCCGGAACTAAAGTTCAGCTTTACGAATGTCATGGTATGAAAGGCAATCAGCTTTGGATGCATGAAAAGGTATCATTTTTTTTTGAGTCATGGATAAAATACACTGAAAGGTTTATTTTAGAAATTTATTAACTGAAGAACGGTTATCATGGTATTAATAAACACGGAAGTAATTAACTTATATAACTTGATAGGATGGTCCAATTCGGCATGGTACAAGCGGTATGTGCTTGGACCGTGGATCTGGCGGTAATCCAATTATAGCAGTCTGCGATGGAGGTGAATCCCAGAAGTGGATTTTTGAAAAGTACTACCTCAATGTTACACCCAAAGTCAAGATTTAGGCTGCATTAAAAAAATTATTTTATTACTGAATAAATTCAGACTAATGATAGGAATGTGTACAGGAAGAAATTGTCTTTTTAATATTCACGAAAATTTTTGATGTTATTACAGTACATTAGCAAACCAATATTAGAAAAATGAGTTATGATATGATAATGAATACGCATTAGAACTTTTGCCTTTTAATTTTAATTTACATTTTCATCTTTATGATTGAAAATTTATTAAGATTCGTATCTCGATTACAGAATAAATGTCCTAAAATAATAATATAAAACAATTTCTTTAAAAACATTGATTAATGATAATCAGTGGAGAAATAATGTACTGTTGCTATCAGGTTTTTATCGACTTTCCTTATCTTTCGTATCTAAATAGATTGATCAGGTAGAATCATCAAAAAGGTGATTATATGCTTATGAATAAATATTTTCCCAAGATATTGACGTTTATAGTGCTATAGTGTAATCCTTCTACATATTGTGCTGTATGTTTATGTTTCTTATAGGTATTCTCTCTGAATGTAAATTACAGTAGTATCGCGAATTTACGCTTTGAGTCGTACTATAGTTGATAGTTAAGGAGAGATGATACAATATCTGCCCATCGAGAATAGATCTATTGCCTATTTGATAGCGCATCTATACCAGTGAGTAGAAGATCAGATAAATAGAACTACCTTATGAATCTTAAGCCATTTGGCGATCTACGCTAACAAGAGATGTTACAGTGTATTAACAACACACTGCAATATTTCATGAGCGTGAGATCGGATAATAGAATTTTGTAGAACTATCCTTATGCATCTTCCTTTGCAATCTAGTAGACTTCCATTTGTGGATTTAAAAGTTGATGCTAAAGCAAAAAATTGCTTTATGATAGTACTTACGAATCCATTTTATTCATTATTGAAACCAAAGACGCTTTACATTCATGACAACAACAAGCAAACTTACGATAATAAATCTATCTTGGTACAACCTATTCTGAAGCTGATTAATTATGTACTCTAAAAAAGGAAAACTATAGCAAAAAATTTTACTTTTAAACGATCTGAAATAAAGCGTTATGAATTTCGTTTCGATAGAAATAAAATTTCAGTGGTAAGCATTGAGCTATGAACAGAATTTCATGTTCCATTCAATCGCCAAGGAAACCGAGGGAAAATAATTTCACTTTCAAACGATTTGAAACAATGTATTATGAATTTCGCTTCGATAGGAATAAAATTTCAGGGGTAGACATTGAGCTATGAGCAAAATTTTATATCTGATCTGATCGCCAAGGTAACTCCTAAATAGAGACTAAATGAGTAGAAGTAGTGGCTATGAGACTATAACGTTGTGATAACGATTATTTTAAATTAGTCCTCGTAGTTATTTGTAACAGATGCTACAGAAAAGCCTCTTAAGGTGCAAAAGTCCTTGATTATGTTTATAAAACGAGGCGCTCGTTCCATCTGGCCATATTATGAAAATGGTCAAAAGGATGAAATTATACGGGTATTCCTCTCCAGTTTTGGGCGTAGACTTGATTTTGTGTATCATTTTATTTGTAAAAGTACTTCAATCGTATTTCTAAACCGAAACACTCGCTCTATCTAGGCCTTGTATGAAAATGGTCAAAGGATGAAATTGTTATACTCCTTTCCACTTTTAGGCGTGGGCTTGATCTTATATACGGGTATATCATTTTATTCTCAATGCAGAAAATGGCTTTGTTCAAATGGACAATGATCTGGCTGGCCAAAGGTATACTTACAAAGGCATAGCTTAAGCAATTTAATCGTTCCATCCTACAGCAGAATAATTATTTGAATCAGGGTTGTTCTGGCAACAGATGGCCTTGCATTGGCATACCAGATGACAATTAATTTATTATGCCAAAACTAGCCATAATGGCTACAAGCTATCACTCGATATAAGCTTTCCTAACATAAAGAATAAATATACATAGGAAATCTACTGGCTATGCGGTATACAGTAAATACAGTAGGTCATTGCAAGACTAGGCGGCCATATTTCATACAAAAAATGACTATCCAGGAACAATAACTAGAAGCTTAGTTGAAATTTAACACTCTAGGTTTTAAGATCACTTTTATTTATATTCCTTCAAATATCTTTGATCCGGTAGATCGCAAAAATACTCCAACCTTGATTTATATTACTAATCTTTAATCCTACATCCTATCCAATATCGATCGATATACTTTTGTCAAATATTATTGGTAATCTTTAACGAATTAAGAAATTCAAAATGATGATTAACAGAAGAAGACGATGTCGGTATACGTTGATAATCATTTTAATGGGTATTGGCGCTTTTTACATAGCACAAATTGTTCTGTCATCCATCTTTGGTAGTAGCCATTCTAACGATTTAGCTGAAGAGAATTTACCTGGTAATAAAAAGGAACAAGATGTGGAAAGAAATAATATGAAGAACAAGGAAGAATTAAATCAAGACAAGACTAAAGCTCAATCCAGTCATCGTGATAAAGGTGATGATGACGGCAAGAAATTAAAGGACTCTGATAGAGAGCCAAAGAAAAGTAAAGATAGTGATGTTCAAAAAGATAAAAGTAATCGAAAACAGCAAGGCAAGAAAAATGTTGATGATAAAGATGCTATTGCTAAATCCAAGAAAGTAACTCCCATTGCAACGACCAAGAAATCAATTAATATCTTTCAGAAAATGAAAATTGCAGCTGAAGATCAAATTAAGAAGAAAATTAAACAGGCTCAAGATGCTCATAAAGCAGCCGATGAACGGCAAAGTCATGACAAGAAACGAACAAGTGGGAAAGAAAGGCCAGTATTTCAACCAGCATTGCCTCAAAACCATAAACCTGCTGCACCCGGTGAATATGGTCGTCCAGTCGATGTTCCTAAAGAATATCAACAACTAAGTGAAGAGCTATTTCAAAGAAATCACTTTAATCAGTGGGTCAGTGATCGAATTTCCTTACAAAGAACATTGCCTGATCCTCGTCCCGAAATGTAAGTACAGAAGATGGATATTATACTCTACCATCCTAGAGACTATTAAACTTTACTATATCATCGGCGAGCTTTAGTACAGATTTTTAAGCTACATTACTGGCAGAGGAGGCTCCAATATTTATTTCTAAATGATTCCTAAATTAAAATTCTTATGTATCGTCATGAAGATCCAGGGATTATTAAGCTTTGCCATGTCGTTAGCGAGCTTTAGTACAAGTTTTAAGTTAAAATACAGGCAAAGCACCGGTACTTATTACAAAATGATTCCTAGGTTGAGATTAATGTGTATTATTGTGAAGATCCCAGGAATCATTAAGCTTTGCTATGTCGTTAACAAGCTTTAGTGTAGATTTTTAACTTAAAATACTAGTAGAAAAGCACTGGTATTTACTTCAAAATGATTCCTAGATTGAGATTAATTTATGTTATCGTGAAGATTAATTAAGCATGGCTATGTCGTTAGGGGACTTGAGTACAGATTTTTAAGTTAACGTACTGTACTAGAGAGAAGGCACTGATATTTGTTTCAAAATGATTCCCAGGTTGAGATTAATGTATACCGTATATTAGGTCAGATTCGCCAAGCTAATCATTAATTTTACAGAGTAATGGACTTGCTTACAAAGTCACCCAAGCATTGCTAATTTAATACAGTTAACCAGTCATTTTATCAAATAACCGAGTTGATTATATTATAAAGTGAACCAGATCGCTTTACATGTATACTGGTGCCTCAATAATCACATAGCTTATTTACTGTAGGTCTAGTTCTATCTTGATTTTTGCTCTTTTTGTTTTAAATATTGGTAGAGAACATATAAGGCTTTAATAGGATGACAATTTTAGGTTATGGCTCCTTTATTCTTGCAGGCATGATCATTCAAGGATCAGCAGTATTGCTTATAATCTTGCTGTTCTTTAGAATTTACTTACTCGTACCGCATTTTATATAGTAATCTTGAAAATTTTAGAGTATGATTGAACATCTTATGATAAAATTAAATATAGTACATGTGATTACTGTCCAACAGCTTGTATCGACATGTCTGATAGAACAATTATTTAAAATAATATTCAAAACTACCAATTTATAGTAGAACTGCAACGCCATTATCCAATCATGATTTAAGCAAAATGGAATTTTAACTTGACCATCATTCATTTCTAGGTGTAAAAGTATGACTTATCCGGTCGATTTACCTTCTACAAGTGTAGTTATCGTCTTTTATAACGAGGCATGGTCAACTTTAATGCGAACTGTCCATAGTGTATTAGATCGATCTCCACCAGATCTCTTGCATGAAGTAATTCTAGTCGATGATAGCAGTGATGTTGTTGGCCATGGTAAGTCTATCCATCTTGACAAACTCTCGTCGATTTGATGCCGTTTTCGCTAATTCAATACGAACTACATCATAGGTTCTATAGATTTCTCAGCAGATTGATTACTAATTTAGAAATAAGCCCACTCTGTCTTTTTTTTTTTTGCTTTACTCCGTGGTTTAGAGGAACTTCATCAGCCATTAGAAGAATATGTTCGACAGCTTGATAAAGTTCGACTACATCGTAATTCTCAGCGAGAAGGATTAATCCGAGCGCGATTACGAGGTATTAGATTCAATCTCAACTCTAGCTATATTAATCGCTTGCATGCTCTAGGATAGAAGCTTTTCTGACATGCTTATCAAAGTTCTCGTCCGATCTTGTTGTTGATTGTAGGCCTGGAGCAAACATCAGCCCCCATCGTCACATTCTTGGATGCTCATTGCGAAGTTACAATTGGGTGGTTGGAGCCTTTACTGAACCGAATTCATCAAGATCGTACTACAGTGGTTTGCCCAGAAATTGATTCTATCGATTTGAATAATTTCGCCTATAAATATGGACCTAGTGGTGTTTTACGAGGCACATTTAATTGGGATTTAAGCTTTAAATGGTCGATTGCTCCTACATCAGAACGACTACGTCGCACCTCAGCGACAGATCCTATGAGGTAAGCAAGAAATGAGGATGAAGAGGTTATTTTAGGATGCTATCGAGCTCGTCTCTAACTTTAATAAAATGAACTACTGTAATTCCACATGCACGACAGCAGGAATAAAGCTATTAGGCTTTCAATCTGAAGACAATATTAGTTATGAGTGTATATATACAGCTTCCCTTCTAATTTCTTGGCCTTAAGACAGAGCAGCAAGCAGCTATAAAGAGCTGTAAAATTATATTTTGAAATAACTAATGAATTCTTTGTTTCAGATCGCCAACTATGGCTGGTGGGTTATTTGCTATAGATCGCGAATATTTTTTAGAACTTGGAACATACGATAGAGGATTAGAAATTTGGGGTGCCGAAAATATGGAATTATCTTTTAAGGTACTTAGACTATACATAGTATGTTAAGTAGCAAATAACCTATAGTACAAGTATTACTTAAGGTGAATACCTATAATTAAGCAACAATGACTACATGTACACAATATTTTATCAGATACTCATTTATATCAACTAATATTATTTAAAACGAAAGTATAAGTAGATCATGGAGTAATTATTTCATTTTGAAGTCATTAACTTTAATCTCCTATAGCGCACGCTTTATCATCTACTCTACTGTTTTTAGTACAATCAACTGTTATGATATCATAGACCATTTAAATTGGCTAATATCATTTAAACTGCAATTGGAAATGGATCCTAGAGCAATTAATTTGCTGTTACCAATACTTTGAAAATAATTGTAACTTCTATATTGCTATCGATGCCTATTTTTCCTACCAGGTTTGGCAATGTGGTGGTAAATTGGAAATTATTCCTTGCTCTCATGTTGGTCATGTATTTCGTGAGGTTCAGCCTTATGATACATCTGTATCTTTACACAGTATTGCTAATAAGAACTATCAACGTGTGGCCGAAGTATGGATGGATGACTATAAAAAATTTTTCTATCAGCGCCATCCCTATCTAACTGATCAATCTTTTGGCGATATAAGTGAAAATTTAAAATTACGCCAAAGGCTAAAGTGTAGAAGTTTCCGATGGTATTTACAAAATGTGTTTACCGATGTAATATTGCCAAATGAGACGGCGATAGCTACGGGCAAAGTAAGTATTACTGACCTATTCGATGAACGAGTAACCAAATACACGTCGATATTAGTGCTTTCTAACATTAATATATGACTGGTCAATGATTATAGGAATAATGAGTGCTATAACTATTCGAATTGATATCCACTGTATTTTATATAGTAAAGCGATGAAGAAAGTATTTATATTACTGTAAAATTCTTAGATATTAAATTTGGCCTATCTATTAAGCGTAAAATTCTATTAGAAAGTATCATTATTTCTAAATACGTAGATTCGATTGGGCAGGGATCAATACAATTATTTTAAGTTGAAAGTATTTTACTTAGTATCTATGATAATCTTATGACCAGATCTTTAATTTATAGGTTAGAAATCCAATCTCTAATATGTGCCTTGACACATTCGGCCGAACATCCAATACTTTTCTTGGATTATCTCCATGTAATATCCAGCGAGATACAATGGTAAGACATAATTAAATTAATTAATGTTATTTGTTCTAAAATTAGAGATCTTAAGATAGTAAGGGTTGATCACAAATTTGTAGGAATATTTTCCCTAAAAGAACTAAAAAATTTTCATAAATTCTTCTTCTAGCTGTTTGCATACACTTCAAGAAAAGAAATTTCCTGGAATGATGCTTGCCTAGATGCATCATTTATTATGCCTGGCTTCAAAATCCAAATGGCAGAATGTCATCGCATAGGTGGCAATCAAAAATGGCTACACCAAAAGGTAACTATCATGTTATTCTTAGGTCGTTCATACAGTACTATATAACTCTAAATCATTATATTTACATGTATAGGAATGAGCCTCACATATATAGACAACCTAGTAAATATAAATCTATAACTATTTTACGACTTATCTACTGCAATTTAATAATAGTCTACGAAAGTATGATGCAAGTAAAGTATAATTACTTGAAATTACTTTGACACTATTCATAAACTAGTCTAAGCTTACTCAGTGCTTTGTTGATGAGTAACAAAGATGGAATATGAACATTTCAGATAAAATTATTTTATCCTTTGTTACAGCATCATTTTTCATGTTATTAGTATTTTCAGCCCAGGTGTTAGTAATGCTATATTATTGATATTTTCTATCCTGATCTTAATAATGCGGCTAAAACTACCAGCTATACAGTGTATGCCTGTTGTTGGTGCTATAGATAAAATGAATACGCAGTCAAATAATGAAATCCGAAAGGTTTAAGGACTTTTATATATGTAAATCCTATTTAATGCTGAAATATTTTCAATTTTTAGAAAGATGTTATTAAGCATGTCCACAGTGGCTTGTGTATCGATCGTGGAACTGACTTAAATCCTGTGATCTTACCATGCAATGGTAGCCTAACTCAAGTTTGGACCTTTGATTATTACACTGTAAATTCTGGAAACAAGCTAATGCGCTAATCAACCAACAATTTGATCATGGTTTTAATATTAAGTTGAAATAAAAATTTCAATAGATAAAACTTGTAGAAATCATTTTAGTCGTCCACCTATCGTATGTTAACCAAGATATTAATAGAGAGCAATACATTTTCAATTTTTTCAATTAGCTTCCATACCATTACGTTCTGCTATGATCGTGATATGCATTTTATATGGGTATACTTTTCTATCCAATATTTTATGTTAGAATAGTGAAATACTTAATTTATACTCAACTTATTTAGAATGAAATAGTGGGTGCTGATAAATCAAACCATTAACATTATCATCAAATAAATTGTTATAGGCTATGGTTCTCATATTAGATTAGGAGCTAGCGGATGATCACGTGACAACCGTTATATGATGGTAGAATTGAGATAATACTTCATGATTAGACCTTTAGATTATTGTTAATTACTGAGGCACACAGGAAAAATAGTGCAACAGATGTACAAAATTTTAACTGATGATTGTGAGATGAGCACCGGATGAAACAATATCTAGGCACTCAATCTACGGTAGTAATATGGCTAAATTAAAATCTGCATTTAAATTAGCTGTACTGTATATAGATAGTTGCTATAGCTGGACTAGGATCGATTTATTTTCTTGTTACTAATATTACATGAGAAAGATGGCTAATTGATTAATACTGTATAGGAAATAGAAGTAGATGAGTAGTTAACTAAAATAGTGATTATGATATAAAGATCAATAGTGATAATATTTGCAGAAGCGTGAAGAATTGAAAATATAGCTTTAATTTACTTCCTCATCGACAGTTATTATAGCCATGGAGTGTAGACTTAATTTGTTACTTACTGATATTACAAAAAAATAATAACGGTTTGATTAATATAAGGGCATGGAAGCAACTGAGTAATTTACTAAAATTGGGAGTGAGACATGTAAATCGATGAGGAAAAAATCCATAGTGGCAGTATGATCTAAGTTTTAATCCTGATATGATAAAGTGTTTTCATAATATTAGACAAGAACCTAATACTGTAAATTACACAACGTACACATGAGTTTCTGTTTTCTATGATTGTCTAATGTCGATTAATCTAACTTACTACTAGAATTACTTATAGAAAGACAGCGAGTTAATTAATATAGCACAAGAACTCAGTAATGAAAATAGTCTAGTAATTTATCAAATTTATGCATAGAGCGAGGGAGTCGATTGCAACAACATCTAAGGCGTCAATATGGGTAAAATTACAAGTTACATTTGTGTTTAAATAATTTTAAACGCTCTATTGCTACAACTACTACGTCTTAACGAACTACTCTATTCATTACTAGCATTATACCTGGTATTACTGATATTATAAGAGAAAGACGGTGAATCAGTTGAAAAAAGTGATATATAAAAGCAATAGAGTAGTTTACTAAGACATATTATAAGCTATTTGAGATTTAATACTGTATTATTCCGTTTTAATTAAGGGTATCTCGTTGCAACTTAGCGAATGTCATCATTGGAAGTAGGATAGTAAAAGTTCAGCCTATGATACTCTTTATGTGTAGAACATTGGTGTGCAGTTCATAATCCATTAGAACTTCGCAGCTAATTCAGTCAGCAACTATCCTAATTTACTGATATTCCGTGTGAATAAATGAACAATTTCTATCCATCAGATTATTTTCAAAATTTGATCTCATCGCTTATGTCTGAATGAATGGCGAAATTATTTTTAAGCCAAGCTAAGGCTCTTCCTAAGTCTGTATAGCTTACGAAACACAATTTAGACTATAGCATACATTATGATAATCCGCTTGTGTAACTTTTTACAGTATAGAAATGACGAAATGATTATATTTCAAACGGGCCTAGACAAGTATAATCTAATATACGCTATGAATTAGTTTGGCTTTTAAAAGAGCTCAAGCTTTTTTGGCCACATGACTAGAGTTCGTTCAAAGTTCAGTAGCAGGAGTTATTTAGCTCTTGCATTTACAAAGGACGTCCCCTGAAGTGTTCGTCCGTAAACATTCTATACAAGGAATAATTTTAGCATGAACCGCCCGTTCCCATTGATAATTACTTATGTAGTTTTATAACTTAAGCCCAAAATTGTAAAGCTCCTCTTACTGAGAAATCAAGGTTTTGATATTGATAGGTAGTGCTAAGAGTTACTAAGTAACAAACTGCTATAGTAGGTCAAAAATCAACGGATTATGTATGAATGCGAAAGAAACAATAAACTAAACTAAGCTTGTTCAACAATTTAAAACAACTTATCAAGTTAAAATTCGCCTTATCTAATCAGTCGATGTTATCTAGCGACAATCTTTCCGCATCATTGTAATGGTCTATTACTACTACTAGATTAACTACCATACTCTTAGATAAGAACAATAGGTTTAAACTTTCATCCTATTTATCTATTGTTGTCTAGCATTTACTCTTTTGTCCGGTAACAATTTGCTGAAGTTGTAAGATTATTTTTACACCGTCTCATGATGCAACAGATGTGAAGGCTAATTTTATAAAGAATTTTTTCTCTTTCTATTTACAGCCTCATCATATAATTTTGGAAGCGAATAAGATTACTTACTTTTATTCGCTTCTAGAGTATATTGAGTAAGTTTGGAATTGCTTTCATCTTGTAATCACTACTAACATTACCAGACTACTGCTACATTTACAATCAATTTACACCTAATCTACTACTACCAGAGCTACTTGGACATTAATAACCATCCAATATTCTATATAGCTTATGAATTTACTTCAACATTGAAAGTAGAATATCATTCATTGTTCAAATTCTAGACGTTTTCTATCCTTGGTCTACATCGTATTTCATATCGAGTAGAAAAATTTTAATTAGCTAAATGAAGAAATGCAAGCAGATTATTTCAATACTATTGATTATTATCGGAATATGGTATTTCATCAGAAGCTATCGTCCTGAAGTCAAAAAATCACAATCGGTAACGAAAGCAAAACAAGATGCTAAGCAATTTAACAAGATTGCATCACCTTGGAAGCGATTAACTACTGCAGGAAGAATACAAAATCATCAATCGCACCATCCTAAGGGAGCGTTAATCGCAGTAGAACCTAAAACAAGAGTTGATCATAAAATTAAGAATTCTGTTTTTGAAAAGGTCAAACATTTTCAAGTGATAGCTCGTAATAATCATCCAGCTCCAGTTACTAAAAAAAAGGTTAAGAAATTAATGAAACAGTTGCCTTATCGTCCAGTATTACCTAAAATTTTTAACCCACATGCTCCGGGCCAAAATGGTACAGGCATAGCTGTAATACCGCATAGTCATCAGAAAGCACATAATGATTTACTTCGTAATTACGGATTTAATGCTTGGGCAAGTCGTCAAATTCCCGTCAATCGATTAATACCTGACTCACGTCCTAAAAGGTGAAGAGAATATGACCTTATGATAGAAATATCATTAGCTATTGAATCAGTAATTTGTTTTATTATGGAGATTAAACATATCTGATTTACTACTTAATCTAAATCATTTTTGCATAATATTTTTCTCTTTATTTTGTTAATTTACATTTTATTAACCCATTTTTATTACAGAAGAAAAATCGAAAGTATAATGCGATTAGCATTTTAGAATTCACTGATTTTAAGTCATACTACTGTTATACTTAAATGGTACTATTTTCCTTCCTTTTTCAAAGAGATTTTCGATAGCTTTTTATATCATAATAATCTTCTTTTAATTTTTTAAATATGATAACAACCGTGATACTTTCTTTATCCAGTAGGATCTACAACTTATTTAATGTGGGACGCAATAGATTTATAATATACAATATATTAATATACTTGTTCGGCCGCTAGGAAGGAAGAAAATTGATGCTAGATATAATACCAATCGCATTTTAGAATTCAGCGATCTTAAGTCTCATATTACTGAAATACTTACATATTGATATTTTCCTTTTATTTTCATGGGGATTTGACAGCTTCTTTTATCATAGCAATCACTTTTACATTTTCGAATATGATAATAGTTGCGATAAATTCTTTATCTATTAGGATTTATACCTTATTTGATATGGGATACCGAGGTTAAAATCTCATAATGTAATCTTTAAATCTTTTTTTTCATCTACAGTTGTCGTGATGAGAAGTATTTAGTAAATCTACCACCTACAAGTGTCATTATTGTCTATTACGATGAAGATCTAACAACATTACTGCGCACACTTCATAGTGTAATAGATCGAACATCGCCTTCATTATTAAGAGAAGTTATCTTAATTGATGATCATAGTCCAATCAATGAACATGGTAAGATAGCATAGTCTAATTGGGAAATAAGATAGAATAAGTGATATTATGTGATTTCTCTGCACCTATGTTTTAACAAGGCAGAGAGAGCAGTTAATGATAATATCAAAACTGATTGATTTCTCCAAATCTTACGTTATGATTATTACCTGATTAAAACTCTTAGATGGATCTAGGCTGCATTTAGAACATTATCTTTCTTGGTTTCACAAAGTTCGATTTTATAGAAATAAACAAAGATTAGGATTAATTCGATCTCGATTACTAGGTATTCACGATATGTCCCAAAAATGAAACTGATATATCACCATTCGATAGCAATTAAATACCTGTAGGTTAAATCGTATTTCACAAATCTGCATCATAATGGGATTGTAATTTTCTTATTTTGCAGGATTTTCATATACTAAAGCGCCTGTGGTCACCTTTCTTGACTCCCATTGTGAAGTTAATGTCGGGTGGTTAGAACCATTATTGAGGCGTGTAAATGAAGATCCAACTGTTGTTGTAACGCCGGAGATTGATTTAATTGATGCCAGTAGTTTTCGATATCTCTATGGTCCTAGTGGTCTAATTCGTGGTGTTTTTGACTGGAATTTAAAATTTAAATGGAAGGTTATCCCTCGAGAGGAGCGATTAGCTCGTAAATCACCAATTGAATCTGTCAGGTACAACTTAAATAAAGACTAGCTTAAACAATTGATATAAATAGAGAAATTTAAATTGCTCTTTGGTTATTAATTAAAGTTGTGACCATAAGTAAAACATGGATTCCTACAGATTAATTTCCTTTGCTAGCTATCTGTAACCTTGTTACGAATACCTAACAGCTAACGAGTAAAGCTAATTTAAGATTAATTAAATTTCAATTTGAGAAATAATGATTTTATAGCCTTGATGCAAAAAAATGAACAAATTTTTATTTAGATTAGTAACTTATTTTACTCCTTGATACGATTATCGGTTTTATATTGATTGGTAGCATGTGCTATAACACTGTATTATTAATAATCATGGTAGATGCTGTTTCTATTTATTGACATATCTTGTAGAAATTTTATGTAGCAAATACGTTAGCTTACTATAGTGTAAGATGCAATGTAACGTTTTACTATTTGTACCTTTACATCCCCCAATACATCTTTGAACAGTGGATATTAGAACAAAATAATTAATAGTTCTACGAGTACGTTGCGTTCAAGTTTAATTTATATCAATCTCTCAATGCTAGTTTTATAGATAGAAGCTGCTTTAGTATTCGTAGCAGTTGCATAGCTCACTAAACTCATATGTATAATAGGATATAATACTGTATACATCCTTCTAAATGCACATTGCAAATACAGTAGATTGATTTTATATAAGTTTCTCAATATCACAAGTCAAGTTTGAGGACAAAACAATTTATTTCCAGTTATAAATACCATTACTTATATATAAAATCGATCAGTTCTGTTATAATATTTAAATCTGACTACAGGTTCCTAACGTTATATCTATCTTTTTAACCTTCTACACTCTATACGAAATTATTATAGATCACCAACTATGGGAGGTGATATTTTTGCAATCGATCGAAAATTCTTTCAAAGTATTGGTAAATACGATAGCCAAGTAGAAACTTGGGAAGTTGAACACCTTGAAATCTCATTTAGAGTATGATTATATCAATCAGATAGCGATTTGTAGTAACATAACTTTTAATTTCTATATTAGTTTTAATGCTGATTTAAATCCAATTTATAGATTTGGTTATGTGGAGGTAAAATAGAAATTATTCCCTGTTCCCATGTTGGCCAAGTTTTGCGTAGTTTTCAGCCTTATCAACCGCCGCAAAGTTTCGATGATTATCTCGGTAAGAATTCTCAACGCATCGCCGAAATTTGGCTGGATGATTATAAAGAATTTTACTATCAACGTTACCCTCATCTACGTCAAAATTTTCTTGGCGATATAACTGCTGAATTGCGTCAGCGTCAAAAGCTTGGTTGTAAAAATTTCCGATGGTACTTAAACAACGTATTTACTGATGCTGTTTTTCCAAATGAATCCGTTATGGCAGAGGGCAAAGTAATGCTTACTGATGTTGATATTAAATTGGAATGAAATTTTAAATTTCAAATTAATTTACTTATTTAAAATCTACTGATAAGAAATTAATATTTTCTGACTATCCAGTTGAAATGCAGTTCTACTACTTGAAGTTAAATCGTTAATATAATTTCAATAAATACTCATACTACTATTTTTATTGCTGCTATAAAGATTAGAAATCCTGCTTCGGCTAATTGTCTTATGGTAGCAGGTAAAACTAATTCCTATGTCCGACTAATTACATGCGTGCATGACACTAGTTCCATGGTAAGCTGGCTATATCAAACAGTATCTTTGGTATTTATCCTTTTAAAAATTGTAATGATGGAATCTTTTAGATCTTTAGATTTACAATCCGACGAGAAATTGAGATTAATGGAAAATGTTTAGATGCAAATAGATCTAAAAGAGGTTCAAAAATTCAATTAGTCGACTGTCATCGAATGCGAGACAGCCAAGAATGGAAGCACAAGGTAAGCGACATTAATGTGAAATTCTTTAGAATTATACAGTCCGTAATGATAAATTGACATTTTTTCCCATTAAAATTAGAAACATCAGATACTTCATGTGAAAAGTGGTATGTGCTTAGATCGTGGCTTAAGTCTAACTCCAGTACTAATGCCATGTGATCATAAGCGAAAGCAAATTTGGGTATTTGACAAGTACTATCCAAATGTGAAATCGAAATTCCAGTAGCCAAACTGATGTTAATTTTTATGACACATAAGCGATAGTAAAGTATAACGCAGAATTTCTATGGAATGAGTCGGAGATCTTTTGCTTAACATGATGAGCGGGTACAGCTAGTTCATAATGGCTGCGTTACGTAATATCCTAATCTATTCGTACTGTCAATTGATACTCAAATGCAATCATTATAAACAGAATTTTTTCGATCACATTTAATAATGGTTAACTAGCTGACTGGATGAGTAACTTGTTAAGTGCCCATAGGTACTTAGACCCATATAAATAAGCATATGTGTATGCTGTTCCGGCACAATTAATTAACGATCCGTAAGTGTTGTAACCATAAATCTATTTATTTGATTGCTTATGCTGAATTTATCACTCATTTAATATTAACAAAGTGTTTTCAAAAACTTATGTACAATATATCACAGTAGCTCGATTGACAATTTTATGATTTTAGTTACTGTAATGTTTTATGTGTTAAGGTTAAGTGCGAATATAAACAATACTTGATTACTAATCTTATTTAAAATACTGTAATTAGTGATAAATTCGACGATTACCGAGAAATTTCTGTAACATAATGTTACTAATTTGCCGTTTATACTACTTTTAAAATAAAGGGTGGCATGATCGTAGCTTCATTAGGTCTTTCAAAAAATTTAAATGTTTCTAAAAGAGCAAGTATATGCACATTACTCCGCAATATTTGCATTATCCAATATAGGCTTGCTGGCTACGTCATGTTGTAATATGGAGACACTCTGGCTATTTCATCATAGTACTGTACTTGATACCGCACCCTATATAATTCAGCATCGCATGGCATTGCAAGTATCATGGAGATAGTATCATAGAATCAATAGTGTTTGCTTTCGTGCTCACGGTGATGTCCACTACTTTTCTTATCGCTGGAGCGATATCGATGGTGTGTATTATATCTGCTCTCTCTTGATTCAGAAGTATCTACATTTCGATAATCACTTCGACCTCGCGATCTGTCATGGAATCTTTCCGTTGATCTGCTGCGAGATCGAGATCGACGCGAACGATGAGGCTTTTCAGTCTTTGATGTTCTATGTTGTTCTGAGTATTTTCTTCTTTCTGATTCCGGCGATCTACTACGAGATCGATATCTATGACTGTCTGTACCCTTCGATCGATGCTCTGCTAACATTATTGGGTCGTCTCTCATATCTTTGCGATAGGCACTACTTGCTTTAGACTTCTTCGTAGTTTCTTCATCAGAAGAAGAGCTATCGCCACTTAAATTATTGGCCTTAGATTTCTTATTCTTTTTCTGAGTAGAACGATAATGACGATCACTGTCCTCATCAGAACTAGATGATGACTTTTTAGATTTTTTCTTTTTCTTCTTCTTTTTTTCGGAAGATTTGCCCTCTGCTTTCTTGTCGAGCTTATCCAATTTCCTGTGTAAAAAGTCATGACATTTAATGACAAAAAAGCGTGAAAATTGGATACGCTGAAGAATATAACAGACTGTAGAAGTTTAAATAAGTACGGCGACATCTTTTTTACATTAATGAGTTCGACAGTTTATTACAACTACGAACTTAAGCTTAAGGTAGACAATCTGCGTGAATTATAAGCGAGGTACAGAATATAAGCAAATATCAACATTACAAGCAATGATAAAAAAATAATTCACTTTAGAAGCTTCTTCTTTTGTTTTCTTGTAAGGGAATTTAAAAAATTCACTTCAGGATCATCAATTAGTTCTTCTTCTGATTCGATCATTTGCTAATCAGAAAATGTTAGATTATTATATTTAATAAAAGTACCGAGGCAGCCTAATTGCGTAGTGAAATCTTCACATCAAATAAAATTGGGGTAGTAGCTTTTACGAAACACTTGAATGATATAGCGCCTTTTAACACATACATTCTCATACTAACCTGGTTCGCAGCTCTGTTATCCACTACGCGACCAAGGACGGACTGTTTCAGAGTCAGTCCATTCTCTCTCATTGCTTGCATTAATTTCTCAGGGCTAATCTCATCGGATGCTAGACAGGACGTTCAATTAGGTGGCAGTTTTTTATGTATACGAGTATATTTTTAAGACGAAAAAACAAAGTATACCTTCCTCATTTTGATCAGATGGCGCACTCACGGAAATTGTATGATTGAATAGAGGGCACTAGGGAAAAAGTAAGGTAAATTACCTCCAAGATTTAACAAAATCAAAATATTGTGACATTAGCTAGAATTTGCGATTATAAAGTTCTGAATCAAATACTACGAAAGTTTTTAAATCTTTTAACATTACTACATCAATCAATTTACACATCAATACCTCTCTGTCGGTATTTACATGCCCCCATTTACCACACTTAATACATCTAACGTTCCTGACCTACATGTACAGTAAAGTGTAAAAAAAATTAAGTTATAATGTGGTACCAAAGCTGAAATATTATCAGTTTTGCATCAATCGAAGATAATCTTACAGCAATGCCGAAAGGCTTGTCTGTCGCGGCTATATCCTTAGCATAACTGTACAGAATACATTTATATATTTTAGTTGATCTTTAGTTAATGGCACTACAAAATTAGCAGATAATACTGTACAAAAGATGCAATATATGAAAACGTAGTTATACGTATAATTTACGCTTCACGGGGTGCTCTTTTCTGCCACTCAAATTTTGGTTCTTCATCCTAGATTATGAATATTAAGGCGACAAGTTGCGATATTTAGCATTGATTGGCAAAAAATTAAAATTAGTAACTGTCTTAATTTACAGCGCTATACACTTGCAGGGTATAATTAATCAGGAAATATTACTTAAGGACATCTACAGTACATAGAATGAGTATGATAGCGGAACAAGCACTCAATTACTGTATGCGATATGCATCATTACGACATAAGAAAATCTTTACCGTGGTCTTGGTTTCTAGAGTAAAAGATGAAACAATGGCGTATTAATTATAATCACGTACTGCTAGTACTAGATAGTCCGTAAATTATTGTTTACTAAAATTGTCTGCTTGAAGAATCTGAACTTAATTTCAATTTATTACCTTTGTCGAGACCGGGTGGTGCATCGTACATGAAATTAACTGATAGCTTCTCTTTATCCTTGGATATAATCTCTCTACAGAGGTAAGCAGAGATTTATTGGTACGGCATCGATAGTAAAAATTATTAAATTAGCTATGATTTCATAAACCGATAAGTTGACGACATTAACGACGATGTAAAGTCTTCTGAATGGAATAATTGAGTAAAATTCAGTTGAACGCAATAGTAAGCAAACATACCTTGTCTTATAGAGAGATTGTTCTTTCTCATATTGTTCCTTCAGTTCTTTTTCCTTTTTTTCCTTTGCGGCTATACGTTGTTCTGCCATCCAAACCTGTATAATTAAGTCAATAAATCATTGCAAACATTATAAAAGAACGATATTTTATGTGGTACGCTGCAGTCGTATGGATGCTTTAATAGAGTAAATCATGATGATAACGAATTGTTTCATTATTTTATCGTGGAATTGAACTTAGTTACACTCATTGACGAGTGTTTATTACGAGATATCAACCTTGGCAAAGACTGGCCATCACTAGCTTGATTTAACTTAGCTAGACGACGAGTGTCTATTACGAGATATCAACCTTGACAAAGTAGACTGGCCATCACTAACTCGATCTAAAAACTTGGCCATACTCATTAGTAAATGCTAATTATACGATCTAAAGCTTGACAAAATGGATATCGCTATCATGATCTAACTTACAGTTGTACACCGATAGTTATATGCGCATAGTGGCTACACTTATTGACCAATGTTTATGGCAAGATATCAATCTTGACAAAATGGAATGGTCATCACTACCTTGATTTAACATAGTTATCACTAAATACTTATTAGAAGATATCAATATTGACACAATGGAATGGCCATCACCAGGTCTCTTCTAATTTTACGTAAAATGGAAGAAGCCTGGCCATCACCATCTCGATGTAATATAGCTATAGAACAGGTTCCACTCATGGGCAAATGTTTATGGCAAGATATTAATCTTGATATCATGGTATGATCATCCCTATCTGATTAAACTTAGTTATGTAAGCGTTCTACTCATCAGCAAATGTTCATTGCAAGATATTAACCTTAACAAAATGGATATTACTATCTCGATCTAACTTAGTTCTATCACTGCTCCACTCGTTGACAAATGCTTATGGCAACCATGACAACACGAAATGGTCATCACGATCGAATTTACGTTTTGGCACGAGTATGTCAATAGGACAACATCTATCTACTCAATATACAGCATACAAGAAGAATAGTTCTTGCTCTTGAAGAAGAGCACAACAATGTTAGGCCTACATTATTACCATTTTGATATTTCTTTGTGATCCAGGATGGAAATCTTTATTATTCATAAACTTTGCAAAACCGTGACTAGCTGGCATGTTGATGTTGATAGTTGGAGACTGTGGTTGCTAATAGTGCAATAAAGGCTAGCAATGATCGATATTGCTTGCCACGTAGAAAGGCAATTGAAATGTTATGCTTGAAGTCTATAGTATTAGTATACCCTTAGGTTAAAAGGGCAGTTTATCCTGCTTTCAATCTATCCAAATTTGTCGAATAATAATTGAAAATTTGAGGTTTAGATCCAGTTTATGGAAGGCAAGGATAGCATCAGCAAATTGGCTATGATTATACAAGATTTACTTCCAGCAGTATGCTTATATAGTACAGTATGGAATAGTTTGCTATGTATGTGCACTCCAATATTTAGGCCATTTTGCCATACTGTATGTAGTATACTGTACAATACGCAGCGTTCAATTCAATGTATGTGTATGCGACTACCACAAGAACGGTAAGAAAGGGCTTGACTAAGGAATACCGTATGGCACTTGTGCAAATTGAATGTCTGGTATTTGTTGTACAAACTGTATCAAAGTGTGTTTCAAGGTGATATAGTTCATACAAAAATGAGCATTATAAATGTCACCTACACCATTTACTTTTATTCTATCAATAGTATAATTAATAGCGGCAAATTGGTATCCACTTAGGTGACATTACTTTCATGCATGCCCATCATTCTCGACTAGAGTACATCTAATTTGCACAGCTCTGGACAGTATAACAGCCCTAGTACTGGATTGAGTTACCTTGGAAACAATCTACTGCCAACTCATACTATAAGTTAATATAAACGCTGTACTGCCACTTGATACAGACAGTAGCAGCACTAGAGGGAGAAGTGCAGGCAATCTTTGCAAACGCTTTCGAGCTCCAACTAATCCTACTTAAACTCCATCGAATACCAACAATCTCCATCGTGAAAGAGTTTTTACAGGTTTTAAATGGTTTTAATCCAATCATACTTTACTTAATCAACGTGATGTATAGGTTGATGATTCATTTATGCTATTCTTGCACTTTTATGTCAAGGTAGAAATTCACAACAACAACAAAATGGCTTCTAGAAATGGTGTTCGAGCTGCAAAAAACTTATTAAGAAAAACAATTAAACAACGAGTAGCTTTAATATCAGATATCCAGAAAGATCGAGAATCATTACAAGTGGCTAAAAAAGTGTGTGTTATTCCATTTGAATAGAATACTGCATACAGACATAGGCAAACATAACCAATACATTGTTATAAAATCTCACATGGAGGTGACCATTACCTCAGCATGCCTAAATGCTATGACTGCAGTAATACCTACGTGGAGACTAAGAATGGCACATATTATTCTGTCTATCTCCAAATTTAGTTAATGGCAACACCTGAATATCAAAAGAGCAAACGTGTATGCGTATACCTCCATATGGATGACGAAATTAGGACTACTGCTATATTAAAGGTTAGGCATCCAATGTTATCTTGCATCAGTACACGAGCACTAAACAGCGACAACTGATTCCTAGTGGCTAACGCTTTCCAATTTCTCTAAAATTAATTAATAAGGGTAGTATGGTAATGTTTTGTATCTCTCTTTATTTTAGGATATCTTTTCAACCAACAAGTAAGATCTAAAGTTACATTTTTTGGCGCTTAATCAAAAATAGATGGTTGGAACGGATACCAATCATGAGTTAATAAATTGTGGTTACTGATTACTCTTCTTTGTAAATATGCAGAATTTGTTATATTCCCCACTATTATGGCCCTATTATGGATATGGTGCGTTTACATTCATGGGAAGACTATGATAATTTACCACTCACTTCTTGGAATATTAAACAACCAGCTGGTAGAATGAATGAAATCTTTTATAAGATCTAATATATTAATTCCATGAAATTGAGTCAATACGATCAATGAATATACTGTTTAATTAAGTAGACGTAATAGTTGAATGGGTAAATTCTATTTCAATATAATGGTACAGATAATGAACAGAGAGAGAATGCCATTAGCGGAGGGGGACTAGATTTAATCATAGTCCCAGGACTTGGATTTACTATGGTAATAATAATATAATTATTGAATCTTTATCTTTCTCACTGGATTTAAATTAGATAGAATGAATGATATAGTTTTGATGTAATAGAATAACTTTCTTGCACTCGTATATTGTACTGTAGTAAAAAATCATCTTCTGCTATTAAAAATTAAATACTCTACTAAATCCATTAATAAATACTATTTAGGAATGCAAATGTTCATCACTTCTTGACAAGATATAAAAAAATTGCAATTAGTATTGCGGTAATCTACCACAGCATTTCTTGGTACATTTACGATCTTGACTGTGAATGGCGGTCTTACTATTACTTTTAATAGATTATCATAGACTTATTCTACCATGCCTATTAGCTATATTAATACTGCTCTATTTAGGCTGTAGATTGGAGCTTTTTACTGTTAATTAGTCCATCGTTTTTCACGTTTCTGTCAATATTATATCCAAATGTAACCTTCTCATCATTTACCTTGGTAAAAGTTTAACATTATCTGATTCACATTGTTTAACATAGGCTGGTGATCGTTTAGGACGAGGAAAGGTAAACGCTACAAGAGAGTATTACGAAAAACTTACAATCGTTTCGTAGAAAACGATAGCTATTCACTAGCTAAAGGAAGCAAGCAAATATCATCGTTCATTTCTTACTATCTCTTACATTCGCAAAGAACGATAATGATATTATAACAGTCAGTTGCTCACTTTAAGCTAATATCATACTTGTTTTGGTAAAAATTAGGGATACTATGATGGATACTTGCAAAAGTATGAAGAAAAACTCCATAAGAGGCCAATAACAATCGGTAGATATTGAACGCTGATTCAGTCTGGATAAAGACTTGATATTTATTTTGACTTGCCAAAAAATGCTTTACAGCATGGCATGTTTTGGTTACAATATCATCATACATATAGATCACAAAATATTAACTAGAAAAGTTCTCGTTAAGATAATTCTAACAATCAATACTTATATGTCTAGCCCTTGCGTTCGCCTCTCAAATTTGTGATACAATTCCTACGGACGATCATGACCGAAGAATCGATATGGTTATCTCAGGAAATTCTACTGACTAGAAATTTTTTAATTTTTAATTGAAATCTTTAAAATTTTATCAAAATAGATAAATTCAGGCTAGGCCACTACAAATTTACCTAATCGCATTTTTAATGATAAATAATTAACGAATGCTTTTCATAGCCAACAAATGGAGGTTTTTACAAGTTTATGTGAACGATTTTAATTTGATAAATAATTGGTTTAAATAATCCGTATGCCTTTTAAGATTTTTGACCTTTCATTTCTATTTAAAATATCTAAAAATTTAAAGCACAGCATAGAAATATAAAATTATAAATTCACTTGAGAAAAAAATGTCATTCTTATTTGTTTGATTGTTTGGTATATCGAAACTATATACAGCTTACTCATCTCATACAAAAGAGTTAGTTAGATATTCAGTTAATCACCATAGCTTAATATTGAATATATCCTTGATATACTATACCATATTCACGTTCAAGTATAATATGAAATGGTAAGAAAGATCCATAACAATATTTTGTCCAACATGTTCATTGTTATGCTCCGCTAACGGTTTACTACTCTTGAATATTTATCCGACTACGGTATATCCAAATGAACAAAACATCTGCTTAAAATAAAATTTGATTCTACTAAAGTAATTTCGGATCAATACATTAATAAGTCATAGCATATTTTTTTCTGATACGAAATTTTTAAGAGCTCCTCATTTCTTTATAATGCGGAATAACTCAACACAATAAAGGAAGTAGTTCCAAATTTCGAAATTAATTAATTAATTCTTAACTAGTATTTACTTTTACTGATGGGCAATATTGTCTCCACGTCGGTACATTATCAATTCGTTAAACTTGTTTTATATCCGTATCGAATTATTTTTGTATCTATACTACCATAACATGGGAAATGTCATTATTGACTCAATTTTTTTCCAGATAATTATTGATTATTAGATTGCTTTATTTAAAAGCACTACATATTGCTAATAATGGCACCTTAACCCTAAGTTTGAGAACCATTAAACGCGAATATCTGCTTATTTGTAAACGAAGTGATATGATAGAAAATAACTAATTTGTATACAACAATGCCAAATGATTAAAAAGTAAAACAATAACTACATCAATAACAACAATAAGAAGATTATTCGTGAAAGTTCCCAATTCATATGAAATGATTACTATTTCATTTTGATCTTCCTAATTGTTTTTATTGAACTCGATCATGTAATACAATTGACAATATCCGTGGTAATATCAGTTATGGTAAACAAGTTATTAATAGTAGCTCTACCCTTCCAAGTCTATTTATTATCAATTAACCAGATATCATTAGAGCATTTCCCTATTATTACCGTTAGATGGCCTCTTTCCTGTTAAGAGAAACACTTTATTTAAAATTGCCTTAAACCATCTTTTTGCATACGATATATTACATCTAAGCTAAATTTTTTATTAAAAGTTATATGCAGTAACTTTAGAAATTACCGTATACAGTGGTGGTAAAAGTTATAGCTAACTAAATTTTAATCGTCAGTGTTAGTGTTAAGTGTATACTTCTCGCACATGCATTACTGCAAATACACATATAACATTATTTTTAAAGTAGGTGACATCAGTAATGAAATTCTGATAATCTCTAAGAAATTTCTTAGTCATACCCATTAATAAAATTTGTTGCCATATATCAATGCATCTGGTATGGAGTGATATACGGTATGTATTTAATAAGTATTAATTGTGGTTAAAAGCTAGTAATATACTTACTAGTACTGTACTACAAGGAATAAATTTTTAGGGAAAGATACTCAGTAACTCGACTTAAAGATGTCACTAATATTATTTATTAGCATTAGAAAATTAAGATGTATATACGTATAAGGGAAATAACGAGATAGTAACATGCTTAATTTATCTCCTGGTTTTGATTGCTTTATATTTATCTATGGTAATAGAAACAAACGTTAAAATACTTGAAACGTTACAGTTGAAAACACTCAAGCCAAGTTTAAATATTGATATGAACAGTCAATTTTAAGTGTATGTTAATAATACTAAATCATAACTTAATAGAAGTAAATAACAAGTAAGCATGGACGGCATTCCAGCATCCTGATCTAGAGAATCAATATCATAACTAAATATATTAATTGATGGTATCTATCTTTGAATTACAAAAAAATTTACATTACTATACGTCAGTCATAAGTTGATCATAGAAGATTATGGCTGATTACATTATCAAGCTAGCTAAATGGGATGACTACGAATACTACAGCTAATAATTTTGCTGTTACATTGTTATGGATACTTGAAATGGATTACGACGACGTATTATAGGCAATATGTAGGAGAGAATAAGTTTATGAAAACACCATACTACTTCAAATTATCTATTTCATTAATGCTAAAAATCATGATTACTCTCAGCTAGTAACCTAGATATCATTATAATAAATTACTGCCTGTTGGGAGACTCACCAAAGAACAAATTTTAGATTTTAGTGATAATTGATAATGCTACTTAAATTATTAATAAGTCGATGGATAGAAAGAAGAATTAGTCAACTAAAGCATCAAACTCTATCGAGCAATTGTACCGATAACAGTGAAATTCATTAAACATCGTTAAGGAGAAATATAGATATTATTATAAAGCATGACTTGCATTTTTCATAGAAGTTAAAAAACGGATATGGATATTAGTAGTAGTAAAAAAATGATCTACATTAATAGGTTTAAAAAAAAGAAATACCAATTTCAACTTATCATCATTTTTAATTTGTCCGGGATAAAGGTGATTCAAGTAGATAGAAATAATGTTTGATTGCCAGTTAAGAGATAATTAAGTTGTAGCAATTTTTAAGGCACTCTGGCTAGACCAGAGATATAAATAGCATATACACATTTACTAGCGTTTAGATCGGCCAAGTCATAGATAGTTTCTATCTTTGATGCAATAATTGCATGATGCACTTTGTTGCAGACTCAGTCTTATCTTATCGTGTACAACTAACTAGCTCTATGTAGATAGAACCTCGATGATATTATGACTTACCATCAATTATCAGATTATGAAAAGAGTGAAGAATTTAATCTTTTGCTAAGGCATTTACATTAGTGTACTAATATTACTTTTTACTTTATCATTAGCAATCATTTTAACTTAATTTATAGCCATACCATACAGTAACAATATTAGAAGGTATCGGAGTATTTACTACTGGTACATAGATTAATTAGGAAAATGTAGGGAGAATCATTTACGGACGAAAGAGGTAAAGATTGAATCTTGCGGTTTGAAAATATTAATATTATTGTCTGCCACTTCATCTGGGCGGTCAGAACTAGTGGTAGTAATGGAGCCATTCGGAGGCCCAAGCATTTGTGACGCAAGATAGTCTCGACGCATTAATTTAAAAGCACATTGGCTTTCGCGAGAAACAGATGATGAACTTTTCGGTGCTGTACCAACTGATGCTGGTGATCGGATAAAATTCATACTTTGGCGGAAAGACTTGCTCGATGCCGCATAAATAAATGGATTCCATAGAGATGAGGAATAAGCAATAGTTCTAAATGCAAGTGATAGGTTAAATATGATAGCAGTTAACGCTGGATCTTTGTTATAGTATGGCCGAAGACCTAGTTCTGCAATGGATAAAGTATAAAATCCAACACCAGTGATGACATAAACTATGATAACGATAAAAGCTGTCTTTGCACGATGTTTCGCTTTTGATAAGCGATTTAGATCAGGTTGCAAATAACCCGGTAACGCATTTAATTTACCTAAGACTCTGTTAATAACATTATAAGAAATAATTCCAGCGAATAATGGTAGTAGAAATTGTATAATTGTTCCAACAATTTGGTAGGTAGTTGCACTGTGAGGCCCCATCAGCATGAAACAGTTGCCATTTGGTGTTAAAATAGCATAATAGAGTAGAGGTGCTGCGTAAGCAAAAGCTAAAATCCAGATTACACTAATCGCTGCTAAAATGACTTTAGCAACGCACCAATGTTCAAAAAAGAATGGCTTTGCTATAGCTAATGAACGATCGATACTAATGATTACTAAGGTTAAAGCTGAGACAGTAATTGTAGTGGTTTGTAATACTGATAAAGCTTTACACATGAACAAACTGAAAAACAAGCCGCGATTTAATAAGATGATAGCAGTAACGGAAGCAGATGCTGCTAGAAGGAAATCAGCCACAGCTAAATTGCAAAACAACATAAATGTATTCATCGAGCGTAGCTTGCTAGATCGTAGAATGACAGTGAAAACAGCACTGTTCGCAATAACTCCACTACCAGATACAATAAATAGAATGATTGCATGGATTAAAAATGAAAGGGGTATGCTATTAACAGTAACTTGTGGCTTGGTAGGCAACGCCGATGAAAATGATTCATTACTGAACGTTAAAGGAGTGGTTATCATCTTTACTATTTCCTGTTCGATTGGTTATATTGTTATTATTCAAGATTACTGGATACAGTCTGATCGCCTTGACTGGATTCGAATATAGATCGTCCTAGTAATTATTTTAATCATTATCAAAAATGAAATAAAGTTGTTTCAATTTTAGATTTCTAGAATCCTAACGATCAGAAAACAGCGAATTTAAAGTACCATATTTACAAACTTTTATACCTGTCGCTAGACCAATAAATCGTTCTAAAGTGATGGATAATAGCCAATATGCGTATGCAGCTATATCACTGAGAAAGAGAAAATTCTTTTCTATGTAGTATAAAATGATGACCTCACTCGATGCTACGTCTATATTAAAATGGAGTGATTTAATAAATCATCAGATGATTTATAGATCGATAACAGAAATACCCTTTCGTTAAGCCCTACTAGACGCTTTGGATAATAATAGTATTAATAGGAATAATACTCGATTTTTCAACCTTGTGGTGCGGTTCTCAACTCATGCTTATCGTTACGACGGATGATTGCAATAAAATGTAGAATACTCAATTCCGGATTAAAATAGTTGGATTGAATGAAAGTAAGATAGAGATGACGAATAAATACAATTTATTCCTATCTGAACAGGTGTACAAATAAACTTATTCAATTAACACAGTCAATAACGGATATCAATAAAAACTTTAGCTAAGAAAAATGACAATACGTCACCAACATCTTCTTAATGGTAATTATAATTATAGCAACATAATTACTTCACTTTAACATAGCCAGCTGACTATTTCATAAAACATAATTTATAACGTGTATAATGATAATTAGAAAGAAAAATAGAATTGACTAAACTTTTGTTGAGGTCAATAATATAGATTGATAAGAATAGCTAGTTAAAGGTAGCATCAGTAATGCATAAAATTATTTTTTTCAGAATTAACCTTTACCATAACGGATAGACGTGATACTTTTCAGCAAATGAGGATCTTGGAGTGTATCGAAAATATTTCAGTATCATGGATTCTATTAAGAAATACGTTAATCTACGGTAATTTATCTATCGAAATAGAGCCATAAAGTAAGTTAACTCTAGTACCAGTTATTTTTAGATAATGGCATATACACATATAATTATACATTATTCAATGCGGCCGGTATAAATGGAGAGCGAGAAAGAGACGGAAAGAAAAGAAAATGATTCATACCGATACTGGTAAATATTTACTCATCAATATCATGATCCTTCATATAAATTCTTACTTTTAAATTGGAATGAATAGACAAAGAGTATTTATACATCTCTTTCTTGTATTTATCGTGGTATTTTAAACTAGAAAGCAAATGATATTGATTAACAATATGGAATAGGTAGATAATCAAATCTAGTCGAATCACAATGAACTTTTGTGAAACTAGTTGCTACAGTTATAAAAGTGTATATCGAGCTAGATTTATTCCAACTTATGAATACATGATCATTATCGAAATAATTTTTAAGTTAAGAGAAATTAGTCTACGGCCTACACAAGTTACGCGTCATGACAGAGATAGAAAATATTGTCGGTCCACTATCGATTTTTATTTATAAATAAATTCAAATAAAGGTCGAGGTTTATATTGTTTATTACATTGGTAGCTTAATTCACAAATATTAATGACTAAATAAAATCAGCACCAGGATGATCTATAAAATTAGTCTATGCCTTACATAAGGTACGCATCATGATAGAAATAGAAAATAATACCACCTTGGTCCACTATCGATTTTTATTCATAATTAATTTAAATAAAGATTGATCTTTAAATTTTTTATTATTCTAGTAGATTAAGTTTTAACTTCGAATGACTAAATAAAATCAGCACCAGGATGATGCATAAAATTGATCAAATTTAATATAAATCAATATACAAAACGAGTTAACTATATTGATATTATTTGTTATCGTTATATGTATCTATTTTGATAATGTTTATAGGAGTAGATACTAGAATATTTTTGGATGTTTCTATATAATAATGTCACGTAATAGAAGAACAATACTTCAAAATTAAAGTAGTTGATATTATTCTTTTTGTAGTATTTATATGACTGTACAGTTAAGCATTTTAAAATATTTCTTCAAAATAATTTCATGTAACAGAAGGATAATAATATTTGAAAATTAAAGTAAGTGATAGTATTCTTTTCGTAGTGTTTCATACAACCATATGTTTGATAAGTAGCAATAATACAATTAACGCTTAAATGAGCTTGACTTATGATATTTCTCTTCTGCTTATTTATGAATAGAATATCATTAAAATTTTAAAGAACTATTAAAAGCATTCGCTATTATTAAGATTTTATTTAGATGTAATTGATAATGGACAATAAAATGGGTTAGCGTGTAAATTATATCGATTCTAACCGGTCTCTTGTTGATTTTCTCATCACTGAAATGGTTCTTGTCTACTAAATTTACTAAGAATACGTTGGGGCTGCATTTCCGATCGGATAAAGAAATAAAGTTAATTCTATTGGGAATAAATCCATCTTTTAATGTGAGGGTGTTATTGATAAAATGACAGATGATGATTATTCAATATCTGAATTAAATCCATTTACAATGAGATCCCATATTATGCAATACTTCAGTGAACAAGTTCACTGAAGTATAGTTTATCGTAATCAATTCTCCTTTTAGTCGATATTAGGATATCACAAATTTTTTTTCATCTTATATTTTAATCATGTTAAGCAACATTCTCGATAGAACTGCATAAAATTATTAATTCTATCGAGAAATTACTTCAAGGTTTTAATTATTTCAATTAGTTACAAGCTGCTTCTATCTTCCATGATCATCATCTGTGCCAAAAGAGTCTTTTCTATGACTTAATCTTCTACTCATAAAGTGATGATATCGCTATTTCTATTTTCTACCTCATTTTACTAACCTAGTAAACACGATATTGATCGTTCATATTCTAAATAAATAAATATTTAATTAATTACTTTTTATTTTTATCTCGTTGATCAATCTGTAATAAGTGCTAACTTATTAAACGATAGAAGAACAATTCTTTCCATTGTATACTTATTAAGTATTATCAATTTTTATTGCAACCCATTTAATGCTTCATTTATTTACTTCAGGATTCTATAATACTCATATAATACTCTTATAATGGGCTGTATATATATATATGTTACGGCCTATATATACATAAATAGCGTACATAAACAGAGAGATGCTTATTTCAATCAATAACTTAGCAATCGATAAAATTTCTATTTTAACTATTTAATTCGTTATTTGCTTCCTATACTAATTTGAATTTGATAATATCACATGCTCAAATGAACAGGTATCATATATGAACAGGCTAGATAGTGATTTTTGCTAAATACCTTAGAGAAATACCCATGGTTTAAAAATAAATATCGAGGATAGAGTAGGATAGACTGATGCTATGGATAGCTCCTCGTTTTCTCACTACTACATTCGTAATTAATTAATTTGATTTTCTTCCTTCTTTCTCACCCCTACTTTCACGCAAAAATATTATTTATCTATAATTTTTTCTTTCATAAAGTTTATGATAGATATGTCATCTCGGAGGGCGTTGTCGTGACTGCAAATTCTGTTTAAAGGATAAAACAATTTAAGCTTATGCCGTAATGCTATTTGATGAATTTATTGGTAGATTGATTGATTGATATAAGGTATAATAGTGCACTTTATCTTTTCATCCAAGGGTTTATTAAAGAAAATGCACAATTTAATTGAAACTTTCAACTATGATAACATAATAGTCACATATTTAATTGTATCTTAGCTAATTGTCACTAAAACTATCTCACTAGGAATCATTTTCTTAAATGATAATATTCGCTAACTTTAATGGCACCAAAGAAAGAGATTGCTTGATATAATTTCCAGTATTTTTTGTTAATTTCATTTATTAATGCAAACTGACACTTTACTAAAAGTAATAAATAGGAATTAAGGGCCACAATTTCTCATAAATAAAATTTTCACGCATAGAAAGAATCTTGATTAAATTTATTTTTTACCGGAAGAATTATTTAATTAAAATTGAATAGTTGAAAATAGGCATTGATTCATTATTTCATCTCAATCCTGCTTACCATCATTAATATGGGATTAAATAAATGCTTTCTTGTTTAAATTATCCGAGAAAGGTAGGATGCAAATAGAAATCCACTTTGTTGTAAAAAAAGTTACGGCTAACAGGATTGTGCGAAAATATTTTTAGCGCTTCATAGTATCATTGATATAGCTCACAAGTTAATAGCTGTATTGGCCATTCCTTAAAAATCTATCATGAAATCTTCTTCGACTCTCATTAAATGATTAATAGTTTAATGAATGATATTATTGTACAGAAATAGTGATCGATTTCGATAAAGAAATAGGATCATGATCAGGCATGAGATTGAATCATGTTGTGTAGGTATATACAGTAATTGCCTTACTTGTGCATATACAGTAGACTTTGTATTAATTTATATTTTAATAGTATATTGTGATGGTATGAGTTCTGTCTCTAAAAGATATAGGCTAATACATCATGTATAAGATTAGGATTAAAGTATAGCTTCTTCCTAAAGCTAGATGTACAATTAAAATTTGAAATGACAGATCAGATGATGGATATTTCAAGAATTGAAATGTTAGTAATATATTGAAAAGTGCTATCTTTAGCGACAGATGTGATTTAAGGAACAGTGTAACTAATTTATCTTTCCTAATGACAGATATTAACACCTTAAGAATTAAGGTAACATAAATTCTATCGTTAAAGATGAATCTATCTGCAGTAGTTCAAGTGGTGGCATAACTTTATCCTTAAATATGACTATACTTTAAGAGTTCATACTGAGATTGAATTTCCTTGTTAGAGGTAGCTATTAATGTACAAGTCTATATTCGACATCAAATTAGTGCATAAAAACTATCGTTAAATATAACTTTACTTTCAGAATTAATATTGAAATTGAATTT